ACAAAAATTGGTAGTAAACAATATGACATCTGAAAAGCACATGAAAGGATGCTGTATGATTTAAAAAAAAAGAACACACTACATTCATGTGTACTGTTAATTAGAGCGTGTAGTCATGAATGTAACCAGTAACCCGAATGAGTTGTCTCAGTCTTGCCTTCTATACTACCTGCACCATAGGCAACATTTATTTGTCTTTAGACTTTCTTGAGAAGCGGTAACTAGCCAGTGTTGCACACAAACACCAGATATGAAGTGCACACCCCAAATGTACTATTTAGCACCACAAAAAAATTTACTTTTTAAAACTTCGATGTAACCGCTGTATTTGACGCTTCTATTTGACTCTCAGATATGAAGTGCACCCCACTAATGTTCTAGTTTGCAGAATTCTTTCCTAAGCTGTCCCTCACAGTGGCAGCATCCTCTCTGTAATGGTATTTATTAATTAATGACTTTTTGTCATAAAAAAAAGCATAATGAGCTTAATGCTTTAGACGCACCACTAGATGTCAGTAAAGCATATTTAGTGTAATGCTTTGGGGGCACCACTAGGGGGAGTGTGTAGGAAGACCTGTGCAACCACCCTTTGACTTATGTCATAAAACAAACATTATAAACCCGTACATCTTGAATCTACCCTATTTTAACAGTACCTGCCCTACAACAAAACCCACCTTTTTAAGAATGATACCCATTTACCCGTAAAGTTATGACACTTTATTGCTTATTCAATTTTTTTTTATTTTTTTTTCATTGAGCACATGCATCACCAGTTGGGAATAACCACTGAGCACATGCATTAGCAGTTGGGAAACCTTGGCCTTAAATAGGCAAATACCCACCCTTGTAATAATAGACAACTCAAACCATGTTTTATTAGATTAACCAATGATATTGTGTTCATGTGAGGATGTGTTTTGGAGCTAAATATAGTATTAGACACCACAAACTCATAACACCTATGAATCATGGCACAGACCGACTCGATTTCTGTAGCCTCTGGCTGGTCTGTGTGCCTGGAATTTTCACAAACATTAGTCCTGGAAACTGGATACTCTATTCTTCGACAGTCTCATAGAACATACGCATGGAGACAGGGATGAATGAAACAGTTCATGTGATCAAGGACTTTTGTGTGTTTGTGGTCACATTGTTTTGTTTTTTCTTTCTTTATACCATTAACCACCTTGACGTAACAGTTTCCTGCTCCTGATGCATTTTGTTCCGACTCTCACCACTCTTAGCTGCAATATTTTTTCTCCTTACAGCAACAGTTGAGCATAGTGTCCAGTGCTTCTTCTTCTTCTGCTTAAAATATCCTTGCTTGAAAGTTCTTGAATGAAAACACAGGCAATGACGAACACAAACATAAATAATAACTGTGCCAATCATCACAAGTACCATTTGATTGTGGTGTCTTAACCATATTTTTTCCTATGGCGTTTGGATAAATACCTACACACCTCTCTTCACATCCAGCACACTCCTGATTCACAGATAAACACAATATCACTGCTGTATCTACCAATTTAACCCAAACACTCGTTATTACTGCTGCATTTACCAATTTAATCTAAACACTCGTTATCACTGCTGTATTTAACCAATTTAATCTAAACATTAACCAAAACAATTACATTCCTATTTACCACCCTTCTATTTAAACATGTATAGATAACCCAAAATGCCTACTTTCTCTTATCCCTCTTATTTTTTTTTTTGTTTTTTGAACTGCAACCACTCATGCACTTTACACAGACACAAATCAAACACCTACTGGACAATGGGGTTCCCTCATTAGAGCCCTCCCACCCCAGTTTGGTTTACACAAAAATACCCCCTGGTCCCTATGGGTCAATTCCCCCCTTTCCCAGGCAAGCATACATACATACAACAATAATAATACATAAGGGTTTCAATTGCAATACAATCACTAGAAATAAGAGAACAGTATGCACAAAATCATAGCATAGACATGTTAAATAGACAATAAAATAAAACATTCAATAGCTCATCAAAGGTCAACATTTAAACACTGGTCTCCATCTGATATTCTATCTGTGTTCCAATGTCCACCCCTGGTTTCTGCTATATCTGAAAAAGGTAAGAAAACAGATCAGGATTACTTTTCCTTGTCACTTATAGCGTATACTGCCAAATCCTTTACTTAGCATATATACATATATACACATATAAATACATTCCCTAAACTTTTCATTTTATAAACAATTTGTTCAACAAGGTAACTTTCTTAATTTTCTACTTGGCTCTTAAAATAAACAATCAGCTAATAGCTGCTTTCTGCATCTTCTCTGCAATTCAGGAAACACATTTCTAGCCAACCTAAACATGTTTAATAACTCTCCACCCTTTGGTTAAATTATAGAGGAGTGAACCACAACACCTCTTCCGCCTCTGAAAGGATATAGGTCAATATGTCTCAAAGTTCAACACTTCTGACAGCTATGAGTGACTCCCTATTAATTTCTAGCCTTTCCACGGACATGCTTGCACCTCGCGGCTAAGGGCCTGCACAACTAACCACCCTGTGATGGCAGTGGCTTTCCGCATGGGGGTGACCGCCCCCGCAAAATTATAGAGGAGCAAACATACAGCAGCCTCTTTTCCGGCTCGATTAAAGGTTCTGGGCCAATATGTCTGCAATTTAACCAGTACACTCACGTATCACTTATTGTATATTTCCTGGTCTCTCAGGAATTTCTATTAAATAGCGTATCCCCTTCCCAGGGCAATATACAACAAAAACTAGTCACCAAGGGTCTCTATGGTCATGATAGGCCACCCTACCACTAGTGTAATACGCCCTTTTTTTAAAATATATTTCCTGGTCTCTCAGAGATTTTGCCTATCCCTTTCCCAGAGCAATATATATATAAACAATTACAAATAAGTTACAAAACGCTACTTATAAGTAATACAGGGTTTCAAATAATAATACAGGATAGAACTGCACAACAACTATTGGGTATGCTCCCCCTTATCCGGACACGTTTAAATACCCCCTAGCTCAGGTTCCCCACCCGCTACTGTAACTAAAATCACAGCCCACGTTATGGAGGTTCACCCGCTAGGCAGATACACCCTAATTCAAAGCATGGAAATATTAAAATCAGTTATAGATGGCTTCTAAACAAATATAAATCTTAATCTGATCCCCTACCCTTACTTTGTTAAAAATGCTAACTTGTTAAACTATTCAGACTAAATAGGACAAAGGAATTATTTTACCATTTTTTCAGTTCATTTGTTACCGGTTCCTGCATATGTCCAGTAATTCCTTAGTCCTGGATAATAAAGCTGAAAAACACTCCACAAATTGATTAGCTTAGGCAATTACATTTACAAAACAATGCAGTTTATTTTTTCTCATACAGGCTAGACTACCCACCCCCAACAAGGACAAATTCTCCCCCTGCTGTAGCTGAAAAGCATGGTCACACAGCTGTTAAAAAGGTGGTCTCTCCTTCATGAGTCAAAATCATATATATTTATACTAATATTCTGTGTATACGCACACATAAATCTATTATTCACTGAATCTGCTTTACTAAACGTATCTTTTTCTTAACTACTAATTTAATACATTTTGTCCAAATCTCTTTTCAACTAGACAAATCCATGAATGCCAAACAAATGTAAATTAGTACACAAACAGGGTCAAATTTAGCAATAAAACCTGGTGAACTAGTTTAGTGAAAAGTCTTTTCCTATGCAAATGGTAGCAAACAATGAAACTAGGCCTCAACTCATTCACACCATGTGGTCAATGGTGGATTAAAATCCACATGGTCAGACAAAAAGTAAAATTGTTTTTTGTTTTATATATAAAAATGACCAAAGGTTGGTAAAACGTAACAAGCAACACAATAATTCATCACTATGTTCTACAACAAGAGATACCTTAAAAAACAAATATCTAATCCCTATCTGCTATCTGCATTCATTCCATTAAAACCAAATCATCATTCATTTATTCATTGTATACAGACAGACAATTTACAGTATGATTTAAGCAAAATGCATAACATTTATATTTTCCCCAATATTCAAGCATAATCCTGCCGACTACGCCAAATGTTGTGGGCGTGACCTAAATATGAATATTAATCTCTTAATACATAATAATTAAGCAATACGGAACAACATTAATATTTTATAATTCATGGTATTATGGTCGAATATGTGGATAGAAAATACACAAAACGTTGTAATATTAAATGTATATTTAATATAACTATAATAAATAAACAGATGCTAGCGGAATGTCAATTTCAATAATTATACAATACAATACTACACAAAACACTATTGGTTGCTAAGGCTATTACAATTGCTAACTGTTACAATACAAACATATTACTTACAAGGCCCCAGCCAAAGGGCTGGGGCTAAGTCAGAGCTGGTGCTACATGATCAGTCAGGTACAGGCAAACAGAGAGCTCGCTTCTCCTCACATCTGGGTTTTATTCAGTGTAAGTAGGCTGGCCTGTGATGTCACTGCCAGAAGCACAGGTCTTCCTACACACTCCCCCTAGTGGTGCCCCCAAAGCATTACACTAAATATGCTTTACTGACATCTAGTGGTGCGTCTAAAGCATTAAGCTCATTATGCTTTTTTTTATGACAAAAAGTCATTAATTAATAAATACCATTACACTCTCCCTACACTTATAAGACCTCATGTGCGTGCGGCGCTACGCGACTCCAGCTTATATATAGAGGCTGGGTCACATGCTGCACTGGCAAATCACAGCCATGCCATTAGTAGGCATGGTTGTGATGGCTTCTAAGGGCACATGAGTCAAACGCTTGTTGATTGGCTGCCCTGCAGCCTTTGAAAACATGCCATTAAATCGTTGAACACCGAACTCCAACCCGAACATACATGATGGGTCCGGGGTTCAAAAAATGTAATGTTCGGTACGAACCTGAACTTTACAGTCCGGGTTCGCTCAACTCTAGTCCTGACCTTCATAATGATTTTGTGTTCTGGCAGGTACCTCTCCCTCTAGATCCTCTATTGGAGTAGGAGGATTGAACTCTCCACTGGGATCTACCATATTCTCTACCTGGCTTGTATGACCTACTATCGCAAAAATACCTCTCTTTGTTGAACTTGTCCTTATTGGTAGAAACGCTTTCTTCCCATCTGCAGCTTTTTGAATGGCATCATCCAGGACTTTACCAAACAGAAAGGGAAGAAATGAGTGATGACAGCATCAGGAGGGACAACAGGGTTGGAGACGGGAAGGGGAGAGGAATCAGGAACTAGGATGGAAGGAATGGTAGGGTGAGGATAGGGAGAAGTAGGAGTAGAGGGAATATCAAGTGAAGCGACAGAGGGGAACGACGGGTAAAAGCGGGAGGGGAACAAGGATAGGAGGGCTGACAGGGAGAGGAATGAGAGGGGTGACAGGGGAAGCTAAGGGTAGAGGTGTGAGGGGGGCAGAGTAGGCACCTGCAATGTGGGGCAAACAGGTGTCTACTCTGCTTTTACACAAGGCATGTACTCACGACTCGCCGGGCTGCAAGGAGGTCCATTGTGGGCCGCATGTGGCCAGTGGGCCGCGAGTTTGACATGCTTGCCCTACAGCATCATCTAATACGATTTAGCTGATTGGACAAATTGAAATCAGCTCACTTCCAAACCCATCTATGATATACAGCACGTACCATTGGATAAGCCCCCACAGCATCATGACACAGGAGTGAGCTGATTGGATAAATGAAAATTAACTCCAAAATGTGTGTGATTTTAGCCAGTCCCATGCTTGGCTAGAGGACAGTAGGTCCCCCCCCCACTATCCTTTATGGCCCCCACCCACCGCTCAGGGGTGAGGGCCAGGGGAGGACAGTAGGTCCCCCCCTCATTATCCTTAAAGGCCTCCACCCACTGCTCAGGGGTGGGGGCCAGGGAGAGGACAGTAGGTCACCCCCCATTGTGATTTATGGCCCCCACCCACCACTCAGGAGTGGGGTCTGGGGGGAGGACAATAAGCTCCCCTCATTATCCTTTAGGGTACTAGGGCTTTTTGTTTATTTTAACAGTGAGCAGCCACAGGCGTTCTATCTCAGTGACAGGATGTTCAGCAATACTGACAGGAAGCATCGCGGAAACAGGGAGGAAAGCTAAGGATTGTGGGAAAATTTCTCTGATCACCGGAAACGAAGCACACTTTGCTCCTCCGCTGGTCATAGCTGGTCATGGCGTAGGAAACCTCCAGAAGAGAAATAGTCCCTACTAGAGAAGAGGAATCGATTGGAGAAAGGTAAGTTCGGCATGACTGTGCCGCTTTAACTGAATTTAGTTGTTATGAAGTCAAAGGATGTATGTTATAATTGCTATTAATATAATATTTATATATATTTAATATCTTGATTTACCACTAGCAAAACCTCAATTATTAGCAGTAAATATGGAATGTATTAGTGAGCAAGAACGGAAGACCTTTTTCCAGTTCTCTACTACTTTACAATACAGTAAAATTATACATTTTACTAGTCAGCACACCATAACTCACAAGTGTAAACCCTAAATTATTACACCATGTCTGATCTGATGCTTTTAATATATAAATATATATATATATATATATATATATATATATAAATATATAATGTCTTTCTCTTCTCTATGAGGATATACAGTTAAAATATCACAATCTGCCTTGCAGTCCGGGTGCAGAGAATAAGGAGGAGCATTCTCCTGCCTATCATACATTCAATGGGGTTATCTCACAGCTGCTCAGGTTTAAAAGCCTGGAGACTCCCCAAACAGAGAACTCTGGCAGAGCTGATCTACCCTGCACCATGTCCGGGGCTGCCCTCCTTCTGGCTCTCAGCTCACTCTGCACATGTAAGGACACATGTGGGGACATTGTTACTGTTTAGACTAAACAGTTACTGCTAAGAACCAAAATATGTATTATAATTACTGATTGAAGAAATTTATAATATTAATGAGCGTGCCACCATGGCAAATTGTTAAAGATTTGTTCATTCGCCTAATTCGTTTCTTATTTCTGTTACAGATTGTACTTCCCAGATCACTGTGACTCAACCAGTCTCTGAATCAGTCTCCCTGGGTGACACGGTGAGAATTTCCTGCATCCGCAGTGGAGCCAGTGTCAGTACTAGGATTGTGCAGCAGCAAATAGGGAATAAACCCAGGTACCTGCTGCGGTATGATTCTGACTCTAGCAAACACCAAGGAGATGGAGTCCCAGATCGATTCTCTGGATCCAAAGACTCTTCCAATAATGTTGGTTATTTAACCATTACGGGGGGGTTGCCAGAAGATGATGTTGATTATTACTGTGCTATATGGCCTTCTCCTTCTAACTCATTACAGAGTGATACATTATGAGGAACTGATACAAGTATAGTCAGTGTGCGGAGTGACAGACTCCTTGTTGTAACGTGCAATATGACATAGGAAGTATTGAACCCTCTACAGCACACATACAGACAAATACATTAAGAGGCTTCTAGACTGCAAGCTATTTCACAAGATTATCCTACTAAAGAGACTGCATTATGATAATGAATGTGAGGACCAAACTTCTGGAATAAAAGGGAATCATGACATGTCATGGGGTTAACTTTCAAAGGTCTTAAGGAGCAAATACCTCTAGTGACTGTCAGTCTGACAGCCACTAGAATCATGTTTTCTGGCAAATGTCAACACTGTCACTTCTCAGAAACTGCTAAGTTTTTAATTGCCAGATAAAAATGACAGCATCAGTGCACAAAAAAACATTATATTAAGATTTAGTATTTTTCATGCTGAGTGTCCTTTTAAGGGATTGGAGTAGAGATTTGGAAACAAATGAAACAATGGAATGAGGGAATTGAAGATGATATGGCAGAGCAGAAAATGAAGAGAGCTATTTTACTTTAAATCATTATGTCATGAAAATGGCCTGTTTTTACAAACATCCTCATATTTTCTCTTTTCTTTGTCTGCAAAGCAAAGGCAGGCAGTTCAGAAGTTCCAGCATAAATAAATGTTTTTAAGTATGTCTGAATTTTGTGGTTTGTAAAGGTATAACTTTTACTTTGTCTTAAAAAACATATGTGATTTAAAGGAACTGTATAGGTTAAAAAAAATGCATAGCCTCCCCTCCCCCCAATAGTAAACGTACTGTCACTAAATGCTTTTTCCCCTAAATAGTGTAAAAATGAGCTTTAGAAGTACCTGTTCTAATCTTAACTTTGATCAGTTTTCTACTCTGCTTTAATGTAATTCCCTCCTTTGCTTTCTTCATGCTTCCTGTATTTAAACTGGACTGTCCACCAATGGCCACGTTCCAGTGATTCTCTGTGAGAATCAATAATGACATGCCTTACTGGGTGTGCCTGAGCTTCACTTAGCTCAACAAATGCCCACAATGCCTGCTCAAGCTTGGAGTCTTCAGCATTCAGACACTAGAAATTACATACCACATCACACACACACACACACACAAACATTACCTGACCACATTGGTTATCATATAGTATTACACGTTTATTATAAATAAATATAAAGAGACAGACAAACTCATCAATACCTATGGAGTTTTGTGTTATCTATCTTTAGGATGGTTGATTAACTGAGGCTGGAGGGGTATGGATTAACAGTGGGTAGTGAGGTTGGCTGACTGGGACGCGCAGGGAAGGGGTTAACAGTGGGGAGGTTGGCTTACTGGGACTAGTAGGGAAGAGGATGACAGTGGGGAGGAAGGTTGGCTGACAGGGACTAGAGGAGAATGTATTACTTACATTACATGGAGAAAGGGAGACTCTGCAGTGCATTCTGTGCTGTGAGCATTCCTTACACTACAGAAGACATGCCTGTATTTCTATTAGCTGCAAAAGGTATGTTTATTTCAGAGACCCAGAATCAGGAACATGTTGAAATGTAAGATAGGGGTGGCTAAGGAGGCTGGGTTACACTGCTGAAAACAGCAAAACCGGTTACAGCACTGCAGGAAAACTATAGAGAATTGAAAAAAAAGAAACAAACCATAGGTATTTGAGCATATTTGCTTTAATTTAATCCTAACTTGCTTTGCTGCCTAGATTGTCCCTTTAGCTGCACTTTGAAGAGTCTGTATTGCTATTTTATATTTAAGCCTATAAGCCTGAATCAAATGTTCCTAAAAAAATAAGTCAATCCTGTGCCAAACGGATCCTACTGCTACTCCTTGAAAACCTGTGAAGGTGGAGCACATTAACGTCACGTCAGAATGTGGCGTTGTGTGCCCCGGCAGGTTCTCCACTGTCCAGCTGTGGCCATCGCAACGCTGACAGACACACACATAGACAGTCACACACACAAAGTGACAGACACACACACTGACAGTCACATACACACACACACATTGACAGTCACACACACACACACTTCAACATTCTTGCACACACTCACATCATTGTATCCATCTTCTCTCAGTCTTCTTGCTCCTCACTGCTCCCGCGTGCGCAGTTTAGTAATGCCGGGTGCTGGAATATGATGTCATATTCCAGCGCCCGGCTTCACTTCAGAAGGTAGTGAAGAGCAAGAAGACTGAGCTCCCTCGCTGCCGCCAGAGACCTCTCCCCCGGCTGGGTAAATGAGCAGAGTAGGCACCTGCAATGTGGGGAGAGCAGGTACCACAAACATATTCATAGTGGGCCGCATGCGGCCCACAGGCCGCGAGTTTGACATGCTTGGTTTAAGACCATGAGGACCTTATTTATATTTTGAAATAAACATAGCATTTATATTTTTCCTCTAAAAATTGTATTTCCATCTTGTCTGTATTTCCATGCTGTGCTTTTTACACAAAAAATTTACTGCAAAATGTGCTCAAATTTTTATATTATACAACGAGCAAATGTTGGGTTTCTCTTTCAGAAGTGAATAGTACGCTGTCACTAAGTTTTTTAATCGAAAAAATTTGCGTTAGTTGTGTAAATCCCCTAAACAACCTCCTTCATATTACAAAACGAAGTGGTAAAAGGAGAGGAGAGAGGACATACAGCTGAGCAGAGGCCTCAAAACTGAAATGTCAGCACAGGCACACATGTTGGCTAGTGATGTTGTCACTGGTGCTACCATTGAACCACGTCTTCAACAAAAGAGGAAGAAAGAACAGATATAGAACCATGTGCAGTTTTTCAAAATGACCCCTAAGCCATCCATCCACGCCCATAATCCCAGTCATCCATCTGCATCCATTTATCTTAGCCACCTATCCACATCCAGTAGCTAAGCCACATTTCTACATATATTACCAACAGGCACATAACATCCTTTAGACCAGGGGTCCTCAAACTCCGGCCCCCCAGATGTTGCTGAACTACAACTCCCATGATTCTTTGAATTACATAGCCAGAGAATCATGGGAGTTGTAGTTCAGCAACATCTGGGAGGCCGGAGTTTGAGGACCCCTGCTTTAAACCCAGCCATACATTCATACCATTAACCTCAGCCATCCATCCACACCCATTATCTCCACCCACTAATCATAGGTAACTTTAACAGCTGTTAGATTTATCCATCACCCAGACCACCTCCAACATCCATCAACCACTTCCATTACAATACATCTTCCAAAATGTTGTCGGACTCCATACACCTGTACATTCAATTCAGCTTCACTGAATTTTTTTCTTCATTTTCCTGCTGCTCTCACAATTGCATGAAAAAAATTTAGGCCTCAAGTTGCAAGAGTGGATCTCTGAAGCAATTATTAAATGGCTCCTGGCATACAAAATTATTTTGATCTGTAACCAGACCAAACATAGATTGTCCAAATAACGTATAAAGTGTGAGCAAAAATTTAACATTTCAAATAATTTGCTATTTTACACCAATCGCAAGTAAATTACTCAGTAGTGTAAATCATGTAAACCACAGGAAGACATGAAAAAATAAAAACCAAAGAAACAAGTTACTTGCACACTATCCCAAATCTCTATGCACATTTAAATAACTTAAGGTTATTTTAGTATCACTCCAATGGCCATTCAAGTGTAAACTCAACTGCCACGTCAAAGTAAAGTCCTACACAAACAATTTACCTTGCTTCTTTCAATTACATTGTAAAATCTCTAATGAGACAATGAGGGGTATTTTTCTAAACCTAGACACTTCTTAATCTTTACAATGGAACACATGGGGTGGGTGGGAGCACTGTAACATGGCTGCATTATACAAAAGCAAATATAAATATACAAAATTGAGCCCTACACTCAAACTCTCACTACTCTTGGGCTGAGTAGAAAAATAACTCTAGTTACTTAAATGTTCATGTCATTGCTACTGCCCATGAGTAGTGGGAGTTTGAGCTCAGTGTTTGAACACAGGGCTTAATTTTGTATAATAGTTATGAGAAAATCCTCATGCAATTCAAAAAGCATGCAAAATTTCCCACCTTTTACTACAGGATTTTAATAGTTTTTTTTAAAATAGGCCGCTACAGCCTGATCTTCTGAATCCATTTTAGTGAAGAGTCAATTCATTTTGTGTCAATGTAATATGTTATATACAAGTAATTATTAAATATAGTTTGTAGAACCTGTAGTTGCATGCACTTAACATGTGGGGATTCCTCTTTCAAGGGCACATGCAGGTCTTTATGCTAATTCATATTGCTTCTATAAGGACCAGTTTGGGCGCCATAACAACACTATATTCCTGTTGCTTGCTCAGCTCTAGAGGTTAAACCGTTCACAAGCACTTTAACCCTTAAATCTGTGGTCCTGTTCAGGATTACTCTAGGAATTCTGAAACCACAATGACAGGGGGGCAGAGTGATTTGGCACTGATGCACAGACTTTTTGTTCACATTCACAAATAGTTAAACCCCTAAATGTGAGCCAGAGCTTCATGGCACCATAAAAACGTAATTTCCATAAAGTTTTTAGGGTGTCCAAACTGGTACTTTAACATACTTATCTGTATACAAACAACAAACAGGTTTCTGTGTTTGACTGTTGCTATTCATGTATATATATATACACACATACACACACACACACACACACCTGATTTATGTTCCTGGATGGCACAGAAAGGTTCCAATCCTTAATTATTTATATATATATATTTTTTTTATGTTATACCACCTCTTATTAATTCTCTATTAAAGCTTGTTTGAAAGTTCACTTCTGGTTATTAGTCCTACATTTTTTATCAATCTTATATGACTGTATTTTATTATTTCATATGGAGTAAAGAATAATCTGGAATTTTTTACGATTGTTTTGGTTTCCTTCAGATATTGGGTCAATGGCAATGTGCCGACAAATTACATCCTATATATAGAATTCCTCCCCACTCCAAGAAAATTATATTTGCATACAAGCATCTGATTAGTTGATTCAGTGGTTAAATTCCAGACGAGACGGGCTTCACACCAGCTGCATTAAGTTCTGTGATCATATCTGCAATGCTCTGGTTGTTTGTTTTTGGTTTCCTGGTGGTATGCTGCTCTTGTAAGTTAATGTGCAGCTCTTGAAGTATGCATGGAGAACTGATTGAATGTGTTTGTTATAGGCATATTGGATATATCTATTGTAGGATGCGTTGTATGTAAGTTTGTTTTGTAAGAAATATAGATAACTAAGCTTCTGACTGTATACTTTTTTAAGTGACTCTTAGTACAGAGTTTATTTATAATATACAGATATTTATAATATCTATTTCCTAGGTGCTGGCTCCCAGCCTCGGATGACCCAGCCACCTTCTGCGATTGTCTCACCTGGAGAGAATGTTCAAATCCCCTGCACCCTGAGTGCGGGGAAAACGTTTGATATCTACAGAGTGATATGGCTGCAAACAAAGCAGGACAATGCTATTCGCATGATTTATCACTACCGAAAGGGGAGCACACAGGGCGAAGGTCCAGGGATTCCAGACAGGTTTTCCGTGACTGATGATCCGGCCAATTGGCGCTGGTATTTGGTTATAAATGGCGTGCAATCAGAGGATGATGCTAATTATTATTGTACTGCATACATTGATGATACTTATGGCTATCACAGTGCTTTAAAAAGAGCTCTACTGGTATTAAAACCACTTCTGCTTTCTCTGCTTTCAATAAATACAATCAGGGAAAGTAATAAAAATCAGTTGGATCTTCCAAATTAGACTACCCACATACACTTACCAAAACAGAACGGATCTTCATTTTAATAAATATCAAGACTGATAAGACATAATATGTGGTCGAACTAAATGCAAAATTCTAGCACCACACACAATTATTAACAATGCCAATTTTGTAAGAACACATAGAATTTGACACTGAGCACATTTGAATGTGCTCCTCAGTTTGTAAGCTATTTAAATAATAGGCTTGATTTAATATTTTTGGACACGGTTTTAATATTTAATATTTTTTGGATACACTTTTAAATTATTAAATCTTTTTAAAAACATTTTTATATATTTAGAATTTTTTTTTATATATATTGATTATATAAATATAGATATATATATATATATATAATTTTGTTTATTTTCTTTTATATTTTAAAGGAACACTATAGTCACCTAAACAACTTTAGCTTAATTAAGCAGTTTTAGTGTGTAGATCATGCCTCTTAAGTTTCACTACTCAATTCACTGCCATTTAACCCCTTAAGGACGGAGCCAAATGTACAAGTTGTGATCAAAACAAAATGTAAACAAACCACAGAATTTGACTCTCTGTCTGTTCAACTATAATTTTACCACATGACAGGAGGCGAATATTTGCATATCTTTCTTTACTGTAAACTCCAGCAGCATAGAAACAGTAACAACCAATCAGAGAAAAGATATGGTGCCCATAAAAGGCCCTGTCTATGACATCACTTCCTCTTTCTTTGCTGCTCCAGCCTACAGGTCAGAGTATTTTTACCCTCTGTGGCTTGTTATAATTTATTATACTTGTTGATGTTTATACCTAACTATTTATATCCTACTACTCCTGGCTCTCTACACCTGTCTCCCTGCTTCCCCTCCTTATCTACTATATATCCTTTTTCAGACTTCCCTATTTTGTGTGAAGGTCCGCGGGCGCCGGCTGCCGGTGCCGTGCTCGCCACGCGGACCTACTCCCTTCTCACTCGGGGACTTCGTGGGGACGGGTAGAAGGGGACCGGGTAGTTTTATTATTTTTTCCCGCCGCGCCTTCCACCCGCGGCCGCGAACGGGTGCACACGCGGTCGGCGGCATTCGCGGCCGGCGGCCATCTTGGATCTCGCATCTCGCGAGATCCTCGGCGGCCGCCTCTACCTACGGTATAGCGGGTCGGGAATCACCCGACCACCGCTCCACAACTCCATTGCCCCTACAGGTGGCCCCTACTAAGGACCACACTATATAGATTTTTTCATTTTTTATATGGGGTAGAAAAGGATGGCTGGATTTTAACCTCCTACTGCCCACTACTCTGGGCACATGTATACTGCATGCAATAAGTTACATACATCTGTATCCTTACAATCACACTATTGTTCTACTTCTATATAATCACAAGAGGCATATTGTTACCAGACCCTTTACAGGGTCATACCATATTGCTGTACCCTCCAAGGGCATATTACATTACAGCCAAGGGCATATTACATTGCAACACCCTTCAAGGGTTACATTATATTACTGTACCTAACGGTGCAAACTGATGTGGGTGTCCTCTGGGTATTTTTTTTCATGGCACACCACCTGGGGTGACCCCCCAGATATGCATGCAAGGTCACTGACCATTATCTTATGTGGGTGTCCTCTGGTTACCACGGCACACCACCCGGGGTGAACCCCGAGTATATGCACGAGGACCTGCCCTCAACTGACATTTAACCCTGTTTGCTACCTAACGTGCAATACAGCTCTGGTGTACAACTGTGGCGAACCCTACCTATACACCACCACTGAGCTCATATCAGGCGGCCTCTGTATTAGGCGACAGCCCATATACAATATGCCTCTAAGCACAATTTTTGCCAACTGGGCGGCCCCCAGTTGTACCAGGAGTCTGTCACTACATGTACTGACTCTCCTCCACCGCTTCCACTGATTTTCATTATCGCCCAACAGGCCGAGGAAAACACACTACAAATCATGGAAGACACCCAAAATAGTCAGGACTTTCAGGCTATGATTAATGCTGCAGTGGCGGCATCTGTAGAAAAAGCCCTCTTGAAAGCTCTACCCCAAAGTCAGGGCGACATGAGTCCCCCAGAACGGATGGAGGCTTCGGGCTCAGAGATGTCCAAAGTAAAACGACAGCGAAAGACCCTAAGCCCCCCTTCCACCAAGACTAGGGGCAAATCACCCACCAAACGGAGTAAGACCACGGGCCGACTACAGCCCGCACCCCAACCATTTCCATCCTCCGACGAAGAGGACTCCTATGTACCACGCACCTTGGACGTGGTCGACGAGTGGCACGGGGAGGAATCAATTTCCGATGAAGAGGAATGGCAGGACTTACCTCCCACCTCCTCGAGATACGTTAAGGAGACCTTTCTCGACACCACCGACCGAGACAGAGATAGCAACACGGATAAGACCGGAGATGGAGTGTTTATAGATGACCAAGGGAACCCACTCTTCGACCCACGTTCCATCCGACACCCACGGTCTTCCGAGTGGAGCTTACCAGACCACCTGACAAAGTTCATTCACTTCTGGCTACGCAAGCCATTAGAAAAGGAGGTACGAGCACGTCTCCGGGCCGAATGCCCCAGACCCTTGTTACCCGACAAAGTGGCACTTACCCCTGAATTTGACAATACAGTTGTGGTCTTTATGTCACGCTCGGGCCGAGACCCCCGAAAGGGAGTGGAAAAAGGCATGAAGGCGACACAGGATAAGGTGCTGGACCTACTCGGCCCCATTGCGAAAATACTCTACTTCGCAGACCTAGCCCTCAGCCAAGGCTCCCAACTAGACCCTCACATCATACGGGAATGGGCTCAAAGATCGGTGTGCCTTCTGGGCAACGCAAATGCCGCATTGTGCACCGAAAGACGCAGATCGGCACTCATCCGCATTGATAGTAAGCTCCTGGACCTCGGGGCGAAAGAATTCGGACCGAAAGCCCAAGGACAGCTGTTTGGCGACACCTTTATCACGGAACTCAAAAAGCACGTGAACCTTTTCACCACTTTGAATAAGGCCCAAACCTCACTCAAACAAGTTTTTCATACCCCGACTACAAGGGGTGTTTTTGGAAGGGCTGGTCGGCAGCGGAACCGAGCCACCAGCCGTTTTTGGACCTCCGGTTCCAGATCACTCCCACAGACCCAAAGTTTCTTCCCATCTACGACGCAAAGGCCCTCTTCGTTCCGAGGGACGGGGAGGTCTAGAGGATTCAGAGGTCGGGGACGCGGCCGTTTCTCCAATGGTGAGTCCCCCTACATACCAAAATGTCTCACACTTTATAGCAGGCAGCCTGTCCCTTTTCTTTCAGAACTGGGAGCTGATTACCAAAGACGCCTGGGTCCTACAGACAGTACGAGGCTTCGTCATAGATTTCTTCACAAAACCCATACAACCCAACCCCCCTCCTCCGATTCACTTGTCAAAGGAACAAGAACTCTTGGTGGACGAGGAGATCCACACACTCTTCAGGAAAGGCGCGATACAATACGCACCAGAAGGGGGAGGCTTTATCAGCAACATCTTCCTGGTCAAAAAGAAAACAGGCGACTACAGACCGGTGATCAACCTCCGACAATTGAACTCGTTTGTGGTATACAGGCATTTCAAGATGGAAGGAATCCACCTTCTACAAGACCTCCTCATCAAGAACGACTGGTTTACACGCCTGGATCTAAAGGACGCGTACCTGTCGGTTCCAGTGAGCGTTCACTGCCGATGTTTCCTCCGCTTCCTATGGAGAGGACGGATATGCCAGTTCACATGTCTGCCGTTCGGCCTCAGCTCAGCCCCGTGGTGCTTCACGAAGCTCCTGAGACCGGTGATGGCGCACATACGAACCCGCGGCATAAGATGTCTCGTATACCTGGACGATTTGCTAATTTTCTGCGAATCAGCCTCCAGACTACGATTGCAGACGAAGTTTGTCGTTCACTTGCTGGAATCTTTGGGTTTCGTAGTGAACAGACAAAAATCGTCTCTCTCTCCTTCCCAGTCGGTTCAGTTCCTCGGTTTCGATATCGATTCGAAGGACTGCGTACTACGCCTCCCCTCGACAAAGATAGCATCGATAAGGAAGGAAATCAGACGGGTTCTGAGGATGGACACGATACCACTCAGGATGCTCGCTCGGATCGTGGGACTCCTTTCCTCCTCCATACAGGCGATTTTCCCAGGCCCGCTCCACTACAGGGCCATGCAACGGCTGAAGGCGGCATACCTCCGCACTGGGCACTCGTACGACCAATGGATCCCACTGTCGACGGAAGTGAGGACAGAACTTCGATGGTGGTTACTACACATGCAAGCCTGGAATGGAAAGGCTATCTTCGGCTCCTCCCCGGACTTCATCGTGGAATCGGACGCCAGCCTATGGGGATGGGGAGCTCACTGCGCGGACGCCTCCACGGGAGGCCCATGGCAAGAGGAGGAGACCAACCTACACATCAACTGCCTGGAACTGATTGCAGGATCCTTCGCCATCCGCAGCCTGGCCAAGGACAAATCGAATTGCTGTATTCTGCTCCGCATGGACAACATTTCGGCGGTACAGTACATCAACCGCCTAGGCGGAGCGAGATCTCGAGCACTGACAGAGGCCACGAAGGACATCTACAGCTTCTGCCTGCGTCGGAACATCACGCTACAGGCGGAATACCTACCAGGAATCGCCAACCTGACGGCGGATTGGTTCTCACGCCACTGGCGAGACACCAGCGACTGGAAACTCAACAGGGAGATATTCCAAGAATTACGGCGAGGGACATACCCGCTAACAATAGACTTGTTCGCCTCCAGGACCAACCACCAACTGCCGAGATACTACAGTTGGCTCCCAGATCCGAAGAGCGAAGCGGCAGACGCATTCCTGCAAGACTGGCCCATCCTAGGGGCTTACGCCTTCCCACCATTCTCCATGATACCACGGGTACTGCGATACACACGCACCCGCAAACTATCGCTTCTACTGATAACCCCGCTTTGGCAGAGTCAACCGTGGTTCCCAGACCTCCTGGAAATGTCCCACGGACACCCCCGGCTACCCCCTGCCTTCCCACGACTTCTGACGGGACCTCGAGGAGAACCACACCCCCTCGTCCTGGAAAGGCAACTAGAACTAGTGGCTTGGACGATTTCAGGGGCTCCTGGTCAGTCCACGGCCTATCACAATCGACTAAGGACCTCCTATGGGACTCTTGGGCTCCAGGCACCAGGAAATGCTATATGTCCGCATGGGCGGCTTGGAGTAAGTGGTGTGTGGAACGGGACTCCGATCCCTTTAATGCCCCTATCCCACTGATCCTTAACTACCTAGCTCATCTGTTCTCGTTGGGACGATCGTATCGATCCCTCAACGTGATCAGATCAGCCATATCGGCGGCACACGTCCCGATACAAGGCAGACCAGTGGGTCAGGACCCACTGATATGCCGACTTCTACGGGGCGCTAAACTAACGAGACCACCGGCACCCAAATATTCTAACCTCTGGCAGGTAGACGTGGTGCTGGATTTTCTTAGAACATGGCCAGATAATCCTATCTGTCACTGAAACAACTTTCAGCTAAACTGACCCTCTTACTATGTCTCGTCTCGTTCCGGCGAGTGTCAGACGTTAGAGCATTCGACGTGGACGGGTTCTCCATCACTCCAGAAGGAGTTATTTTTTCCATATCAAGACGGACCAAATCGGATTCCGCCTCGATATCGTACCCGTACTTTGGCTCAGATCCCAAACTATGCGTTGTCAGGACGCTTATGAGATATACGGAAACCACAGCTCCCCTTCGAACCAGTTCGACGGGTCAACTGTTGATTTCCTATGTGAAGCCTCATGGACCGGTGTCCACGACTACACTGGCTAGATGGGTCCGCTGGCTACTATCGTTAGCAGGCGTTGAACCTCACTTTGGCGCACATTCGGTCAGAGGGGCGGCAGCCTCCCAAGCCTTAACGGCGGGCGCCTCGCTAATCGACATCATGCGCTGCGCAGACTGGTCACGGGAAAGTACTTTCAGGACTTTCTATTTCCGTCAAACAACTCATGCTTCCTTCACACTCATCAATTCCAAGCTTTAAAAATGCAAATATGAAGCCTCCTGTCATGTGGTAAAATTGAAGATTATACTAGCTTTAGTGTACTAATAATCTTAATTTTAGTAATGACAGGAGGCGAATATTTCCCACCCTATTGGACCCCCCCTTTATTTCATCAACGGAACAGAAGGCCTCATAGGTTCAGGAAGACATGTACCATAGGTGAGTATATTCCGTACCTAACAGTGTTTAGGGGTTGGTATAGGATGGAATGTAGTAACCTTATATCTATGTACATCATGTATATCTATAGTTCTTCCTATTACAGTAATTTTATCGGGTATATTACTTGAACCCTTTCGGACAGTTTGTGTTATGGCAGGATTATTATGTTTTAGATATGCGGACAAGTTATCACGCCAGAGACCTTTCACTCTTTTCCTTGTCTTGCAGTGTGATCGCCTTCTCGACAAGTGTGCACGTCTTCTATTCGGGACAAAGGCTCATCTCCCACATCGTTACATCAAGGAACTACCGGAGTTATTTTCACTATTATGCTGTTGAACTGTTAACGTAATTTGTTTTAGGTTTTATTGTTATTTACTGTTCGCACCAAAGAAAGAGGAAGTGATGTCATAGACAGGGCCTTTTATGGGCACCATATCTTTTCTCTGATTGGTTGTTACTGTTTCTATGCTGCTGGAGTTTACAGTAAAGAAAGATATGCAAATATTCGCCTCCTGTCATTACTAAAATTAAGATTATTAGTACACTAAAGCTAGTATAATCTTCAATTTACCTCTTTCATACTAAGTGCACCCACACTTATTATATATCGGTTTGCTCAGGGGAAACAGGGCTTTCATTCCATATCAAACATTCATATATAGAACTCCATTTTATATGAATAAAATCTAAAAAAGTTTACAAAATTAAGAAATTTTGATATTTTTCAATTTCTGCATGTCAATTTAACTGATAATGTCACAATACTGTTTGGTTTTACTGCAATAAAACATACATATTTGTATTCAGAAATGTCTCATGAGTAAAACAGTACCCCCCATGTATAGGTTTTATGGTGTTTTTGAAAGTTACATGGTCAAATATACGTCTTGTCTATTTATTTATTTTTTACATAGAAATTTCACAGATTGGTTTGCTGGGCTTAGGTTGCCTTTGAGACCGTATGGCAGCCAAGAAATGTAAGTTACGCCATCATGGCATACCATTTGAAAAAGTACACATCCCAGGGTATTCAAAATGGGGTATGTCCAGTCTTTTGTAGTAGCCACTTGGGCATAAACGCTAGCCAAACTTAGTGTTCATTTTTTTTTTCATTTTTCAAATAAAAATTGTATTTTGCTGATAATATTATTGTCAGTATATAGTTTACTGCCCTGAAATACTCCTAGTTCTGTTCAGTGATGTCTCACGAGCGGCATGGTATGCCCTATGCATAGGTTTTAGGCGGTTTTTGAAAGTTACAGGGTCATATATACGGCTTATCCATTTATGCTTTTTCACAATGGAATTTGTCAGATTAGTCTGCTGTGACAAGGCCGCCTTTGAGACCGTATGGCAGCCAAGAAATGAAAACTACCCCTTAATGGCATACCATTTGAAAAAGTAGACATCCCAGGGTATTCAAAATGGGGTATGGCCAGTCTTTTGTAGTAGCCACTTGGGCACAAATGCTAGCCAAAGTTAGTGTTCCGTTTTTTTTTTTGCGTTTTTCACATAAAAACTGTACTTTTACTGATAATATTAACTTCTGTATATAGTCTACTGCCCTGAAACCCTCCTAGTTCTGTTCAGTGGTGTCTCACAAGCACCACGGTACCCCCCATGTATAGGTTTTATGGGGTTTTTGAAAGTTACAGGGTCATATATACGGCTTATCAATTTATGCTTTTTCACATTCAAATTTGTCAGATTAGTCTGCTGTGACAAGGCCGCCTTTGAGACCGTATGGCAGCCAAGAAATGAAAACTACCCCTTAATGGCATACCATTTGAAAAAGTAGACATCCCAGGGTATTCAAAATGGAGTATGGCCAGTCTTTTGTAGTAGCCACTTGGGCACAAATGCTAGCCAAAGTTAGTGTTCCGGTTTTTCTTTTGCGTTTTTCACATAAAAACTGTACTTTTACTGATAATATTAACTTCTGTATATAGTCTACTTCCCTGAAGCCCTCCTAGTTCTGTTCAGTGGTGTCTCACAAGCACCACGGTACCCCCCATGTATAGGTTTTATGGGGCTTTTGAAAGTTACAGGGTCTTATATACGGCTTATCAATTTATGCTTTTTCACATTCAAATTTGTCAGATTAGTCTGCTGTGACAAAGCCGCCTTTGAGACCGTATGGCAGCCAAGAAATGAAAATTACCCCTTAATGGCATACCATTTGAAAAAGTAGACATCCCAGGTTATTCAAAATGGGGTATGGCCAGTCTTTTGTAGTAGCCACTTGGGCGCAAATGCTAGCCAAAGTTAGTGTTCCGTTTTTTTTTTGCGTTTTTCACATAAAAACTGTACTTTTACTGATAATATTAATGTCTGTATATAGTCTACTGCCCTGAAACCCTCCTAGTTCTGTTCAGTGGTGTCTCACAAGCACCACGGTACCCCCCATGTATAGGTTTTATGGGGTTTTTGAAAGTTACAGGGTCATATATACGGCTTATCAATTTATGCTTTTTCACATTCAAATTTGTCAGATTAGTCTGCTGTGACAAGGCCACCTTTGAGACCGTATGGCAGCCAAGAAATGAAAATTACCCCTTAATGGCATACCATTTGAAAAAGTAGACATCCCAGGTTATTCAAAATGGGGTATGGCCAGTCTTTTGTAGTAGCCACTTGGGCACAAATGCTAGCCAAAGTTAGTGTTCCGTTTTTTTTTTTGCGTTTTTCACATACAAACTGTACTTTTACTGATAATATTAATGTCTGTATATAGTCTACTGCCCTGAAACCCTCCTAGTTCTGTTCAGTGGTGTCTCACAAGCACCTCGGTACCCCCCATGTATAGGTTTTATGGGGCTTTTGAAAGTTACAGGGTCATATATATGGCTTATCAATTTATGCTTTTTCACATTCAAATTTGTCAGATTAGTCTGCTGTGACAAGGCCGCCTTTGAGACCGTATGGCAGCCAAGAAATGAAAATTACCCCTTAATGGCATACCATTTGAAAAAGTAGACATCCCAGGGTATTCAAAATGGGGTATGGCCAGTCTTTTGTAGTAGCCACTTGGGCACAAATGCTAGCCAAAGTTAGTGTTCCGTTTTTTTTTTTGCGTTTTTCACATAAAAACTGTACTTTTACTGATAATTTTAACGTCTGTATATAGTCTACTGCCCTGAAACCCTCCTAGTTCTGTTCAGTGGTGTCTCACAAGCACCATGGTACCCCCCATGTATAGGTTTTATGGGGTTTTTGAAAATTACAGGGTCTTACATACGCCTGTCCATTTTTGGTTTTAAACATTGAAAATTGGCAAAGCGATTTTCTGGGCCTATCTTGCCTTTGAGAGAGCATGGCAGCCTGGGTAAAATTATTTTCACTATTATGGCATACAATTTTCAAAAGTAGGCAACCCAGAGTATTTCAAATGGTGCATTTTAAGATGTTTGGTCTAACCACATTATCAGAAATGAAGGGCCCACATAGCGGTAATAGATTAATTTGTGCATTTTTCCACACATGAAATCACTTTTCACAGGACATTTCCTATTCCTGGTATGAGTTATTGCAACAAAGCCTCACTATTTTTTTTTAACATTGTCTCCTGAATATAACAGTACCCCCATGTACCAGATTTTCTGTTTTTTGGGGAAGTCACAGGGACAAATATATCAGATGTCCATTTCAAAATTGGAAATTTGGCAAAGTGATTTTCTGGGCCTATCTCGCCTTTGAGAGAGCATGGCAGCCTGGGTAATAACATTTCCACTATTATGGCATACCATTTTCAAAAGTAGGCAAGCCAGAGTACAACAAAATGCAGACCTTAAGATGTTTGGTCTAGCCATTTTAACAGAAATGCTGGGCCCATGTAGCGATACCTACTTTTAGTTTTGTCTTTTTAATCACATAAATTGCATTTTCACTAGAAATGTCATAATTCTGGTATTAGTTAGTACACTAAAACCTCAGTAGTTTGATTTAACACGGTCTTCTGAATAGAACAGTACCCACATGTACAATGTTTCAAGGTTTTTATTATATCACAGGAATAGAACAGTACCCCCACATATACTTTGATCTGGAGGCAGAGAGAGGCAGAGAGATGTTTTATCTCTCATAGGGAGTTACTGTGTGAAAAGCTGAGAAGTTAAGAAAAAAAACCTGTGATTTTATTAACCCTTTCAATGCTAATTGCAGCATTAACCCTGTGATTAGTTTTTTGCTTTTTTTTGTGAAGGCACATTTCAAATACTACAATTGTAGTATTTTGAGTTGTTTGGTGTAGCCACTTTAGAATGGCTATCGTAAACAGGGACAGGCCAAGGTCAGGGGAATCCAGAAGTTAGAGTAGTTGGTAAAACAAGCCGATGGGTCGGTACAGGCAGCTAACAAAACATAGTCAGGACAAGCCGAGGTCAGTAATCCAGGGAAATCAAACACACTGCCAAAGTCCCATACAGAGTGATTTAGAAGTTCAGCTCTGTATGGTAGACTTTGAAACAGTCTGTTATGCAGAGGCCGGGTTTAGATGGACAAGTTGGGCAATAATAACTAGAGGCCTTTCGGCACTTTTTTGGGGAATTTCTTTTACTAGCGGTGGCAGGGATTCGGGAAGGGAAGTGTTTGCCACAAAGTCTTTGGAGATCTTCTGATCCCAAAGTGGGATTGGGGGGCTGGGTAAATAATAAATGTGACAAAAGGCTTAGAGTGAAGTCTAGGAAAGGGCAGGGCCTACCTATGAACTCTTTTTTATAGAGGACATAGGCATTGAAAATTGCAATCTGGCTCACGTAGATTGCAATTTTCTTGTACCAGGTCCTAGTTTTCCGGTTCACTAGATAGGGCTGTATGCATTGGTCAGCCAAGTCTACTCCCCCCATAAACTTGCTGTAGTCTACAATGCACTTCGGCTTTTCCAGATGCTCAGTGCTACCTCACACAGACACTGGCACTGTACTTTCGTCATGCATTGTAGACAGCATGTATACATCCTTTCTATCTGTGAAACGAAGGGCAAGCAACTCATCCTGGTGGAGGGCTGAAGAGGAACCTCTACTGCTTCTGCCTCTTGCCAGGGTTTGGGGGAAACCCCTGCGATTCTTCCTCACTGTGCCACAGGCTAGGGTTTCAAAGTAATATAAATTTTTAAATAACTGTATACTGGTATAATAATTGTCAACCCATAGCCTATATCCCTTATTTAACAAGGGAAGGATTAGATCCCAAACAATCTTTCCACTTGTACCCACAGAATCAGGACATCCTGGTGGGTCAAAATGGCTATCCTTCCCCTGGTAAATGCGAAACGCCCATGTGTAACCAGTACAGGATTCGCATAATTTATAAAATTTAACGCCATATCGGGACCGCTTAGAAGGAATGTATTGCTTAAATAGCAGTCGACCTTTGAATTTCATAAGGGACTCGTCAATTGAAATATCTTTATCGGGGATATAATTTTCAGAAAATTTGTCTGACAGGAGTTGGATAAAGGGCCGGATTTTATAGAGCCTGTCAAACAGTGGGTCATTTCTAGGGGGGGCACAGTGAGTTGTCATTAAAATGAAGGAATCGCAGCAGTTGCAGATAGCGATCCCTCTGCATAACCTCAGGGAAAAGAGGGGTAGCCAGGATGCGTTGCTTGCTCCAGTAGGACCTGATACTGGGCTTTTTAACTATACCCATCACTAGGGTTAAAGCCCAAAACCGCTTCATCTCTGTGACATCCGTGGGTCTCCACATATTCCTGCGATTATGATGGGACCCCGGATGTGCAGAGAGATACTGCACAGCAAACAAATTTGTTTGCTGAGCCATGAGCTCAAATACATCGTCCGACATAAATAGCTCAAAAAAACGAATTGGCTCGCAGTCGTCCACTGTTACAGTGATGCCAGGTGTAACAGTGAACGGCGGTATTTCTGGTGCCATCATGTTTGAAGGCACCCAGTCTCCCTCTGGCATTGGGCATTCTGAGCCTCCTCTTGTGAGTGGTGGTGGGGCACCATCACTTGAGGTCTCACTCAGAGGCTCAATGTCAGAGGCAGTGATAGTGTCACTGTCTTGCAGAGTGTCACTATCACTGCCTGCCAGAATGGCATACGCCTCCTCGGCTGAGTAGCGACGTGCCATTCTAGGGGGAAAAAAATTAAGTGAAAAGGGCTAAGGGGCTAATTAATTAACTACCTGCCTAACACCCACTACCCACCCTCAAAAACAAAATAAATGTACTGATCACAGTAAAGGGAGCTGCGATCAGTACTGAAAGGGTTATTTTTAAGTTATGAAAAAAAATAACCCTTAAAAAAAAAAAAAAAAAAAAGTCAGCCTGATCAGAGAGCCCTCTGATCACAGTGATCACTGATATAGTACCGTACAGCAGATATACTGTACAGTACAGTGATCACGGCAGCGGGGAAAGGGTAATGGAGATTTGGGTTGCTGCAACTGACACAAAGGGTTAAAAAAAATGAGAAATTATTTTTTTTGACCCAAAATTTTTTTTAAAATAAAGTACAAAAGTACTTGATGCCCTATTCAGCTGATGACAGTAATAAACTGTGATCAGTGCTGAAAGGGTTAAATAAAATATATATTTTTAAAACTTTTATAAAGTAATAAAACTTTTTTTTTCACAGGAGCTCTAAAACCAACGATGTCTCTGCCTCTCTCTCTCAGATCGAAGTGAGGTGAGGAGAGGGGCAGAGACAAAGTGTCAGCCAGTGACCTGAGGTCATTGGCTGACACATACTAATAGTGATCACAGTGACTGGCTGTCACTGTGATCACCTCCTGCAGATTGGTTATTTGACCACAGGGGGGAGTGCCTGGGTGGTACAAGCACTCCCCCTACCGATCTGCAGGGGGATCATGGTGGCTGTTACATGTATCACACTTTAGGCTGATACATGTAACATTGATCGCAGTGACAGGCTGTCACTGCGATCAGAGCACTCTGAGATCGCAGTGACAGCCTGTCACTGCGATCTCAGAAGGTGCAGATCGCGGTCACTGACCCCAGGGGTAGCCGCTGGCCACGTGTGTCAGCCGATTTGAAATCGGCTGACACACGCTTAAAAACTGATTGCAGTGACAGCCTGTCATTGCGATCAGATGCTGCAGATCGCGGTCACCGGCCACAGGGGGGTTGCCTGGGGGGCCAGGCATCCCCCCCGACCGTGATCTGCAGCAGGAGATTAGAGCCGGCCACATGGGCGGCCATTATAGCGAGGGCGTACTATTATGCCCGCTGGCGTTTAGAGCCGGCTCCTGCAGGGCGTAATAGTACGCCCTGCGGATTTAAGGGGTTAAGAGTTAAATCACTTTGTTTCTGTTTATACAGCCCTTGCTACACCTCCCCTGGCTCTGATTGACACAGCCTGCATGAAAAAAAACTGGTTTCACTTTCAATCAGATGTAATGTACCGTAATTGTATCTCTTGCTCTGTAAATTGAACTTTAATCACATACAGGAGGCTCTTGCATGGTCTAGCAAGCTATTAACATAGCAGGGTATAGGAAAATGCAAAGTAAACATAACTTACAATAAAGGTAGTATAAACTTTAGATGACTCTTTTACAGGAAGTGTTTAGGAAGGCTGTGCAAGTTACATGCGGGGAGGTGTGACTAGGGTTCATAAACAAAATGATCTAACACCTAAATGGCAGATACTTGAGCAGTGAGACTGCAGGGGCATGAGCTATGCACCAAAACTGCTTTATTAAGCTAAAGTTGTTTTGGTGACTATAGTGTCCCTTTAATATTGTGAAATTATATATTTTAAAAGTTTATTAAAACATTTAAAAAGCTCATCCAAAATATTAAATTTAGGCAAATATTAGCATTAGGGGTTATTCAGTAAACCAAGAATTATGGAGCACTTAATAAAGAAATGCAAAATCTAAGGCAAAACTAAGTTGTAAAAATTGGTGATTTGGACGGTTTTTTCAAATTTGGTTATTTTGACTAAGAATTTCTCAGTTCTCCACAGTTCTCAATTTAGTGAATAATCAGTGTTCTCTCTTTTTAAGGTTTTCAATAATACAATAAAGAGCAATAAGTAATTTCTATTGCAGTCAGTTATCCAAAATATGTATTTTCAAAAACGGATCATAGTGAAGCATTGGATGCAATAATTTCCTATGAGAAGCATTTGGGTGGACAAGTGACTGGGCTTTTTGTCCCTAATGTTTCTCTATGAGAATCATTGGTCTGGATGAAAAGTCAAGAAAGTAACGCTTGCTAGATGACATCATTGGAAGAGAATCAGACAGCAGCACTGAGTGAGTCTCAGCACTGGAAAAAAGTTAAGTAAAAACATTTTCATTTTATTTTATTTTTTTTTATTTTTTTTGACATTCTTTATTTTTGTTTTTCATTATTAAATCACAGCATGTATATCCGATACAATTTAACAGGTGATAACAAATAAACAGGTCAGTTATGAGTATAACAGCATCAAGATGGTTTCAGCAACTGGTTGATAGGTTGTGTTTGAGTTTTTAGCTTCAATAAAACAATAAGCAATCTGATGTGTTGTGTTATGTCGTTGGCCCTGTATGGGGTTAGTCCCCTGTGTGTTTGGGTGTGTATGGGGTTTGCGGTTAGTCCGCAAGATTCATGTGTGCTATCGGATGGGTTGTTTCAACCGCTCTGGGTTGTGCTTGTGGGTCAGAGGGGGAGTTGTGTATCCCTGTGTTATTCTCTGAGCTTCCTCATTTGTAAGTATAATCATAATGGAGAGGCTGGCTCAGTGCAAGGTTTCCTTTCATTTACATATTGGATCTAGTGTTTCCCACGGTACTTAAGAGTTGTGGGAGTCTCTGTCGGCGTGCGTTGCGGTTCATCTTTGTCTCCAGCATCGCACGTGATGGTTTGTTTGTGTTACTTGTGCCAGGCTGATGGATATAGAGCTATGTCCCAGTCCGTGTTCTGTCTGCCTGTGTGTTTCGATCCTTAGGGGGGCACCGTCTGGGGCTTTGAATGGGGGTTCCAATCCGGTTAGTGTTTGATTTGCGCGTTGGTTCAGGTCGTAATGGGCCTGGTGTGGATGTGTTCAATCTTAGATCATGAGGGAGCCGATTATGTTGCCCCTGGGACCGTGTGATTACCCCCTATTCTCCCTGGGTCGATCTGTTTTTGGGGTTTCTAGGGATAGTTGACCTTGAGTTGTCCGTGGACGCAGCTAGAGTGTGTGGGGTTGTCCTGCGATGTCTTATTATGTAGGTGTGCGGCGTGTGGGGTCTGTGTTAGTCGTCGTGTCGTCACCTCGGGCCCCTGGTTTGTGTCACTCATGTGGTGGACGTAATCGTATCAACCCTGGGGCCTTAGCACGGTCCCTGTGACTCTTCTGGGTACCTAAGTCTAGGTTGTTATATCCTGTCTTGGATCTCGCTGGGTTCGGTGTATGTGGGGTTATGTCTGCCAACTGCGGCAGTCCTGGTTGTTAGATGGCGTGGTCTGAGCCGGGTGCTACTGGCTCAAGTCGTGGCATCTTGCGTCTGGGGTGGGGGTGAGTCCATGTCCCTTGTGTCCCGGTCTCCCTCTTCCCTCCGTCCCCAAGTGTATCGGTCCATATGTCGCTTTAGTGGATCGCTCCTCCTCTCCCCCTCCCGTATCCCGTAGTCCGCGGTCCTCCGCATCGGTATCTGCTTACTCACTGATTCCGCTACGTGCGGAGCCATACGTTGGTCCGCGTGCCCCCGGGGGTTGTGTCCCTCTGGGTCTTTTGTGTGTCCATGTGTCATGTGGTAGGAGGGGTGGGGGGGGGAGCGCGTAGGAAGTGTGTCTCCGTCGTGCCGGGGATGTAATCTACTCGTCTGGTACTTCCTATGCCTGTGCAATGATCTGTCGGGGGGGTTGTATTGGTGCAGGGGCCATCTCCACCGGGCTTCCTCCTCCCGTCCTTTTTGATGTGTAGTCCATCCATGTGTACCACGTCACGGCGCATTTTTCCTGGCGTCCCTGCAGGGAGGCTGTCATCATCTCCATGTTATATATCATCTCCACCCTATCTACCCATTGTTGTAGGGTTGGAATCGTCGAGCTATTCCAAAGGAGTGGGATGAGCGACTTCGCTGCCGTAAGTAGGTGTATGAGGAGTCCTTTCTTGTAGATCTTCACAGGCGTGCGCGTGTGGTTGAGAAGCAGTGGCATGGGTTGGAATGGGATGTCTGAGTCCGTGATATCTTTGATCGTCTGATGTATCATCCTCCAGAACGGTTCGATACGTGGGCACGTCCACCAAATGTGAATGCTGGTTCCTATCCCTGTGCCGCATCTCCAGCATTTGCTCGAGATTGACTCGTGCACGTGCTGCAGGATGTCTGGCGTCCGGTACCATCCTGTTAGAATTTTGTAATTGCATTCTTGGAACTTGGAGCTGATGGTCCCCCTGTGTGTTAGTTGAAAGATTTTAAGCCATTCCGTTTCCGTAAGCTCCACCCCGGTCTCTCTTTCCCATAGCGATGTGAAGCCTAGAGGGCTCTTATCACCGTTGCTTAGTAGCGCGGTATAGAGTTGTGAGACTCCATGTGAGAGGTGCTGTCTATCCGCGCATAGGTGTTCCATCGTCAACAATGGGCGGTGTAGGTGGCCTTTGCCCGCAATGCTGTCGAGGTATGTTTTCACTTGGTGGTATGGGAAGGTGTCTAGGCCACTGGGCCTTCGGTCCTGCATCAGCGTTGCCAGGGGTTTGAGTGTCGTCCTGGAGTTCCATTGGCTAACGTATACCCAGTCCGTGGCTCCGAGGTTTTTCAGATCAGCCGTGCTTAGTCCTCCCGCTAACCTCGGATTGTGTGTTATTGGTGTGAGCGGGTTGGGCGATGACGTGAGGCTTTTGGAGTATCGTATCCTACACCATACCTTCAGCGTGGCGTCGATCATCGGGTTCCCGGTTTTATTTTAATTAAATACAGATATCTAATTAGGGAAGAGAACACTATAGCTTTCGGAATACATTTTTTGAATTCATAACACTATAGTGTTCCTTTAAGGATTTTATTCACTTCTAACTTTAGTTTGTTTTACAATACCACAGAGCACTGCTGATTTCCTGTCAGTGTGTGGTTTGATGGTGTCAATGTATGCTATATAGCAAAGATCCTTTGGAGAAATGATAAAAATAGGATTGTTTGCTTCCAAAGCTTTAAAACGCCCCTCCACACTACAAATCATGTCAGTAGTATCAGATCTCGAGACTCATAATTACAATGAGGATCAATATAAGATGAAGACAATATAAGATGATTAAAATGGTACTAATCCATTTATGTATCCACTTAGAGACAGAGTAGAGACAGTTAAGTTGGTGACATAACTCAGAGGGGGAGAGAGAGGCTAATCTAAGTATTTTACAAGTATATATAGAGTGCCCCAAAAAAACCCTTCATATATTAATAACTGCTATATCCTCTTTATGCACAGGTGCATCTATTGGGACAAACTTCAGTAACCAGCGACGTCAGTACCCACCACCATCTTTTGCGGGCCCGGCCCGGGCGGCAAACTGCTGGGGCCGCCATCCATCGGATGGCCCATGCTGTCAGGGTCACCCAATGAATATGGATTGTCAGGGGGCCCGGTCCGTGCTGGGGCTTTAAGAGCATGACTGGGCCCCGTGTGATGACATTATCAGTGCTGGGAGGAAGTGACTGTACGGCACTCCTCCCAGCATACAGAGAGCCTGTGCGGGAGGAAGAACAGGGAGTCAGAGTGGGAATTCTGACTCCCATGAACCTGAGCCACCACTGGACCCAAGGGAATGTCCTCCTAAAAGGTAGGAAACAGGAGGGTGACTTAAAATTTTTGTTTGTGTGTGTCTTGTGTGTGTGTCTGTATATGTGTATGTGTCTGTATGTGTGCCTGTCTGTTTGTATGTATGTGTCTTTGTGTGTGTGTGTGTGTGTGTATGTGCCTGTCTGTATGTATGTGTCTTTGTATGTATGTGTGTCTTATGTATGTGTCTTTGTATGTATGTATGTGTGCTTGTCTGTTTGTATGTATGTGTGCCTGTCTGTTTGTATGCATGTGTCTTTGTGTGTGTGTGTGCCTGTCTGTATGTATGTGTCTTTGAATGTATGTGTGTCTTTGTATGTATGTATGTATGTATGTGTGCCTGTCTGTTTGTATGTATGTGTGCCTGTCTGTTTGTATATATGTGTCTTTGTGTGTTGTGTGTGTGTGCCTGACTGTATGTATGTGTCTTTGTATGTATGTGTGTCTTATGTATGTGTCTTTGTATGTATGTATGTGTGCCTGTCTGTTTGTATGTATGTGTCTTTGTGTGTGTCTGTGTGCCTGTCTGTTGTATGTGTGTCTTGTGTTTGTATGTATTTGTGCCTTTCTGTTTGTATGTGTCGTTGTGTGTGTGTGTGTGTTTGTATGTGTGCCTGTCTGTATGTGTCTTTGTATGTATGTGTGCCTGTCTGTTTGTATGTATGTGTCTTTGTGTGTGCCTGTAAGTATGTGTGTCGTGTGTGTGTGTGTGTGTGTCTTTAATGTATGTGTGCCTGTCTGTTTGTATGTGTCTTTGTGTGTATGTGTGCCTGTCTGTTTGTATGCTTGTGTGTCTGTATGTGTCTTTGTATGTGTATGTATGTGTCTTTGTATGTATGTGTGCCTGTCTGTATGTGTCTGTCTGTATGTGAGCCTGTCTGTTTGTATGTGTGTGTGTCTTGTGTGTGTGTCTGTATGTCTGTGTGCCTGTCTGTTTGTATGTATGTGTGTCGTGTGTGTGTGTGTTTGTATGTAAGTGTGCCTGTCTGTGTGTCTGTTTGTGTGTGTGTGTCTGTATGTGTGTGTGTGTCTGTATGTGTGTCTTATGTGTGTCTGTATGTATTTGTGCCTGTTTGTATGAATGTGTCTTTGTGTTTATGTGTGCCTGTCTGTTTGTATGTATGTGTCTTTGTATGTGTGTGTGTTTGTATGTGTGTCTTGTATGTGTGTCTTTGTATGTGTGCTTGTCTATATGTATGTGTCTCTGTGTGTGTGTGCCTGTTTGTATGTATGTGTGCCTGTCTGTGTGTCTGTTTGTGTGTGTGTGTCTGTATGTGTGTGTGTGTGTCTGTATGTGTGTTTTATGTGTGTCTGTATGTATTTGTGCCTGTTTGTATGTATGTGTCTTTGTGTGTGTGTGCCTGTCTGCATGTATGTATGTGTGCCTGTCTATATGTATGTGTCTTTGTATGTGTGTTTGTCTGTATGTGTCTTTGTATGTATGTGTGTCTTTGTGTGTGTGTGTGCCTGTCTGTATGTAAGTGTGCCTGTCTATGTGTCTGTTTGTATGTGTGTGTGTCGGTCTTTATGTGTCTATGTGTGTGTCTGTATGTGTGTGTGTCTCTGTCGGGGGAGGGTGGGAGGTGGGGCCAAGGATCAGTTTTGCACAGGGGCCCCATAGATTGTGTGTACGCCACTGTCAGTAACCTTTCAGTGCTACAGAGAAAGGTCTTGGACCTTTAAAAGTGCACAAGCTGAAAGTAAAATAGACAGATTGATGCCCAAACATAATATCCTATCTGATATTTAAAGTAAAGTAAATTGACAATGAATGGTTTTCTATTAGAGCGATGTAGTGTGTCTTCTTAACAAAACTGAAAGAAAGTTACCTGCTCACTAAACATGAACATTCCTATTTGGACAAATGAAAAATAATGGCAAAAAGTTTATTTTTACGGTCATTTAGTCAGAATTCGAGTGAGAAAGCATGATTGCCCAAATTTCAAAATGTCACGGCCCCCAGCTCGCGGCCGCACCCGATCGGTGCGGTCACTTTATTAAGGGCAGGCACTTACCTAATTTGTGGCGGATCACAGCCATATCCGCTGACGTGTCCATCCCCAGTGAGCGCGGGGTTCCTATGGACGTTGGCTGCTGCAGTATTGGCCACATAGTTAGCCCTGCCTCTGGCGGGGTCAGAGGTCACACACGTTCCGAAATCAGCTGATCCCTGCCCACCAATGACAGTTAGGTATGGGCTGTATAAACCCATTTTGTATGACCTCTTTGCCCTGTTGTGGTTTCCATTACTGTTTGGTTATCCGAGAGCACGTTCCTTGATGATATTCTGGTTTTTGATATTGGCTTGTCCTGACTATTCTTATTTCTGGCTCCCTGATCCTTTGACTTCCCGTGTTTGCTCCTGTCTGCACTCCTGACCTTGTCTAGTTACTGGTTATTCTATTTGCATTAATTCCGGCCATTCTAAGGTCCGATAATAAATTTTTCCTTAGCTTATTTATTTACCGTGTTTGACTTAATTCTGCGTGTTGGGCCATTGTACTGTCCTGACATTACAACAGGCCCATGGACCCTGTAGAATGAAGTCAACACATCATGTTGGCATGTGAAAGAAGGCTGGAAGAAAATGATGACCGTATGGATCAATTCGCCCAGGCCTTTCAGACCTTGTTGGCCCGTACCGCTCATTTGCAACTCAATGATCCACAACCAGTTCCCTCCCACCCTGTTGTGGTTGTTCCTATAGTTTATAAGGCACCTCATTTTGGTGGTGATGCACAGGAGTGTAGTTTTTCTAAATCAGACAGAATACCACTTTGAAGCCGCTCCCGGTTCTTTTCCTTCCGATAGATCAAAGATGGGGTATTTGATGAACCAGTTGATAGGGAAGACATTCACCTGGGCTAATCCCTTATCAGAATGCTATTGCCTATGATTTTGCTGAATTTCTTGCGGAATTCAAACTTACTTTCGAACCATTGGGTAAGGAAAAGAACACTGCAAAAGCACAAAGGCGCATAAAGCAAGATGTCCGTATGGTGGCAGATTACGCCATCCCGTACACTAGCCTCAGGTCTATAGGACTAACAGTTCCTTAGTCACCACCTTCACAGAAGGTTTGTCTGATACCATTCTTGATGAGGTGTCAGCCAGAGACTTACCAGATAAACTAAGTGAGTACATCACCTATATGATAATAGGTTAAAGGGACTCTCCAGTGCCAGGAAAACAAACTGTTTTCCTGGCACTGTAGGTCTCCTCTCCCTCCCACCCCCATCCCAAGTTGAGAAGGGGTTAAAACCTCTTCAGGTACGTACATGCGTCGGCGGGGGAGACCTATTGCCCACACGCGGCTGGGAAGACCTAATGCACGCGCATTAGACCTCCCCATAGGAAAGCATTGAATAATGCTTTCCTACGGGGATTTCGGTGAAGCTGGAGGTCCTCACATAGCGTGAGGACGTCCAGTGTCGTTATAACACTCTTTTCGTGTTCTATGAACATGGAAGTGTCCTCTAGTGGCTGCCTAGTAGACAGCCACTAGAGGAGGACTTAACCCTGCACGGTAAATATTGCAGTTTATGAAAACTGCAATAATTACACTTGCAGGGTTAAGGGTAATGGGAGTTGGCACCCAGACCACTCCAATGGGCACAAGTGGTCTGGGTGCCTGGAGTGTCCCTTTAAGAGAGAGGGAAAGAATCAGGAATAGGACCAGAAGAAATAGCACTCCTTTTGCTCCCTGATTTTCCAATCCTGTTGTCCAAAATCCTCTTTTGGCTATAGCTGAACCAGAACCTGTGCAATTAGGGGTTATGAGATTGTCAGAAACAGAGAGACAACATATGAGAAATAAGGGTCTTTGTATGTATTGCGGCATAAAAGGACATGTGAGAAACAATTGCCCAATACGTCCGTAAAACTCGCGCACCTAAGGATCGTTAGGGTCCGGCATTAGGTGTTATGTCCCCTGCATTGCCTCTCACTAGACTTCTCCTTCCTGTGTCTATCCTGTCTCATGATCTCGGGGGTTGATTGTAACACGTGGCTTGACTCAGGAGCTGCAGAAAACTTTATAGATGCTCGTTTCATGTCCATACACAATACCCCTCTAAAGGAGAGGTGAACACCTTTGGCTGTTGAGGCCATAAATGGTAGACCTCTTAAGATACCGCTCATTATGCATGAGACTTTCCCTATCTTGCTACAAGTAGGGGCCTTACATAGGGAGCTAACCACCTTACAAGTTATCTCCTCACCTTCGTGCCCTATCATGCTTGGTTTACCATGGTTGGTCAAGCACATTCCATGCATTGATTGGGAAAAAAGGGGAAATATTGAAGTGGGGTGATGAGTGTAGCAATAGATGCATTATACCGATTGCTAAACAATTGAATACTATCAATGTGCCAACTGCCCCTCCGCTTTCAACTACGATTACACCTCATTACAGGGACGTTAAGGAAGTATTTAATAAGGTGCATCCTGGTATTCTACCTCTGCATAGATCATATGATTGTTCCATATATCTTTTGCCAAGAAATATGTGGGAGCAGGGTTTTTCTTTGTTCCTAAAAAGGAGGGTGATCTACGCCTCTGTATTGATTACAAAGCTCTCAACAAAATAACCATAAGGAATGCTTACCCTATACCACTAATATCTGAACTGTTTGACAGATTAAAAGGAGCTAAAGTATTTACTAAGCTAGATTTAAGGAGTGCATATAACCTAGTTAGGATTAAAGAAGAGCACGAATTGAAACCAGCATTTGATACAAGAAATAGGCATTATGAATACCTGGTGATGCCTTTTGGGTTATGTAATGCCCCCGCTGTTTTCCAGGATCTCATAAATGATGTCCTACAGGATTTTATTTATTCCTTCATACTGGTATATCTTGATGATATACTTGTGTACTCACCCATGAAAGAACTCATCATACTCAGGTTAAACTAGTCTTACAGACCTTTCTAAAGAATGGTCTTAACAAAATAGAAAAGTGTATTTTTGACCAAAAGGAAGTGCAGTTTCTTGGTTATACTATATCCACTTCTGGTTTCGATATGGATCCAAAGAAACTAGAGGCAGTATTACAATGGCATTTACCTCACGGTTTGAAGGCTATCCAAAGGCTTATTGGGTTTGCCAATTATTACTGTAGATTTATTGAGGGGTTTTCTACGGTAATAGCCCCGATAACAAATTTGATGCACAAAACTGTTAAGAGTCAGTTCTGGCCTAAGGAGGCTATTGATGCCTTTGAGTGTCTCAAAGCCTTTTTGCCTCAGCTCCTATACTTTCTCATCCTGATCATAGCAAACCTTTTCTGCTGGAAGTTGATACCTCTGAAACAGGGGTTGGTGCCTTCCTTTCACAGAGAGAAAGTCATGATACATCAATGCACCCCATGGCTTCTTTTCTAAAAATATTTTGCCGGGAGAGAGAAACTATAATATAGGAAACAGAGTTAGTGGCTATCATTTTAGCGTTGAAGGAATGAAGACATCTGGTGGAAGGATCCAAAGTACCCCTGATTATCATAACAGCCCACAAACACTTAGAATATATTGAGGAGGCTAAAAGGATGTCTTCCAGACAGGCTAGATGGTCTTTGTTGTCTAGCCATTTGTTTTTATCATGTTTATCAAGTTCGCTTGCATGGTATACCTCAAAACATTGTCTCGAACAGAGGTCCCCAGTTCTGGAGGTTCTTTTGTAAGCACCTAGGCACAGAATTGTCTTTTTCATCTTCTTACCATCCACAAACTAATGGTGCTGCTGAGAGAACTAACCAGTCACTAGAGACATACCTTAGATGTTTTATTAACGATGCTCAAAATGACTGGTATGACCTCTTACCTTGGACTGAATTTGCAAGGAATAATGCCACTCATGACTCGTCTGGCCATAGTCCATTCTATGTGACTTATGGTCTCCATCCTGCTATCTTGCCTAATACAACTATTCATGCCCTGGATGAGCATCTAGCCTCCATGAAAAGTGCATGGGAACATGGGGAATTCTGCCTTGGTTGCTGTGGCTTCTCGTTTCAAGCTGCATGCTGATAAACGGCGGAGTGCTTCACCGTCATATCAGGTCAGTGACGGGGTATGGCTCTCCATAAGATACATCAGGCTCATGGTGCCCACTATAAAGTTCACCCCTAGATATATTGGTCCTTTCCATGTCTTATGTTAGGTGAACCCTCTCTATTATATGCTTGACCTTCCTGCTGGCCTCTGTATTCCTCGTACTTTCCATGTTTCTTTGCTCAAACCACTTGTGTGTAATTGTTATACCACTCCTTCTGTCCCTCCTCCTCCTTTGGTGGTTGAAGGTCAGGAGGAGTATGAGATATGTTCTGTTTTGGACTCGAGGTTGACTCGTGGTTCTTTGCAATACTTAATTGATTGGAAGCGGTTTGGTCCAAAGGAGCCCTCCTTGGTCCCTGCTTTGAACGTCCATGCTGATCGTCTTCTCCGCTATTTCCATGCCAGTTTTCCTGGTAAACCAGGCCCTGCCCGTCCTGTGGGTGGTCTTTTAGTAGGGGGTACTGTCATGGCCCCCAGCTCGCGGCCACACGTGACCGCACCCAATCGGTGTGATCACTTGATTAAGTATAGGTACTTGCCACGAGTGCGCATTCAGCCGACGGGGAGGAGAAGAGGAGGATCAGAGGAGGAGAGCTCTCTGCCCAGCACTGGAAAAAGGTAAGTTTTTACCCCTTTCCCCTTTCCAGAGCCGGGCGGGAGGGGGACCCTGAGGGTGTGGGCACCCTCAGGGCACTATAGTGCCAGGAAAACGAGTATGTTTTCCTGGCACTATAGTGGTCCTTTAATTTCACAGTTCATATGTTTTTGTAAACCATAAGGCTTTGTACAGAGTTCACTGTTCGTTTCAGCAGGCGCTGAATTTCACTCGATTTGTGCAGGCTTTTCTGTTCGGTTTTCTCTGCACTTATTAATGAATATGTGGTTCGGTTTAATAAATTTGCTTTTCGCGTTTTTTCCACTCACTACCTTCATCTGTGTGTTCCAATGTTGTTCACAGTTCAGTACTTTACTGATGTTCTTAAGTATACTGCACATTTTAAATTCACATATTCATTCATAAGAATTTATGCGCACTAGGCTAAATAGTCTATTATAAAATTGGTCCAGTTCATCTGGGATTCCTGTTCACGATTTAAAAGCATTACGTGGTCACATATGCCTGTTTACAATAACGCTAGGTTAAACACTATTTCAGTGCACAATTCTTTTCTGTATATACAAAATTTTCCCATCTCGGTACTCACTTTGTTCTCCCATTATTCCACGTACTCTAGGGGCCCATATCAATTTAGTAACAAGCTTACTGGAGAAACCGAGAACAGCGTTGTTCCTCCAGCAATTTAGGTTCAGGTATTTTATTCCTTACGTTTATATTTTTCATTAAACATGTATATTAAGGTCTCACTCTGCCTTTACATTGCATCGGACCCACGTTAGGTCCTCAATACTTTCACGTTCATACAGTGACTTCTGTAGTACTATCTGCTTTCCAGATTTTACTATTACTCTATTAGGCCACTGGTAATTCATTAATTGGGTTTAGTATTCATTACTTTGGTGACCCATTAGTGGGATTACAGTACACCCAGTTTCTAATTATACCATTTGGCGTTTAATACAATCTCTTAAATATCCTATCTTCCAGGTATAATCCGTCCAGGTGTACTCTTTAATTTCAGTACCAATTCAGATTATAGTACTGATCATCCTCCTGTTACAGTAATCCTATGTTTCAAATGTCATGTGATGTTAAACTTACATTAGGTACAGTTCAAATACATGGGCTACCAATCAAACACATCTAAGTCAATCACTATAAATGCGATTCAGGTTTAAAGCCATTAGCATTTCTACTAAAAGATATGGTAAGCTAGAGTTTCATATCAAATGTCGAGGCCTCACTCTGCCTTCATCATGACCTCCGAATCCAATTCAAACCCTTAACATTTACTAGGGGCTTGTCTCTGCACACCTGACCCTCACAAGGTCCTCCATGCACATTCAATTATACAATAAGCAAATTAATTTTACATACGTTTTACTGTGTTACTTTGCGTTTCAAGATATCCATAAGGATATTGACTTTCTGTCATGCTATCTGTTTTTCTATCTGGAAGTTTTTACACCTATAGGCATCTTAGGATAGAGACAATTTGCAATCCCAAGCCTATCAAGTAAACGATGATAATTTATTTATCATAGTGACAAATATAATCTCTAGATTTAAACCACAATCAGACTCTCCTTTTTATGTTCCGCTCATAAAGAGCACTTTTTTTTCCCTTCTTTTTTTCGATTCACATCACAATCGGCAGTTTCATCAGGTGCCTTTTTTCTAGTCCTTCTCTCTCTCTGATTCTATCCAGTTTGTTCACGCACGTACATTTACGTTCACAGTCATTCACAAAGAGACGAGCTCCGTCTAGGTTAAGAGAAGGGCTCTTAGGGATAGGAGCTGGCCTTAGTCTAAAAACATCAAACATACCGGTCCCGCAAGGCCAACTCTCCACCTCAACACGGAGGTTTCGCCCAACAGCCCAACTCATAGTTAGTGCCTTGCATACTCTTCTGTAGGGTCATTGTCAGGGCCCCACATGTCATGGCCACACGTATTGACTCTTTTACCATCACCGAGAGGCCAACATCCCACCACAACGCATCGTAGCTACGATCCCACACGGCCCAAATCATAGGTAGAGCCTCTCACAGCCACTTGGCAATCAGTAGGACCTCACCAGTCACTGGGTAATTCATTTCTTTGCCTATCGTCACTAGTTAGCGAGCCAGCTCTACATTAGGGATATTATCAATTTGCATCAAAGTTTTGCATGGTTAACTCATTAATTTCCTTACAGGATGCTGCAAGAAATAGTTCCAGGTGATGTACTATCTCCAACAGACACTCCAACCCTGTCATCCCAGGTCCCTGCCACTCCCAAGGCCCTGAGGTCTGGACCTTGCTTAAATTTGGTGGTTGAGCTTCAAGTTAAGGAGGCACCATCTTCCCAGCCACAGCTGAAAAGGCTGCATATATCCCGAACAAGCTGGTCATCATAGAGCGACTCATGCCAGTAATTCAGTTAACTCACTATAGTAATCAGCCTATTTCAATCATTGATAGCATCACAGCGATACCTCTTTCCACATACGGTATTAGGTCCTCTCTTAGCCATTTCGACTTTTATCATTCGCCATTCTAATTAGTCCCATATATGGCTAGGTGTCACAACCGACTGGATTTAACTTCTGTCAGGCTCAAACTTGGGTATATACACTCGGTTAAACAACATTAATTTTACTGGTATATACGTTCACCGTACACATTTAACACCATTTCTACATAGGGTTTTTTCTGCAAAATCAGATTTTGCTTTAGATTTAGTTGTTCATTAGGGGTTGTTGGGATTGGTTTACTTCCAATACTTGTTTAGCATTTTGACAATACTGCCGAAATTATCTGTACATGTTTCACATTCCGCGTAAACACTTTCACCATATGTTCTCGTTGACATCGTTTTAATTACCTAAATTTCTGTCCTCTCCAATGCTCACTTATCCGTCTCTGTGCTATCCCTAGGCCAACACGGGCCTACGTATCGGGCAATTACCTGCCAACAAATATGGTCTCGTTACAGGTTCACAATTCACATACAATTTAGAGTTTAATCATAATTAGAATTGTATTTATGACATAATGCTTGTATTGGATTCCAATGCTCCAGCTGAGTACATCCGTGAAGTATCTCCCAAGTATCAAGCGCAGTAGTGGTTATAGTAGTAAATATAGCTCCCAATCCCCTGAACATTAGCCTATACTCAATGAAGGGGTAAAGTGATCTCTTTAATCCAGGCTCAATGGCCTGCTTTTATACAATACAGAGACATAGCAAACACGCCCATGGCACTCCCATAAACACACCCACAAAATGTAAATGACAAAATATGAAACACACACAAAAACACATATTTCCCACCTAGGAACCCCCATAGTTTATACATCCCTTGATAGCCTGGATCTGAGCACCCAACATATCTGAAAAGTGCTCAGATCCCACAAACACAGCCGAAACGCCACTGGGGTGAAGTTCTGACCGGCCGCACACATGGTCATATGCCCAAAACAGTTCCAGGGCGTTTTTAGCTTTTGTCGGTCAACTTTGGGAGTTCCATGCGAAAGAAATACCAAACGCACACTCTGGCTATTTAGTAGCGTTTGTTCATATGGTTCATACGAATAAACCTACCGAACGGCGCTCTTCTGCCATGTGTGGGAAGGAAACAGGTGTTTGTCAAAGTTCAGTGGTGTTCAGGAGTTTCTGTGTCCGATTTTAAATAGAAAGCAGATATAAGACTATGTAACCTAGTTCCAATAAATTGGATAGGAACACAGAGGTCAGAGGTCAGTATCGGAAGATGCACGACTACAAGCACACGCTGGCAGACGCGCTGCTGAGAGCATTCCCAACTGACACCGGGGGCTCAGTGGAAGCACAAGGCGAAGGCAGAGGAGGAGGAAGAGGTCGCCAACGTAGCTGGGGCACCGCCAGCACCTCAGAAGGCAGGGTTAGCATGGCCGAAATGTGGAAAAGCTTTGTCATCACGCCACAATAACCAGCACCACCAGCTGATATGGAACGTCTTAGCAGGAGGCAGCATTTCAGCAACATGGTGGAACAGTACGTGTGCACATGCCTACACATACTGACTGATGGGTCTGCCCCATTCAACTTCTAGGTCTCCAAATTGGGCACATGGCCTGAGCTTGCCCTTTATGCCTTGGAGGTGCTGGCCTGCCCTGCAGCCAGTGTATTGTCTGAACGTGTGTTTAGCATGGGAGGAGACGTTATCACAGACAAGCGCAGCCTCCTGTCCACAGCCAACGTGGACAAGCTCACGTTTATTCAAATGAACCAGGCATGGATCCCACCACACTTGTCTGTACCTTGTGCAAAATAGACATTTATACCGGCCTCACCTAGCCATTTTTATACTCCAGTGCACTTATTCTTTGTTTTCTTTTTTTATATGTCCCAATATTTTGGGGGCTACCCCAACTGTTTGCAGGGCACTTATCCTACTCTTACCTCCATTTTACTTCCTTTTGCAGCCCTCTAGCCCTTTCCAGGACTTTTTTTAGAGCCATTTTAGTGTCCAAAAGTTCGGGTCCCCATTCACTTCAATGGAGTTCGGGTCAAGTTCGAGGCAGAACCCGAACATCCAGGTGTCCTCTCAACTCTACAGCAAGGGCTTTTATGAAGGATTGATGGGGATGTAGCTGGAGGGTTCTGAATAAAGTCCAAGTATTGGGCATTTGTGTGTGTTGCATCTTCTTTTTCCCATCCTGACCCTGTACACCATGTCCATTTGGTGAGTACAATCGCTAGGTATTTTAAAAAATGTTTTTTTTTTTTTAAATATGCTTAAAATAAAGTAGCTAATTATTATCACTAAAAAAAAGTTTTGTTTGGTTTTTTTTACCACCAGAGCACAATTTTAAGTGCTTTAAAACACATTTTTAGTCAGCTAGTATGCTTAAATCAGACTGTACATTCTAATAACTATTTCACGCTGTAATTGTATCGTGTAACTGTTTTCAGGGTCATAATATTAAAATTTACAAACTATCAAGTACATATTCAAGTTCATTAGCAAAGCATAATAGGAATTGTCAATTCTGCATCAATAAATGCCTGTTTCTTTCCTGAGAGCCAGAACACCAGACTAAGGTATGGAGGACAATGATAGATAGCAGTAATTGATGGATAGTGGTTGGATGGATTGTTTATGTGCTACATTTACTACAGGCATCCATACTCATACATAAACATTACACTTGTTATCAGACAGAATGGTACCTGGTTTGTTGCCAGTTTGTATTTTTCTTTTAATGTTTACATTTGTATTTTCTATCTGTGCAAGAGATACTAGTGGGTGTTTGTAACTTTTGTGGCAATACATTGTTGCATTTGAATTGTTTCTATGTATTGGTATTGAACAGTTGTGTTTATGATGCTAACACGTAGAAAAACCACATGTAGTTTGCATAGCTTCTTATGAAGCAATTACACAGTCTGTGTATTGACACACAGAAACAACTTTTGTTCTCATGAAATAGAATTTCAAGCTAATTCTGAATCATAAAGAATTAGAGATACTCAGGAAGGCAGCTATTCCACCACCAATTATTACAGGGTTATTCACTAATGTGAGAATCCAAAGTGAATTTCAAATTCAAGGCCAAAATAGGCAAATTAGCTGAGCTTTCAGTTTCGCATATTTGGCCTCAAAATTTAAAAATTCACCTTGGCTCTGAATTCTCATTTAATAAATAACCCTGCTAGCTGTCGGTATTCATAAATATTCAGGGCTCATGTTGTCACTACTTTTTACCAATAGCCCAGCTAACCGCTTTGCCAGCCCTTTACTGGATTTCTAGAATATAAGGAATCAAGCCAAAGTCATAAAAGGCACCACACTACAAAAGTGAGAAACATGAACTTGCAATAGTGTAAAGTGTTTTTGCCTTATAAAGGCTGAGACCAGGTACATCACTTGAGGCCAAGAAGTGACTCACTTCAATAATGTAACATATCATATGGAGCATCTGCTGTCAGAAAGGCTGCTGATGCAAGGATAATGTTGGACCCATGGTGCACCTGGAAGCCTGTATTTGTGAATGTTTACATGTGTCCTTTAAACAAACCATCTAATGGCAAAGTAATATTGTTGTGGTTTGAGATTTGAGGAGAGCTTAGATGCTATATTCCACCGGGTAGCTGGACTATTTGTTTTTGATGCAGATTTCTTATGGACTTCCTGTTGTGCCCTTCTGGGCTTCAGACAGTATTTTACAGTTTGTTGTTAGGTCAGTGGGAAGACACTAGATTAGGGTCTCCACCAGCCTCCAATAAGTGACAGAAGAGCGGAAGAGATTAATTACAATATTATAATTATGCTCGGCATAACCTTTCCTGTCTGGACAGTAAATGTCCTTAACCACATTTTTATAAGTGGATGAAAACGTAACAATCACATGACAGGAGCCTTTTGGTGTAGCATATTCTTCCTCACCTTGTGGTCTCTGCACCCAGTGGCCGTGCGTCTGCATGAATGACACCTGCGGCATGTTAATGGACGCCGGCCGCTGCGAATCCACCGCAAATTGTACCCTCGCGTCTGCTCATGTGACTGACGACGTCGGCGTGCACGTGACATCACGCACACACCGCATGCATGTTTTGGGGTCAATGATCAATCTCGGGCCAATCAGAAAGGTAAAGCATGTACTTAAACGCAAAATTACCTTTCCTCATGGCCCTGTTGTGGTTTCCATAGTGGTTGTCCGAGAGTGCATTCCTGAACAGTTGTATTTCTGTTTTTTTACTTTGGCTTGTATTTGACTTCCCTGTATTCTGGTATCCCTGACCTCTGGCTTTCCTTTATCGTTGGGTCCCTTTCTGTGTCCCCTGACCTTGGCTAGTATCCTGACTACTCTTTGGTACGTGAGTCTGGCCATTCTAAGGCCCGGTAATACGTTACCTATTAGTCATCTGCGTGACACAATTCTACGTGCTGGATCAAGTAGTAATCCAGGACATTTGGGCATCATTGCTATGGAAATACTCCACTATAATTTAACATTTTTCCTTTAACTGTAGTCCTATTTAAAATATACAGTTTGTTTTTAAAGGACAGATAGGGCTTTCTTCTAATATAAATGCTTCCACAGCACTGGGTCCACATGTGAGACAAAAAATACTGGAAGTATGTTACAAAAAAAAAAAATAGATATAGCAAATGGAAAAAGTAGCTAATAGAATATAACACTATAGATTTCTAGAGGCTACTATTACAAGTAAATCAACAGATGAAATACAAGTGAGAAACAAAGTTGCAATACATATGTCAGTACCCTGAGTAAAGTTGCAATACATATTTGTCAGACAGTCAGCAGAGAAAAAATAAACTAAAGCTGGCGTATTAGCTAAATGGGTTTCAGGCAACAAAAGCAGTAGTAATAAACCAAAATGTGTACTGGTGTGAAAATAATATATATTATGAATACCTTATAAAATATGGATCAATGTCCTACTATCCTATCAATTCAAATTTGAATAGTCCAAAATAATAACAATAGATTATGATGGTGAAGCACTCGATTAAGATTGCCACAACACTATACCTATTCGTTTCAGAAAAAAAATAATTTGCTCTCTTTTTCAATCAGATATTTTTGGCTCCTTTTTGTAAAGTAGAACCACAAGTAGATTCTAAATTTTCTTATGAGAACAATTAAATTTCTGTTGCTTATGCCCACATAAAAAATAAATAATTATAATGGTAATATATACAAGGTCCTCAGGAAGACAGTTATCTCATCAGGTTTTATATTTCAAATTAATTCAAATACTGAGTCCTTTAGGGATGTTAAAGACTAAAAAGTGAAAAAGGAGTTGATTTGCATATGAGCGATATTTGAATAGGAGGGCATTATATTGATTCAGAACAGTTTGTCTCCTAACCCACAATTGTTAAGATCATCACCATGTCCTGGATTTACCTTCTTTTGATCACCTCAGTCTTCACTTGTAAGAGAACATTTACTCTTTAAATCAAAACCTCAAGCCTTCTCACAACAACACCTTCCGTGTCGTTACCACTTTAACATTGTTTCTCCTTCTGTTTCAGGTTGTGTTGGGCAATATGTACTGACTCAGCCACACACCGCATCAGTACAGCTTGGAGAGACTGCATCACTCACATGTCAAGGGAGCAAGTTTGATAAGTTTTATGTGAGCTGGTATCAACAAACACTGGGTGACTGACAGGCCACGTCTTCTTATTTATAAAGATAGTGAAAGAGCTGACAATGTTCCAGATCGATTCTCTGGCAATTCTGTTGATAACACAGCAACGTTAACAATCACTGCAGTCAGAGCAGAGGATGATGCTAATTATTACTGTAAGGTGTGGGATAGTGATAGTAGCACACACACAGCGACATAGTCGTAAAAGGAACTGAAACAATAACTGAACTCTGACAGTGACTGTGCTTGTAGAAATCAAAGCTTAAAATGTCTCTCCACTACTACAAACTGATTGCAATATGCTTAAAGTCAAAAGCAAAAAGAATATCGAGCTCACAAATTCCCAAAACAGTGACTTTATTCATATGCCTCCAGCAACGTTTCAACCTCGGTATGTGCTTTTATGAAGGGTTGATGGGATGTAGCTGGAGGATTCTGAATAAAGTCTCTGCTTTTGTGGATTCATAAGTGTTGCTTCTTCTTTTTGCCATCCTGGCCCTGTGCACCATGTGAAGCACATCCCTGCCCATTTGGTGAGAGACAGCTTAAAATCAGTCTGTACATTTATCGGATTAAGGGGTCCGTTCTAACGACTATTTCACCCTGTAATTTTACTGTCATTGTAAACTGTTTTTATTATTAATGAAATGGGCTTACAAACAAAATGTGCTGTGGTCAGTGTAATGTGACATTTCTTTAAATCTACACATTAAGTGACTTCAACCAGCCTGTGACAACTGGAAAAATTATGAGGGTCATAAAATTCAGATTTGCGACCAATCAAGTACATATGTAAGCTAAACCAGTTGCAGCCCCATCCACACATGCATATGTTCTGGTTCCCAGGGTTTTCACATTTGACAAATGGCTTAGAGCAGAGCTTCACCTCAGTAATCTACTCATACTGTAATCTCAGAATCTGTGATGCTTCATTTTGAATAGTCAAAAAATATTGGCTGCAAGTTTACACTCTTTCATTCGTAGCTGAATAGCAAATCAGCGGTTTTATATAACTCAGTCTTCCATTTACCTCCAGCATAACAGACTATATCTTGCAGGTTCATCTTAGTGTAACCAAGTCAAAGCCAGTAAGAAACATCTGATACACGATACACAGGGCAAGCGACTGATGTTGGTCAAGATATTTACACCTACAAGTGAAAAGTTATTGGTTTAAACATGCGTAACCTATGTTGCCTGATTGACACATAACTAAAAAAATGGCACAGCCTGTTCCGAGTAATAAGATGTGACAAGGATGGAGCAGTCCATGTCAGGAGGAGTGTGCACTTAACACAAATGAACGCCCAGATGGAGAACAAACCAATGGCACCATAGCAAACACAAAGTAAAAAAAAAAAAAATATCCACTCAGTATACCATATCAAACTTTAAATATGTACACAGTATCACAGAAAGTAACAGATATTTATAATCCAAATCAGACATGGGCGCAATATTTTAGATCTCTCATAATACCTTGTTGGACATGCAAATGCGCACAGTCAGGCATTCTGTATCAGACTTCATGTTGCATTCTAAAAGCAATGGAGCTTTATTTGTGGAGTATTTCACAGGTGAAGGCCTGTGAAATAATGGGGGGGATGTAACCATCCCACATGCCCCCACCAATGGGCATCAGGTGGAGGCTAATTTAAATATTCATTCATACAGCTTTGTATTCCTGGCACTACAGTATCTCTTTAATTACTAAACCTTTTTCCAAATGCTGTCATTACATGGCAGAGAGCTTTTTGTTATTTCTGCTATATGTTTATGCCACCATAATTAACATTTCCTTTTAAGGAAATGTTTGTGTAAAGGTCAGATAAGTCTTTCTTCTGATATTAATGCCTTGGCAGCACCAGGTCCATGTAAGACAAACATACCCAACACAATCTTATTGGTTAAAAGATGCCCTTTTATTAATAACAAAGTATTACATTGGAACACAATGTGCAGAGGGGGCACAAAGAAGAGAGATGCTAATGTGTTTCATGCCATACAAGGCACTTCCGCAGAAACCTGCACTCTTAAACAGGTTTAAATGCATACTACAAACACACATGTAACTCCCCAGACCCAATAGAATGGAAGAAACAATTAAAACTGTGAAGCTCCTAGCCAACTAGTATATCAGATTGGCACTATTAACCAAGCAGTGAAACAGTAGTATGCTAAATAACCTTCACTCACATGTAGGCTGAGTTGTTGTTAACAGTAGGAGAATAGGGTGAATGTTCTCTACACTTAAAGGTACCTTAATAATGTTAATAGTAGCCCATAATAAGATATACTAGTATATTTATTAAATCATTGTTAAAGGGACACTGTAGGCACTGTATCTGCTTCATCTCATTAAACTGGCTATAGTGTCTGGAGTCCTCTGGTACCATCATTTCTTTCAGCATTAAACAGTTTTTAAACTTTTAATGTTTTAATGCTAAACAAGAGTCCCCGGCAATCCATCCCCTCTGTGCTGCTTTGGCTAATAAGGAAGTATTAGCCTGAGCAGCAATGGGCAGCTGTGATTGGCTGAGAGTGTCAGCTGACTGCTTTTAGCCTGTCAGAGTTCCAACTGACAGTATGAATGGGTATGACAACAAGGAAGTGTGTAATCTCTGCCTTAGCTACACATACTGAAGGCGCCGGATTGTGGGTGGCCAGCAGGCCCGGACTGGCCATCGGGCACACCGGGCAAATGCCCGGTGGGCAGCGGTGTCCGTGGGGCCGAGGCCGGCAGGGGAGGTCCCAGGATCTCCCCTGCCGGTCTATGCAGGGCCGGCACTCTCCTAGCGCCGGCCCCGCTGTTTGCCACGACGGGCCGGTGGGGAGATCAAGGATCTCCCTGACCGGCCCACATGCGGCCGCCGGCAGGGAGAGAGGGAGGGAGCCAGCCAGGCTGGAGAGAGGACCCGGCGGAGCTCTAAGTTGCAGCTCCGCCGGGTTCCTCTCGCGAGATCCGGCGCGTTGCCATGGCAACGACCGGATCTCTCGAGAGTGAACTCTAGCCTCACAGGCTATGCGGGCTAGAGTTCACTCACCCACGAGGACCACCAGGGAACACTGCCTCCCAGCGTGCCGGACCCCCCCTCCCAGGCTGAAGGTAAGAAGGGAGGGGGGGGAAATAATGACTTTTTAAAAAAAAAAAAATTATTTACCCCCCCTACTCTCACCCCCATCACACACAGCACTCTCTCACACAGGACTCTCACACCCATCACGCACAGCACTCTCACACCCATCACACACAGCACTTTCACACACACAGCACTCTCTCACAGCACTCTCACACCCATCACACTCACAGCACTCTCACACCCATCACACTCACAGCACTCTCACACACACACAGCACTCTCTCACACAGCACTCTCTCACACCCATCTCACACAGCACTCTCACACCCATCACTCACACACGGCACTCTCACACGGCACTCTCACACGGCACTCACACCGCACCCCTCACACACGCACATACTGCACCACTCACATACACACAGAACCCCCCCCAACACACTGCACCACACACATACACAATACTTCCATATATATATATATACACACACATACACTACACTCTTAAAGGACCACTCTAGCCACCCAGACCACTTCAGCTTAATGAAGTGGTCTTGGTGCCAGGTCCTTCTAGGGTTAACCCATTGTTTTATAAACATAGCAGTTTCAGAGAAACTGCTATGTTTATCAATGGGTTAAGCCTTCCCCCAAAGCCGCTAGCAGCTGTCTCATTGACAGCCGCTAGAGGCGCTTGCGTGCTTTTCACTGTGAAAATCACAGTGAGAGCACGCAAGCGTCCATAGGAAAGCATTACAAATGCTTTCCTATGCGACCGGCTGAATGCGCGCGCAGCCAGCCGACGGGGCGGTTCGGAGGAGGAGAGCTCCCCGCCCGGCGCTGGAAAAAGGTAAGTTTTAACCCCTTTCCAGAGCCGGGCGGGAGGGGGTCCCTGAGCCACATATGCATCACATTATACCACAAACAAAACACGACTAAAACCGACCTTATTACACAATACCACACCACGACCAGCTCACTCTACACACACACAATACCACAAGCAGGCTCCAAACACATGCATAATACTCTTTCCTGGCCTTTTGTCTCCTGGTATCCATTTATAAAGACACCAGAGACAAATTGCAAGGAAACACAGTGCAAGCATGTTATTAAATTTGCTTGCACTGTGCAGAACAAATACAGGACTTTTTTCTCATGCTAGAGCTCTTCAGCAGAGCTCTGCGCATGGTCTGCCCTGGAAGAGCATTGAACCAACATGCTCACTTTGAGAGGAGGCGTGTTTGTCATTGGTGATGACAAAACACACCTCCTCTGCCCCGTCCCCTTTTTAGTGGGCCGCTGTGTTAAAAAAATGCCCGGGCTGAATTTTTCTCCCAGTCCGGCCCTGGTGGCCAGGGACTCTTATTTTGTGGCATACTGCATGAACATGGTGCAACACTGAATGGAGGGACAGTGGCAGGGCACTCCAGGCACTATAACCAATTCAAAGAGATGAAATGCTTATAGTGACTACAGTGTCCCTTTAAGGGTTTATCACAGGAGGCATGAGTCCAGGAATAAATAGAAAAATAAATAAATAAAACACTGAAAACTGTGTATAATCAAAAATAGAAAACAAAAAGTGAGAAACAAAAAAACGAAACAGGCAAGCGTATCAATAAATAAATCTTCAACTCTAAAACTACAGCAACAAAGATAAAGAGAAAGGGAGGAATACCATAACTCCTTTCTGATTCTAATATCTTATTATACATTTTTAGTCCCATTCTTTGTTAGGCCCTTGGGGGTCATCTCATGCTCAAAGATCTGTTAGGCTTCCTAAAACCTGCATTTCTATCGTACATTGCCACTTCTAATGGGGACTTTACATTTCTCAATACCGTGAAAAGTAAAATAATCAATGTCACTACTATTGCAGCAATGGAAATGTTGGGCAACTGAGAATTAAGTTTTTTAATTTTTAAAGAAACATTTCAACCTCATGTATGGTTGTCCACATTAGAGCAGGATAAAAGGTAAATTACATCTTACGTACAACAGTTTTAAAAAAACGATTAATTTAGTAGGTCTTCTTAGTTATATAGAACACATTTTCTTTCCATACAATAGTTTTAAAAAACTATTAATTTTGTAGGTTTTCTTTGTTAAATAGAACACAACATTTTCTTTCTCCTTAAAGGAGCACTATAGGTACCCAGACCACTTCATCTCATTAAAGTGGTTTGTGTGCAGTGCACCTGTCTATCTAACCCTGCAATGTAAAACATTGTATTTTCTGAGAAACTGTAATAACTACATTGCAGGAGTAACTCCACCTCTTGTGGCTGTCTCTAGTGGAGTTTTAGTTAAGACAAAAAAGGAATTGGGAGCACACACAGAACATGCATTTCTCAGCAATGGTCCTGCCGTAGAGACCAAAATGTATACATAATACAGATTAAGGAACAGCGCACCCATACAAATACAGTTTTACATTTTCCAAGCATACTTAAAATCACCTATCTCAGTAAACAAACATGGGAATTCACCAGATGACCTTATTCTGTTAAGTCTACCACTACTTCACAATATCCCAATAGTAGTGGGTCCTTCTAATGTGGGAGCCAAATCAAATAGTGCTAATGCTTACTATGCTAAAGTGTATTTAAATAATCTGTTTTAAGAGCATTATGAATATATATAAAGCAAAATCAAAGTCATAGTGCTTTGATGTATATAATCACAATGCATTTTATCTATCTGCTCTATACCAAATGAAAATTATAATTAAAGTGGTATTACTATCCAAAACCTCTCCACCTTCAGATTTATAACCTTAGAAGTTATAAATTTAAAGCTGTTTTGGATGGTAGTGTCATTTTAAGAAATGTCTGTGAAAGGCACCACTGTTTTGACCTTTTCTTGCACTACATTTGAGCTGCTTCAGTAATATTTTTTTATAAATAAGGTTTAATCATTAAACAGGTACGTGTGTATTTAGAATATGGTTGAGAGCCTTCATTAAATACTGAGTGCCAAAATCTGCATATATTTTTCCCTACCTGTTTCTCGGGATGCCTTTTTATTTATTCCATCAGTCAATAGAGCAGCGCACCTTTAATTTTTAGCTACATTGACGTTTATCTACTACTCTTTTCTGATACTCTATATGCATATTTAACAAACACACTACTTATTATGAACAAATTACAAAAAAAAGAATTATTTTTGACATTTTGCTCATAACTTCTACACTTACCCGGCATAAGTCCAATATTAAAAGCCTCTTGAAAATTCTTTGCCAGCTTATGAAGCCCTTTGGCGAAATGCGTACTGGAGAGAAGAAGTGACTACAGAGACTTTTAATATTGGACTTATGCCGGATAAGTGTTTTATTTTATAGATATCTTGTTATTATACTATTTTTATAGAGCTAATAAATATATATATTTTTTATATGCACTTACGGCACTTTTTTTCCTGCTTATTAAAAAGAAGGAGTGTGGTCCTTAACCACATATACGAAGTGAAGTGAGCCTAAGTTAAGGCTCTGGGTTTGTGAGCAAATCTTCAATATACCTATTTATTATTTATAATTCAGACTATATTACACTATATGCACCCTTCTATACTTATTTAGGACTGGACCACTGGATAACAAAGAAGGGAAAGGGTCGCCTTAACGGACCCCCAAGCGCAAGAATCTGAGCTAAATTTATTAGCTCAGGAAAGTGTAAGTGGCCACTTGGCATCTGTTCAAAAACTTTTACTTTGTATCATACAGATTACACTATGTTGTGTATTTCTTGTTCTGTTTAAAGGTACACACAGAAAGACATATAATACAAAAGAAAATATTGAAATTCAAGGTATAGATTTAGATATTCCATACCTATCCTAATTTTATAAGCGTTGCACCGATACTTTTTTTCTATTTCATTTTTCCTTTAAAGTGATTTAGCAGCTACTTAAAATTGGTGAATGTAATTTCTATTTTATAAAAAAAGCACTTATTACTCAAATAGTGCAGATACTTTTCCATTTTATCTAAATAAATGAGCTTGTTTAGTCAAATGATTTTAGTCTAGCTTCTGCCTCCCATCAGCCATATCACAGTCATACAGAGACTCAAAATCCACCAATTGTCTAGCAGTTAATTCAACTGCCTACAAACAACTAATCTCCCCATCACACTGTGCTCAAACTAGTGATAAAATAAAAAGCATTACAGGCCTTTGGAGAGCTGATGGCGTGAGGTTCCATCTCTATTAAACATCTAAATGTACATATTAGTCAGACCCCATATGGAGAACGTCATAAAAACAGAGTATCACTATCCAAGATAAATAAAATTATAGTAACTGTATTTCTTTATTTTAAACATACATAAGCTGGAGATCAAGGGCTGATCCCCACAACAGGAGAACATGACCCTTGTCCTAAGCATTTTGTTTGTTTTGCTATAAATGAGATGGCAGTAGTGGTTTCTCGGTATTGACATCTCCCCTTAATCTCCAACTTATGTATTTTTAAAAATTTAAATATTTAGGTACGGCAATTTTATTTATCTTGGAGGGTGATGCTGTGTTCATTTGACATTACCTGTGTGAGGTCTGAATGATGTGTTCAGTCGGACAGGTACAATACTGCCTAGCCATAAGGCATTAGATGTGAGCATTTATCGAATCACTCGCTCTATGAGAAGAAGCAGTTTATGAAACCCACAAATGAGCTGATTTGCCTATGTTAAATAGTGCTGGAGTGGGTATTGTATTTATAAGTGAGCTGTTTGTCTCACAGAGTACTGTGCAGACCAGCATCATGTCTTGGGTTCCCCTCCTCCTCGCTGTCACCTGTCTCTACACATGTAAGGATGATGACTATCCTTTCAATCAGTGACCAACCCAGACCATGTCTGTGCAATCTGCATGTCTCTGCCACTTCTGTGCAATCTACATGTCTCTGTCACTTTAACCTTGTGTCTGCTCTTTTCAGGTTGTGTTGGACAGTATGTAGTGACTCAGCCACGTTCACTCTCAACAAGACCAGGAGACACAGCATCACTTACCTGTACTGGGAACAATATTGGCAGCAAGAGTGTGCACTGGTACCAACAAACACAGGGTAACAAACCAAAACTTATTATTTATATCGATAGCAACAGAGCTGACAACGTCCCAGATCGATTCTCAGGAACTAACTCGGGTAACACAGCAACATTAACCATCAGTGGAGTCAGAGCAGAAGACGAGGCTGATTATTACTGCCAGGTGTGGGATGGCAATGCTGCACAGTGACACAGACAGAAGAGGAACTGAGACAATAACAGTCTAATAAACGTAGAACATTAACAGATTCAATAATGTGAAAGAATTTATCTGGACAATGCTTTAGTACATACAGTAGTAAACACAGAGACAAAGACTAGGCCTTATTACTAATACATGAAATCACGAGAGCTTAAGGATTTGCTAATAAGTTGGTAATTGCAAAGTGCAAAAAAACTACCTAAACCCATTGCATGCACCCACTTCATTTCACAAGGGGACCTTGCAGATTGTGCTGTACCATAATCTCCAAGTGTTTCTGCAGTAAATTGCCATTCCTTACAAGAAGTTTAATCAATATATCCTCTTGGCTACGATATTGCAAAGTATAGTTCAATTCAATCCCCATTTACCAGGATTTTTGGGTAAAGTACAGTTGTCTTTGTCTATTAATTGTCCCCATATACTTGATCTATATTTTACACACTCTTCCAATCCCCCCTACTTGAAAGCACATATACTATTTTACTATTAGCTAATTTAAGCCTCTGTTACATTATAAGTTATCCTTCACAAAGAACTTTACTTAAAATTAGAAGACTTTATATTTTTACTATATAAAATAGCATTTAAAAAAAAAATTTTTTTATCACAACATCTGGATTATGGCTGATGTTCATCAATTCAGCTATTTAATAACCACTTCATTTATTTGTCTATTCAGATAAGATTTAATATTATTTACTTATTAACAAAATGATTTGTTTTAACTTTATCTACTAACTTATAATGAGTTAACTAACAATGTCATGCATTGATTACCATATTTTGATTTATTATTCTAAATATGGTAATTTTTTCAGGTACAGAATAGTCTGTATTATATTGTTTTTTTGCACTATTAAAAGTTACTTAAGCGGCACTGTCTTGTCAAACTTACCTTTCTCCTATTCTTTCCTGTTCTCTTCTTCTTTTAGAATCTGTTCTTCTTTAACTTATTTCTGATCTAATTTTCTTTAAAGCATAAGATAAAGTAGGGACTGCTTTGTCTTATGAATTTTTACTACACTTGACTTTCTTTGACCAAGGAGAAGTTTAAGTCAGCTCCATAAATTATTGATTAATAAATGTAAAAAAAAAAAAAATACAATATATGCCACTCACTGGGCTGTTGTCACCGCAACATCCAGACTGTGTCACCCAAAATGGGCCCAACAATGGGTACTTTGCAGTCCTGGGGCTGCTGTGTTGCCTCTGGGCCACCATCAAGCTCAGCTAATAAACTATAGTCCAATCTTGTCTTGTATCCAGCACTGGGGGCTGGATGTTATCTGTGGCCGCTCCTATATTCTCAGCCCACGTGAAACTGATGGCCCAATTAGCCAGGTATAAGATACCGCCTCTCCCTAAGGGCAGTGTCAGTTCATTGACTCTGGTGTTTGTGTTCTCCAGTTGGCTCCTGACCTTGGCTTGTTATTCGTGCATCCTGACTTCTGACTTTGGCTTACCCTGGTTTATTCTGACTTCTGGCACCCTCTGACCTTTGGCTTACCCACAACGATTCTCCTGCTTGTGTCCATACCTGTACTGCAATTTGGAGCATTATCCTGCACAGCCCCCGTGCACCGACTCACAGGCCAGGTAAGTTCTTACTTGGCCTGTGTTTAATTGCAAGGGTGAGCACATATCTCTGCATACTGGACTCCCACTAAGGTAAGCCGTGACAGCTGTAACATACCATACAAGAAAGGACACAAACGAGTAAATTGTCAAATATTATTTTAATGCTTCAAAAGGTGAAGATTACATCAACGTTGCAGTCACCGTGTGAAACTTTTATCGAGACACCAGAAAGATGACAAGTATATATAGATAATCACTGAACGAGAGTTAGGCTGACTGTGAGAAAGAGACCTTTTAATTACCTCACCAACGTGAATCAATAAATTATGATATATCCAGCATCCAAGTCATAATGAATGCCTAAGAAACTCAATGTGATATGTGTGGAAACCCCACTATGCATAACACAATAAGCAAATATAAAATGGAGAACATAAACCCCTACAATGACTACATATAGGTCAGTATTTATAGAACAAGAAGCAAGGATATGTATATGTAATGGAAGGTAAATAAAAGATACGTGCCTCACACCAAAGCAGAAAATAAATATCTAAAAGGATGAAAATTCCTGATATATATGTGTATGTAGCAGCCAATAAATTTGCTCATCTACATGAATGTAACAAGTAGAAGACTAAACAAAGGATACATAAACCGTAACAAAATAGCATAAGTAGAGATCACATATCATGTAAAGAACTTGCTATAATGCACGCATGTCAAACTCAAAGGCTAACACGGGCCAAATAAACAAACTATATGTTTATTTGGAAAAGTACAGTATTAAATAAATCCCAGCATCACTCTCTTCTAAACCCTAGTTCTATAAAATCACAGTCCCCCCTCTATAAAATCCAAGTCTCCCTCTATTAAATCACAGTTCCCCCTTCTACTAAACCCAAGCCCCCCGCCCGACTAAATCACAGTACCCCTCTATGAAATCCCAGCACCCACCTCTACTAAACCCCTGCCCCTGTTAAAAAAAACAAAAACAAACAAACAAACAAAAAAAACAATATTGGGGAAACTAGCAGACTCCACTCACATTGCTTCTACCAGTATGTGACTCCAGAGTCCTGTCTCAAGAATTCTATGTCTATCATCCCCCAACTCCCTGTGCTGATGGAAAGATCTGATCAATGTCCATTATCCTGACCATCAGTATTGTATGCCGCTTGTTCAAATGCCTAGCCACAGTTTGTGTAGAATGATGGCAGTCATGATACCTGAACAGTGACCTTGGATTCTGCCTGAGGGGGGAAGAGGGGAGGGAGGTTTTACCAATATAGGACAATCCACATGGGCACACTTGGTGGTGCAAGTGATCCTGTGTTTGATACAGTATTATTTACCTGTGTGGTAATGGCAAGAAGTTTACCCAGGGGAGATATGGCTGCATGTAACACAGCCTAAGCAGCAATAACACACGTGTTTTCTTCTTGTGTAAAACTGTTGGTTGAGTGTCAGTATGGACCAGAGTGTCCACGAGTTTGGCATTGTAATAATTTAAAATAAGGATTTATGATATAACATATAGCATAATAAGGTAAATGCTTTAGAGGCAGCACAGGGGCAGTGTGTAGGATTATTCCATTATATGGTTTCCTTATGTCATGTGCTTCTGGCAGTGACATCAAGGGCCAGACTACTCTAGGGAAGTTACCTCCCAGAAAGTATCTCACTGTGAATAAAAAATCCCAGATGTAATAGAGATTCAGGCTCTCTCTCTTGACTGACCAGGATGTCTGACTTCTTAGCCCCAACCAAGGTCTGGGGCCTTTGCAAGTTATATGTTTTGTATATTATTTTGTACTGTAATTCATTTGTTACAGCCTGTTACTTGCTATAATTATTGTAGCAAATATACACTTAATATTACATTTTGTATATTTTCTATCCACATATTTGACCATGATACCAAGAACTATAAAACATATTCATGCTGTAACTTATTGTATATTAAATAAAAGATTAATATTCATATTGAAGCCGAAGCCCCAATAGGCATTCCACATGGAACTGAGATGGGGTGGTTTATCAAAGATTTGTAGAAGAGAATGGCCACTCCTAATAATGTTCCAATTTATTTTAGCAATAGGATGCTGTTAAAAGTCTGAGGAAACACTAATATGCGTGTTTTGCATGATTCCAGAGGATGGTGAATGCTAGAAGTGGCATTAAATTTCTTAGTAGCTTTGGCAGGGGTCCATTCAAGAATCTCAAGTCTCTATCCATGTATGAAGAATGTAATTTTTATGATCTTATGTTGAGACTCAAGCGTGTGTCAATGCTAGAGCAATTATGCATAACCTGCAAGAACTGAGAGATGAGAAGAGATTTCAATAAGATAAAGGCAACTTTACAAAATATTGACTAGCATGAACACTGAGGGTAAATGGAATATCTTCTAACAAATATTAGAAAGGTACATTTCCAGTATGTAACATTGGGTAATAAATATAGAAGAAACAAATTGAAACCAAGTTGGCTTAGTGGAAAATTAAAACAAGAGATAAAAAATAAGAAAATTTTTAATATTTATTTTAAATAACTATATTTTTCCTCAGTATACATTAAGGAGGATCCTATAGTAAGAGACATGCAAATGATTGCTACAGAAAACTTGCAGATAATTTGTGATTGGATGACTCAAGACAAGGTGCTGCAGCAACTAAAGAAAGTTAATATAACCAAAGCTCTGGAACCTGACGGTATTCACCCATGAGTACTTAAGGAGCTAAATGAGGAAATAAGTGAACTTCTATTTTTATTCTTTCAAGATTCTTTTCTTAGGAATTTTATCAGAGGATTGGAATGAGGCAGATGTGGTTCTTATGGTCAAAATAGGTTCAAAAACTTTGCCTGGCAATTATACACCTGTGAGTTTAACTTCTGTGGCCTAGAAAGTATATGAAGGGTTATTAAGAGATAATATTCAGGAATTGTAGGGTTTATACCTAACATGCAGAATCAAAATCCTCCAGAAGAATAGAGATAGATAGAAAGGTCCCTAAACTGGTCCTTAGATTGTATTTATTCGGACAAAGAGAAAGGAACGCCACAACAACCCAAGGTCAGAGGAAGCCAGAAATGCACAAATACGAGCAACAGAGCCTGTCATGGTACCTGTTGTAGCCAATGCAGAGGAGGTTGGGCATCTGGACGCCCATTCTCCGGAAGTGTCATACCTCCTCGCGGCCCACGCTGCTCCGGTTCCGCCGTCCACTCTGCTCCTCCAGGCTCTGCTGGCTTCCAACTGACAGCGCGCCCGCGACCAGGGACACGCGCGGCATGCCGCTGAAAACTTAAAGTGATACTACCATTATTGCATGAATCTTGGTAACCCTTTTATAATATCTCCTCTTCTATTCCCTAGCCTATCAGACCTCTCTGAGCCCTATTTACACCTCCCTCCTACATCACTTCCTTGCCCTGTCGTGGTCTATTGTAGCCCGAGAGTGCGTTCTGTATACATGTGTGTTTCCTGGTATCTGACTTCGGCTTGTCTCTGGTTATCAGTAATCTCTGGCTTCCTTGGCTTTGTTTCTCATTTATTCTTTCTTCTCCTGGCCTGACCTCGGCTCGTCTTATTATTCTGCTTCTCTCCTTACTTTTCTTTACGTTAAGTCCAGCCACTTTAAGGACCGGTAATACGTCTAGCTTGGGTTGTCTATTAGTCCTATAATTAGCGTGTTGGAGAACCTAACCTTGACAGGAAGGCACACAGGCACCCATCTTCAGCCATTTCGGCCGTTTAGACACCGGCCGCGATAGCCCCGCCCAGTGGCGTCTCTAGGATTCATTTTTCGGGAGGGCACATGGAGGGCCAGGGACAAAAGTAGGGGGGCACATTTAACCCCGCCCTCGCCGCAGTTTGACCCCGCCCCTGTCACATGTTAATCCCCGCCCCCGACACAATGTGTTTAATAATCCCTGGTGGAGGATTCATTTTTTTCCACCAGGGATTATTAAAAAAACACATTACCCTTGATACAGTGCCATAGTTGCCAACATTTGAAAAAAATTTCCAAGGACATTTTGCAGCACAGCTATCAATTACTTTCTGGGTATAATATCCCTGGACAGTCAGTGCACTCTGTATAATACAGGGTTGTGTGTATAATAAATTGGGACACTCAGTCCTCCCTGTATAGTGCTGCTCTCTGTATAATACAGGTCTGTTTGTGTATAATATCCCCAGACGGAGAGCAGCATTATTCAGGGAGCACTGACTGTCCCGGGATATTATACAGGCACAGGCCTGTATTATACAGAGAGCAGTACTATACAGGAAGCACTGACTATCCCGGGATATTATATACACACAGATCTGTATTATACAGATAGCTGAGCATATACCCCATGTATTAATCTCTAGACTACTAGTACCTGTCAACAGCAGCTCCCAGATGCGTGTAACAGGGCTAAAGTGTGCGGCAGCTCACACAGATGATTCAGCGGTAAAGTGCACTCGCTGGCAGAGCCAAACAGGGAATCCCTGGGAATCCAAAGCAGCCCTGGAAAAAAAATGTATGCCATTCCTACAAGTGTGTGTGTGTGTATATATATATATATATATATATATATATATATATTAGTATAGTAAACACACAAGCTCATTGACATGTGCAAATAGGCTTACTGACAGACAAAACTCTCTGACTCACACACAAGCTTACTACAGACAAATTCACTTGTATAAACAGAAGGCTCACTACAAAGAAATTCAGGGATACACACAAGCTCACTAAAGACAAGCTCACTGACACACACAAGCAGTACCATTTTAACAGAGTTAAGGGCCCCTGGGCAAAGCAATGCACTGGTGCCCTTCCTACACAACAACTCACAGGAATTTTACACACACACACTGCTGAGTCCACACACACAGACACACACTGCTGAGTCCACACAGACTGCTGAGTCCATACACACACACAGACCGCTGAGTCCATACACACACACACAGACTGCTAAGTCCATGCACACACCCTCACAAACTGCTGAGTAAATACACACACACACAGAGACTGCTGAGTCCATACACACACACACACACACACAGACTGCTGAGCAGTGGCGGATCCAGAGCCAGATCTCAGGAGGGGCACTTGTAGATTATTTAAATAATCCAGACACAATAACCACTACAGCTCAGTGTAGTGATTATGGTGTCAATAGTGCCGGAACCCCCTCCCAGAGTAAGTAGTCAAAGTTTGTGTGTATGGGGGTCAGTGTGTGTGTGTATGGGGGGCAGTGTGTGTGTATGGGGGGCAGTATGGGGGGCAATGTGTGTGTGTGTGTATGGGGGGCAGTGTATGTATGTAGAGTGTGTGTGTGATAAGGGTAGGGGGGCTTTTTAAAATAAAATATATATATATATATGGGTGTATATATATTATTAAAAATATATATAATTTTATTTAATTAAAATAAATATTTATGTCCCCTCTCCCTTCTTACCTTTACTGGAAGGAGGGGGGACACTTCTTAGACCCTGGTTGTCCCAGTGGGGAGAGTGATCTCTAGCCCGCCCTCCAGGGCTAGAGTTCACTCTCGCTAGATTTGGAGCGTTGCCGCGGTTACGACAACGCTCCATGCTCGCGAGAGTAGGACCCGGAGGAGCTGCAGGCAGAGCTCCCGGGTGCTCTCTTCCTTCCCTGATGGCTGTCAGCACAGTTCCTGCGGACCGGGGAGGGAGATCTCTGATCTACCCTCCGGTCCACAGGCACATTGCAGGGCTAGCACCTGCATGTGCTGGCAGGGGAGAGGGAGACCATTGCCCCCCCCCTCCGGATCTGCAACTGCTGCTGAGTCCGTATACACACACACAGACTGCTGAGTCCATACACACACACACACACACACACAGACTGCTGAGTCCATGCACACACAAACACACACACAGACTGCTGAGTCCATGCACACACACACACACACACACACACACACACTGAGCTGTAGTGGTTATTGTGTCTGGATTATTTAACTCTGTGTGTGTGTGTGTGTGTGTGTGTATGGACTCAGCAGACTATTATAAAACAGTCTGTGTGTATGGACTCAGCTGAGTCCATACACTTTTGTGCGCACACACACACAGACTGCTGAGTCCATACACACACACAGACTGCTGAGTCCATGCGCACACACACACACACACACACACTCTGTGTGTGTGTATGGACTCAGAAGTCTGTGTGTATGGACTCAGCAGACTATTATAAAACAGTCTGTGTGTGTGTATGGACTAAGCAGACTGCTGAGTCCATACACACACAGACTGCTATGTCCATACACACACACAGACTGCTGAGTCCATACACACACACACACACACACACACAAAGACTGTTGAGTCCATACACACAGACTGCTGAGTCCATACACACACACCAAGCCTACCTGTAACTGGAGGCTGTTGCTGGGGTCAGACAGCGATCTTCTGCAGCAGCACGGTCTGCTGCTTTATGGTGGGGGCGGGGCTTATGTGAGGGAGGCGGGCTTCATTTGGGGGTGGGGCCTGTGCCGGGAGCCTGTCAGTGCTCCCTCCAGCCACAGACAGCCCCCAGCACCTCAGTCCTGCATTCCCTCGGGCTGTAACAGGCTGTTACAGTCCGAGGGAAGAACATGGGCAGCAAGTTGCCGGCATTTGGGGGGGCCCAAGGTGGTGCACAGCATGATGTAGGGGAGGCAAGGACCCCCTCTGGCCCCCCTCTAGCGACGCCACTGGCGCCGCCCCTTTTATGACGCAGCACAACTTCGCCGACGTCATGACGTCACGGCCCGTCAAAGTTCAAACCAGGACATTAATTAAAGAACCAATTTATAAAAGGTACTCACTTACAGTGAGTCATTGCCCTTTTGTGGTTCCAGCTTGTCTGTTCCCTCAGTGCTATTTCTGTGATTGATTTTGGTTATTGACTTGGCTTTGTATTCTGACTTTGCTACTTTCTCCTACCCTTGTACTCTGCTTGGCTTTCGCTTACCTGTCTTCTCGTTTCCTCAACCTCTGCTTGTTCCTGACCATTCTTTCTTTGTGTGACGTTATTCCGGCCAATCTAAGGTCCGGTATACGTCTTTATATTTGTTAGTACTCTGCAAGTTGGATCCCTGTCTCGATCCTGACAGAGCCAAGTCAAGGAAACCAAAAAAACAGAGTAGTCAAGAGAAAGCTGGGTAAATAACAATACACAATAAACAAACAAAGGAATGCTCAATTGGGACACTAGAAACTCTAGGAACCACAGCAGTGCACAGTGCCTTGCGATATGATTTTATGTGTTTGGGGGTATAGTTAGCATAACCACACCTCCACAATGTGAGAGTATGTTGAGCTCTATGGACGCCTGCTCACGTGCGCCGCATCATCAAAAGAGGTGGAAGCAGGGGGCATGGCCGACTGCCTAGCGAACAAAACGCGTGTGTGTGGAGCTCCGTATCAGCGCACAATAAAGTAAGAAAATTACCCGACAAACGGCTCCCATACACGGCCACATATATGCCTCCCGCACAGAAACACCAATGGGGTGCAAAAATAAAAAATGTCACCACCCAGACACACCCAAACTGACCGATATTCGGCTCTCGTTTGCGAGGCCTACTCCACAGGCTGCCGTCAAGATGGTGCCTGCAGTGAGAAGGAGGACTCAGGAAAATCCCAGGATGACAGGGAAAGTCTTACCTTGCCTCCAGCAGACGCTGAAGCCCAGTGTCCTGACTCAGAATCAGAGGCAGAGTCATCCCCTGCAACAAAAAAGGACATAAGAGACCTCTTAACAGAAATGAGAGAGGTGTGGAGAGCTGACCTACTAAGCACACAGAAGGAGGTGGGGAACCTCCAACAAAGTGCTCACAGCAATAGAAACACGAGAGTGCAAGGGAGCATCAGATCCAGCATTCCCATGACTCAATGCAGAATCTCTCCTCACAAGTCCAGAAACTTATTCGGACTATTACAACTATGGAAGCTCGACATAGAAGGCGGAACATACACATCCGAGTAATCCCTGAAAGAGTGGAAGGAGATGCCTTATTACCCTACATCCACCACCTAATGTCTACCATAGGCCTTAAAGGAGGCACTGACCCCAACACAATACTTTCAGCGTTCAGAATCCGAAAAGCTGCAACAGCTCCACGAGACGCACCCAGAGACACTATAGCGGTCACGAAGGACATGGCAACCCGCTCTGCTATCAGACCTAATGCAGAGAGGGCCTAAATGCAAGAAATGATTTTGGACCCCTTAACACAAGGGTGCCCAAGAGACAAAATATAGACTCCCATCTGTTGTACATATCCCATAATGCATTGCCAGCTGTGGATCTACCATTTGCTCATCTTTGCAGGGTTTTACCTGTGAGAAGTTTTTGTCTATTTGAATGTAAGCATGTTTATTTATGGAGTATGTGCGTGTGAAATTTAGAGGTCTATTTGTGTATATAATGTGTTGGCATTTGAATGCAGTTGTGTGTTACTAATAACTAGAAAAAGTGCAGAGGATATAACAGCATTATACAAATATATTCCGAACCAATACAAACCAGTTTCTGGAAATCAATTCATAAACAGGACTATACATAGGACATGAGGTCATGCATTTAGACTGGTAGAAAGGAGACAGTCTAAGGCAAAGGAAAGGATTTTTTTTTCCAGCAAGAACAATAAGGATGTGTAATTATCAGCCTGAAGATGTGGTTTTATCAGCATATAGAGAGGTTTTACCAGCAATTGTATGAATACATGCAAAAACATGATATTCAGGGATATAATTTTTATTTAATGGGATAATAACTTCTTAATCCAAGGAGAGATTTGCTGCCATGCTGGGGTCATGTTTGTTGCAAAATTGAAAGCACTTCAAACTGGTTTTTTTGCCTTCTTTTCAGCTATGTAAAAATGTTACCAGTTTAAGTGGATGGAAACGAGTAGCGTGTAGCAACGTGTTCCTATCTGTAGGTTTGGAATACAAACAGTACTCCAGCTTATTGCTCACCACTGAAATCCTCAAGTCCAAAAACTTAAGAGTCAAGAATACTTTTGTAAGTCAATTTAATTGAGGAATTGAGATGATTCATCATATCAGTTAGTTGTTGTTCAGACACCAGCCAAACAAAGAGATAATTGTTAAAGCTCATGTACCACTTGATCATGTCCCCATATTTAGAAAGTATATTGTTCATATCATAGAAGTACATGAAAGCATTAGCCTACATAAGGGCCATTGTTGTCCTCATGCACATGTCTTTAAGTTGTACATTAAATGACTACTCAAAACAAAAATTAAATTTCAGAGATGAAATAATTCCAAAATTAAATCAGTACGGTATCTTACCTCTTCAGACATTTCTTGCAAAAACTAGTGCATGGTTTCTATGCCTTTCTCATAAGGTATATCAGTGTAAAGGCTACCAACATCAAAGATCACCAACGTGGCTCCAGTGGGTATGTTGACATCCTTTATCCATGAAATAACATCAGGAGTATTCCTTACGAATGTTGTTAGAGCCTGAACTGGTTTCTTAAAAACCTAGTCGATCCATTAGCCAATTGGTTCAAAGAGGCCATCTTTGGCTGAGATGATCGGGTGTCCCAATGGGAGTGTGTCATGTTTATGAATATATGGGATAAATGATGGGGCAATAAAAAGGTGTTCTTGATGTAGAAACTTGAACACAGTTAGAGAAATGTACCCTAATTTGTGCCCCCTGCATAATACCTGGTTAATGATGTCACTAAACATTTCACTTGGGTCAGAGTCTAAATGTCGATATCTGGTAGGGTTTGGTGCAGAAGCTTGTCCAAATAATATGAATAATTTATTTTGACAATTCCATCCCCTTTCTCAGCTGGACATATGCAGATGCTGGAAGTGTCTGCTAAGTCTTTCAGAGATTGTCTCTGCATTTTCAAAATGTTAGTGTTATCTTGTGGTTAGAGAGTGCCTTAGCACTCTCAGCTTGAGCAAAGGTTTTCAGAATCAAATTAGTTGCTGGCAAACTAGTTGTAGGCTTTTGAGGTTATAATCCTAGGATATAATTTTTTAAAGAATTAATTAAATGTGTCTTGCAAATGTGTACTGTTTAACGTGCCAGAGAAAAGGTTGTGGGCATTGGATAGTACAAACAACAGACCCTTAGCGAGTATCTTAATTTCTATTTCCAAGAGAGGTCTGTGCGATAAGTTAAAGATGAGTGCTATTTCACCATTTTGGAGGTCTGCCTTTTGATTTTCAACCTGGTGTCTCTTCTGTCCCAGTCTGATCTTTCTCCTTCTGCAATAATGCCGCAGTCTTATGTGGATCTTGGTATTGGTTTCCTGATAAGTTCCAAACATGGTTCTAAAGATACTGTGTTTGATTTTGCATTAGAAACATTTGCTAATGCTTTGGCTGGTGTGTTGTCTTGGGTCAGGACATTGGAATCTGAGGTTGATTTCACTGTAGACCAAAAATGGTTTCCTAATGCTTAATTTTGGTCTCTGCATTGGAGAACATGTAAAGCTTCTGGAAAGCCACCTATATATTCGGTGGTCAGCATAAATGTTGAATCATACTAACTCATTCTTAGTTTTTCAAATCCGGTTCTAGCTTTTTCATGAGATCATTGCAAATGCTTGGTTCCCTGATTTCAAACTTTGTGATCTAGACTTGATAAAAGTCTCCTATGGAGACTGAAGCATGCTGATGTAGTCTTCACCTTTTGGACCATTGAAAGAAAAATATTAGACAATTTCCTCAAGTGTGCCCTTTGTTATATATAAAAAATGTTGACATAACTGGTCCTACAGTTCCCAACTGTGAGTTTCAGCAACGGCTGTTTCTGGACACTGTAGCGGAACCTGGGGAACTCGGCTGGTTATCCCCTTTGGTAATGATTGGTCAGACCCATTTCCCCAGTAACTGGACGGGACACAGTTCCAGGGTACAACTTTTACAATCTTTATTTGGGCACACAGCTTTTTATCACAGACACAACACAATCTCATGCAGGAAGGGGCTGGGTAACAGATAACCATATCCCACTCTGGGAGATACTAACTGGACACAGGGACACACATGAGTACACATTACATATGGGGGGGTGAAACTTGGGGCTTGGAGCCCTGGGACAGGATGGAGATACAGGGTTACAACATATGTGGATGAATACACATTCTAGGTGGGCACATCCACACACTTACAACAAGGCAATTCACAGTTGTGCAGCGGTCCCGCCACAGACAACAATCAAGGATTAAATCCCTTTACTGGAGCACCACTGTCTTCTTAATTGCTTTTTGTCTAAGACCAGTTTTACTTATTTTTTATTTTTTTTTATTTTCTTAATATTTTTCCTATTATGTGTAGAGTACTGCAGAATCTTAAAATTCAACATTCCTGAATTCAGTTGTGCTGACAGTTGATACAAATGTACATTTACACTGAGACTAGATACATACATAATCATTGCACTCTGTTGGTTTAATATAGAGAGTGACTGATGTCTTTACTTCGAAGTGATGGCAAGGAGGTCAGCACACCGGCACCATAGAAAAGTTAATTCCTGCTTTTAAAAGTGTCCTTAAACACAAACAATTGCATTATAGGAAGGTAGGTGGAAGGCAGAGCCTGAAAGTGGGTGTTACATTAATACTTAGGAAGACAGCGCAATGGTAGTGCTCACACCTGAGTCAGCAGGTGAGTATAATCTCCATGTCTAATTAATCTCCATGTCTATTTGTGTATAGTGTGACCGTGTAAGAATGTGTGTGAATGCTTTTCAAGTGTTTGTATGGCTAATTTAAATGTAAATGGTTATCTATCAGAGTATTTACCAGTGTAAATTCACAGGTGTATCGACATTTACAGTATTATTCAGAGACTGTAAAGTGAACTTCAAATTTAAAGGACCACTATAGGCACCCAGACCACTTCAGCTCAATGAAGTGGTCTGGGTGCCAGGTCCTTCTAGTTTTAACCCTGCAGCTGTAAACATAGCAGTTTCAGAAGAAACTGCTATGTTTCACTGAGGGTTAATCAAGCCTCTAGCGGCTGTCAGTGAGACAGCCACTAGAGGCGCTTCTGTGATTCTCACTGTGAAAATCACAGTGAGATGAAGCTGACATCCATAGGCAGGGCCGCCATCAGGGGGTGACAACCATAACGGTTGTCACGGGCCAGCGGCGCCGTGGGGGGCCCGGCCCCCACGTGTGGGGCCCATCGGGTGGCCCACACACTTAGGTTCACCGGATGGGCCCCTTTAAAAAAAAAAAAAAAGCAGCCGCAAGTGCTGCTGGGAGGAAGTGGCTACTGCCTCCCAGCTCACTCTGCGCGGGAGGAGCGCGCGCGCCAGTGAAGAGGGACAGCCAGGCAGTGAAGAGGGAGCCACGCCGACTCCCATCATCCCCATCCACCCTCCTGCAAAGAAAAGATAAGAGACAGGAGGGTGGCTGGAAAATGAGCTGTGTGTGTGTCTGTATGCATGTATGTCTTTCTGACTGTATGCATGTATGTCTGTATGTATGTCTATTATTATTATTATTATTATTATTATGATATTTATAGAGCGCCGTCAAATTCCGCAGCACTTTACAATGGGTGGACGAACAGACATATAGTTGTAACCAGACAAGTTGGACACACAGGAAAAGAGGGGTTGAGGGCCCTGCTCAATGAACTTACATGCTAGAGGGAGTGGGGTAAAATGACACAAAAAGGTAACGATAGTATTAGACTAATGACAGTTGCAGAAGAGGAATCAGCCAGGAGCTATTAACAGTTTGATTGATACGCTTTTATGAAGAAGTGGGTTTTTAATGATTTTTTTGAAGGAGTGGAAACTGGGTGAGCATCTAACGGAGGAGGGAAGCGAGTTCCACAGGAACGGTGCAGCCCTCGAGAAATCTTGAAGATGAGCATTAGAGGTTGGGAGTACGGACAGAAGATAGACATAAGTCTTCAGCAGATTGTAAGGGCCTAGACAGGACATACTTGTGTATAAGGGAGGATAGATAGATGGGAGCAGCATTATGTAGAACCAGAATTTGAAATTGAGCTCTATATTTTATAGGAAGCCAATGTAGGGATTGACAGAAGGGTGAGGCATGGGAGGTGCGGGCGGACAGGAAGATGAGCCTTGCTGCCGCATTCATTATGGACTGTAAGAGCGCTAGTTGGGAGCACGTAAGACCACTGAGAAGCGGATTACAGTAGTCAAGGCGAGAAAGGACCGTGGAATGGACCAACACCTTAGTCGCATCTGGCGTTAAGTAGGGGCGGATGCGCGCAATGTTTTTGAGATGGAAATGACAGGATTTGGCGATAGATTGAACATGAGGCTTGAAGGAGAGGTCAGAGTCAAAGAGAACACCTAGGCAGCGAGCCTGCGTGGTGGAGCTGATGGTAGCACCATTGACTTGGAGGGAGACAGACACAGGAGTAACAACACTTGAGGGAGGAAAGACCAGAATTTCAGTTTTGGTCAAGTTTAGTTTAAGGAAGTGGGCAGCTATCCAGTTAGAAATAGCAGAGAGGCAGTCAGAGACACTAGTAAAGAGGGACGGGGACAGGTAGATTTGCGTGTCATCTGCATAGAAATGATATAGGAAGCCAAAGGAGCTAATGAGTATACCAAGGGAGGCAGTATAGATGGAGAACAGTAGGTGATGAAGGACTGAACATTGGGGGACACCAACAGAGAGGAGTTGGGGAGAAGAAGCAGAGCCAGAGAAAGAAATACTGAAAGAGCGCTGGGAGAAGTAGGAGGAGAACCAGGAGAGAGCAGTATCTTGTAGACCGATATTGCGGAGGATGAGAAGAAGCTGTTGATGATCAACAATGTCAAAAGCCGCAGACAGTTCAAGGAGAATTAGGATAGAGTAGTGACCATGAGATTTTGCAGCGAGTAGATCATTGGATACTTTGGTCAGTATCGTTTCCACAGAGTGCTTAGCGTGGAAACCAGACTGAAGTGGGTCTAGCAGAGAGTTGGACTCAAGGAAGTCTGTCAATCTTGCATACACAATTTTTTCAAGGATCTTGGATGCAAAAGGCAGTAGCGAGATAGGACGATAGTTGGATGGGGAGTTAGGGTCAAGATTGGGCTTCTTTAGAATTACACTTGCATGTTTGAAGGGCAATGGAAATATACCAGAGGAGAGACAGAGATTGAGAATTTTAGTGAGAGGTGGAGAAAGAGAAGAAGACAGAGTATGGATGAGATGTGAGGGAATTGGATATAGGGAGCAGGTGGTGGGGCGGAAGGACTGGAGCAGAGCAGAAACCTCTTCCAATGTAGCGGGTGCGAATGAACATAGAACAGCAGAGGGAGTGAAGTTAGGGGAAGTATTGTAAGGGGAAGAAGAAAGATGAGAGATCTCTTCTCTGATTGTAGAGATCTTGTCAGTGACATGAGTTTCAAAGTCTGAGGCAGTCAAGTTAGTAGGTGGAGGAGGAACAGCAGGGAGAAGAAGAGAGTTAAATGTGTGAAATAGTTGTTTGGGTTCGCGGGAGAGTGTGGTTATGAGGGTATTGAAGTAATTAACTTTTGCAGAGGAAAGAGCCAAGCTGTATGAGCTCAGCATAAATTTATAGTGGAGAAAGTCAGATGCACAGTGAGACTTTCTCCAACAGCGTTCAGCAGTTCTGGAGCATTTTTGGAGGTATCGAGTGAGCTTGGTGTGCCAGGGTTGTTGTTGGGGGGGCCTGCGGCGTTTAAATGTACAAGGTGCCATGATGTCTAGTTGAGAGGAGAGGGTGGAATTGTAGAAGGAGGTTGCAGAACTAGGACAGTTGAGGTTTGAGATAGGTAAAATGAGAGTTTGGAGATTAGTGGAGAAATGCTCTAGGTCAAGACATTGGAGGTTTCTGTGAGAGTGATGTTCAGACGGTGGTGTCAATTGGGTCTTAGGTATGCCAATGTCAAAAGTCAGCAGATGGTGGTCAGATAGAGGAAAGGGAATATTGGAGAGATTAGAGGCAGTACAGAGGTTAGTGAAGGCAAGATCAAGAGTGTTTCCTGCTGTATGGGCCAAAGGAGGGGGTTACAGAGAGCAGACGAGAGGCATCAGTGCAATTGGGGTTATTGATTGGGATATTGAAATCCCCAAGTATAAGGGAAGGAGTGGGGGGGAGGGGGGCGGTAGATGATAGCGATTCTTAAAGGAGTGGGTTTAAATAGGCGGACAGTGTGAACTTCAAAAGAAGAAAAGGATAGGGCAGGGGGAGTTATGATTGGTTGAAAGGTACATTGAGGGGAGAGAAGGATGCCTACACCGCCTCCTTTACAGTTGAGTCTGGGAGTGTGAGAGAATTGTAGCCCACCAAAACTTAAAGAGGCAGGAGTAGCGCTATCAGAGGGGGACAACCAGGTCTCTGTAAGTGCAAGCAGTGTGAGTGAGTTTGAGATGAAAAAGTCGTGTATGGTTGTTGATTTTAAATTACTGCAGATGGAGCGGGCATTCCAGAGTGCACAATTAATTTTGGTAAGTGAGGGTAAAGGGCAGGGTATTGTGATGAGGTTTGTGGGGTTTCTGGTTGTCATAGTGTGTGTAGAGAAGGTGAAGGGCCCTGGATTGGGAGAGACATCACCAGCTGCTAGAAGTAGGAGGAGAGAAAGTGACAGGAGGTGTGAATGAGTTTTGTATGCATGGGGTCTAGGGTGAGATCGATTGTGGGTTGGAGTGAGAGAGTAGAAAAATGAGTGTAAGGCATGAGATGGGAGAAGAGGGGAGTGTAGCAGAGAAGGGCATATGTAAATGTGGATGGGGATGAGTGAAGTGGGTGTAAGGAGAGATTTTTATACTGAGGGAGACTGAGGAAATAAAGAGGAGGAGAAAACAGATCATTGCTAAACTGTGAAAAATAAAAATTGGAGATAATTGAAATATCAAGAGCAGGTGAAGGTGTTTTATGGGTTAAGAAAGTGCAGGAGTGTACTAATAAGTCTATGTCTGTCTGTATGCATGCGTGTATGTCTGTCTGTATGTATGTCTATGTTTGTCTGTATGTCTGTCTGTCTGCATGCATGTATGTCTATGTATGTATGTCTGTATGTATTTATGTCTGTGTGTATGTGTCTGTCTGTATGCATGCATATATGTATATGCATGTATATATGTATGTCTGTATGTCTGTATGTCAGTATGAATGTATGTTTGCATATCATTATGAACGTATGTCCGTGTGTATGGATGTCTGTATGCATGTATGTCTGTATATATGCATGTATGTCATCTGTATGTATGTATGTCTGTATGCCATTATGAATGTATGTCTGTGTATGTCTGTATGCCATTATGAATGTATGTGTGTCTGTATGTCTGTCAGTATGTCTGTATGTATGAATGTATGTGTGTGTGTATGTATGTCAGTGTCTGTATGTATGTGTCTTTATGTCCTCATGCATGTGTGTCTGTATGTATGTTAGTATGTGTCTGTCTGTCAGTATGTATGCCTGTATGTGTGTATGTCTGTTTCAGTATGTGTGTTTGTTAGAATGTATCTTTGTCTGTTTGTGTCTGTGTGTGTATTCCTGTGGGCGGTATTTGGAGGCGGACCCAGTAGGTGGCATTTGAAGGCGGGCCTCGGGGCCCAGACCCTGAGCTGAGTTAGAGGCCCCAAAATTTCTGGTGGCGGCCCTGTCCATAAGAAAGCATTGAGTAATGCTTTCCTATGGGCGGTTTGAATGGCGCGCGGCTCTTACCGCGCACGCACATTCGAGACTGACGTCAGCAGGTGGAGGAGAGTTCCCCAGCGTCGAGGGAGCCCGGTGCTGGAGAAAGGTAAGTGGCTGAAGGGGTTTTAACCCCTTCAGCCCAGCGGGAGGTGGGCCATGAGGGTGGGGGGGACCTAAGGACTACATAGGGGTCCTTTAAGGCCAAAGTAGCTAAACTGGAACTATAGATTAATAAGAAAATGTTTTTTTATGTTAGGCTATTTTGGCATTCAATTTGAAATGTATTTTTAATTTTCACTTTAGTGATTCAGTGCTCGCTATGTATATGCACATTGGGGTGGAGGGCTTAGGCCTCATACAGATGTACTAGTTTCAACCCTATGATTCCGACCCTGGTGCTTAGACTGGGCTTTTAATGAAGAAAATACATCTCACCTTATTGAAAATGATCAACTGATGCCCTCAAATTCCTCATGTTCTGCTATTAAAAAATAAAAACTCTTAAAGTTGTCCCTGTCTCTAATTGTATAAAGGTGCCCTCCATCATTCCAAACTTCCACTTCTGTGTGCATAAAAATTTTTTTAAATAACTTTTCCTCACCATTTTCCAGCATTCTCTCTCCGTGCTGTTGACCTCTCCGCCTCCCCCACAGTGGAGGCATGGTCTCCTCTGTAATGGTGTAATTCAATATTCCTCGTAGAAGAACATTGGGGATCTAATGTGAATCAATGCTTTCATGTCATGTTACCAAGTTTTACTTTGTCAGAGCAGCAGAAGGGCCTCTAGTGGCTGTCACACTGAAGTGGACTGAACCCTGCAATATAAGCATTGCAGTTTCTAAAAAAAAAAAAAACTAGGATAGAACCCCTGCACCCAGGCTCTTTCCTTGAGATAAAGTGGTCTGGGTGAATATAGTGTCCTTTAAATGCAACTTTGCTAGCCTGATGACTGGCTACAAATTAAGAATAGAAGCTCAGAAACATATGTATATTATTCTAAAAAATATCAATGTAGCCAGAAGAGTCATCATGGGTGTTTGGGAGTTTTGTGGATCTTTTTGGTTTAGAAATCTCTAACTTAATATGACACATAATTACATGATGAAATATATAAATCATAGACTACATATAGTATATTCTTAAAGTGAACCTGTCATTGTTTCTCCAACATTTGCTTTGCCACATGGGCATTCAAGTGAGAACTGTCTGGATTTCAAAGTGAATTTCAAATTAAAGTCTAAAGTAACTAAATTGGAAAATATACAATGGTACTTTCAGTTCCATTACAACTAACAGACATGTGATAGCTGCAAAGTGATAAATGTCAGCATTTATCTAATCACTTGCCATATGGGAAGAAGCAGTTTATGAAACACACAAATGAGGTGATTTGCCTATGTTAAATAGTGCTGGGGTGGGTATTGTATTTATAAGTGAGCTGTTTGTCTCTCAGAGCACAGTTCAGACCAGCATCATGTCCTGGGTTCCTCTTCTCCTCGCTGTCACCTGTCTCTACACATGTAAGGATCATCATTACTTAGACCACGTCTGTGCAATCTGCATGTCTCTGACACTTCTGTGCAATCTGCATGTCTCTGTCACTTTAACCTTGTGTCTGCTCCTGTTTCAGGTTGTGTTGGGCAGTATGTAGTGACTCAGCCACGTTCACTTTCAACAAGACCAGGAGACACAGCATCACTTACCTGTACTGGGAACAATATTGTCAGCAAGAATGTGCACTGGTACCAACAAACACAGGGTAACAAACCAAAACTTATTATTTATAACGATCGCAACAGAGCTGACAACGTCCCAGATCGATTCTCAGGAACTAACTCGGGTAACACAGCAACATTAACCATCAGTGGAGTCAGAGCAGAAGACGAGGCTGATTATTACTGCCAGGTGTGGGATGGCAATGCTGCACAGTGACACAGACAGAAGAGGAACTGAGACAATAACTGGCTTCTTGTATTATTAATATAGTGCCATCACATTCCGTAGTGCTGTACATTGAAGTGAACTATTAATAGATGCAGGGAATAGTATTAAATACCTGTATCTATAGCGATAGCAGATAGTATGGTGAAATACAGAGGGGAAAAAACAACTGCTTTAGAGTTTGACTGTCTAAAGAAAAGAGAGAAGCATTTCACATAATTAAAAAAAAAATACACAATTACTAATGCACAAATAAAATTTGTATATCATGCCACATATGCCTCCAAAACGCCTGCTAGTGCCATGTGCCCTCAAACACCCTGCCATTGGTATTTCTCTGCCACCAGCCTCCCTGTGCCATGTCTCTGCTCTTAGCCTCTCTGTGCCTTCTCTCTGCCTCTAGTGAGGGTGACAGTTTGAGTGGGATGGTGACAGTGTATGTGTGCTAGGGGGCCATCCCACCTTCCATCCATGTCTCTCCCTCCTTCCTTCCATCCATCTCTCTCCCCTCCCTTCCATCTGTGTCTCTGTTGCCCTCACCCACCCCTCATGCCTCCCTCCCCCCCCCATGTTCCCCTACCCCTGCCAGCCATGTGTCTCACCCTCCACATCCCCCTTCCATCCATGGCTCTCCCTTCCATGTCCCCCTCCCCCTGCCATCCGTGTCTCTGTTCCCCTCCCTTCCATGTCCCCCTACCTCATTCATCCATGGCTCTCCGCCTCCCCTCATGTTCCCATCCCTCTCCATCTCATGGCTCTCTCCCTGCCCTCATGTCCCCCTACCCCTTCCATTCATGTGTCTCTCCCCTACATGTTTTCTACCCCTGCCATCCATGTGTCTCCCCTTCCATCCATGTGTCTCCTCCCTCCTTGTCCCTGCCATCAATGTGTCTCCCCCTTCCATGTCCCCTTTCATTTGTGTTCCCCCTTCATGTCCCATGTCATCCATGTGTCTCCCCCTCCATGTCTACTGCCATCCATGTGTCTCCCCCCTCCATGTCTACTTCCATCCATGTGTCTCCCCCTTCCATCCACATGTCTCCCCCTCCATGTCCCCTTCCATCCATGTGTCTCCCCCCTCCATGTCCCCTGCCATCATGTGTCTCCCCCTTCCATGTCCCCTTTCATTTGTGTCCCCCCTTCATGTCCCATGTCATCCATGTGTCTCCCGTCTCCATGTCTACTGCCATCCATGTGTCTCCCCCCTTCATGTCTACTGCCATCCATGTGTCTCCATGTCTACTGCCATCCATGTGTCTCCCCTTCCACTACTACAGCCTCTCCATGTCCCCTCCATCCATGTGTCTCCCTCCATGTCCCCTGCCATCCATGTGTTCCCTCCATGTCCCCTGCCATCCATATGTGGTGCCCTCCTCCATGTCCCTGCCATCCATGTGTTCTCTCTCCATGTTCCCTGCCATCTATGTGTTCTCCTCCATGTCTCCTGCCATCTATGTGTTCTCTCTCCATAACCCTCAAGCATCTATGTGTTCTCCTCTATGTCCTTGCTATCTATGTGTTCTCTATGTCCTCTTGCTATCTATGTGTCTCTATATGTCCTCAAGTATCTATGTGTTGCCTCTCTACCTCCATGCACTGTGTATCATGCTCCGCCTCCCTCCATGTCCCCTGCCATCCATGTGTCTCCCTCCATGTCCCCTGCCATCCATGTGTCTCCCCTCTCCATGTCCCCTGCCATCCATGTGTCTCCCCCTCCATGTCCCCTGCCATCCATGTGTCTCCCACCTCCATGTGACCATGTGCATCATGTGTCTACCCCCTCCATGTTCCCTACCATCCATGTGCCTTCCCCCTCCATGTCCCCTGCCATCCATGTGTCTCCCACCTCCATGTGACCATGTGCATCATGTGTCTCCCTCCATGTCCCCTGCCATCCATGTGTCTCCCCCCTCCATGTCCCCTGCCATCCATGTGTCTCCCCCCTCTATGTGACCATGTGCATCATGTGTCTAACCCCTCCATGTACCCTGCCAACCCAAGTGTCTCCCTCATCCATGTCCCCTTCCATCCTAAGTGTCTCCCTCATTCATGTCTCCTACTAACCACTTGTCTCGCCCCTCCACTTAATCATTCCATGTGTCACTCCTTCCTGACAGCTGCTTTGCTTTCAACGCTGGCTCAGGCACCTAATGATATGGCCCTCCTTCCTGCTCACAGCTGGCTTAGTGTGCCACCTTGCCTGCAGGCTGAGGGGAATGCAAAAATTATTTGTCAGACTGGTAACTGATTTTTGCATTCCAGGTGGGAGCCGGTTTTGCCGCCAGTTCAGCAAACTTGTTAAATGTTAGTAACAGGTTGCACCAACTGGTGCGAACCGGTTGAATCCCACCATTGATTTTAGGCCATTGTTTCCCTTGAACAACTGAATTCATCATTATAATTGTCAGTTTTCATTACTGCAAAACAATGTGTCTAGAATGATCACATGTTATCGTTCTCAGTTTCTGCAATAAAATAAGCCACAAAACAGCATTATTCTTTGAAGTTTGAATGCCTCCAGTCCAGATTGGAACACAAATATGGAACCATGTAAGTGCATTTGGATGCCAAAATCCATATGTAGATCATACATAGTATTTATCAATGCCCAGATTTTGGAATACTGCATCTAAATGGACATCCACCAGATCTCAGCCTGTCTGCATACTAATGGACTGTTGAAATTGAGATGCCAAAAATCTGGGTGTACATGCCAGAGAGTGTCCAATTTCCTGGAATGTAATAATTAAATAAACAATTAGATATATCAACTGCCCCAGGCTGGGAGGGACAGTTTTGATTCTCAGATATGTCAGACCATTCCACATTTTTAACTAATAAGTGCAAAGTAAGCGCATCATGAACAAGCTCTCATGATGCAATCAATCTCAGTCATTTTCTGCATTTATGACATTTCTGTATTTCCCCTCAAAACTGTTACATCCAGAGGTGACCTTCATGCTGACTACAGAATGCCAGGATGGCACCCTTTAAATGACAGATTCTCCAATCATGATAGAACTACAACTTGCATCATTCTCAGCCAACCTTAAGCTTTGTCTACCCCTGCTATTAAACAAAATGGTAATTTTTTTTATTATTATTGTGACGAGACCAATCTCGCCACGTTGCATTGGAGAAGCCGGGTTGCTCGCCTGTTGCCTTGGGATTATGGCCCCATGTTAAAAGGCTTGATTTTCCCCTGCAAAGACAAGAAAGCCGGGTCATTTGGTGCTTGCCCTGTTTGAGCAGTGATACCCCAGATAGCTATGCCATGGAGCCCATTCGTATAATGAAAGACTATGGGAAAGACTTTGACATGGCAATTGAACTGTATGTGTGTGCTCTGAGCGCCATTCAGTAATAATGTGCGCTTAGACCTAAGCTATCTGGGCATATGTTGCATGTCTGTATTTTATGTCATAAATGTAACCTTATGTATTTTATTGTATTTTACTGTCTTTTTGCTGCCATGTGTTCAATGGAGTTTTGCCTCTGTCTTTGGAGATAATTGGATTACTTCTAATTATCTCCAGGATAGAAGACTCTATGGAACTGGTTCATCTATCTTTTGAACCACTGGACCAATTTGTATGATTTTGACGTATGTTTGTATTTGGAGTATGCTGATTCTGAAAATGTAATGCATTATGTGAATGTGATGCATACTTTTCAAGTTAAGAATAATGTGGAAAATTTGTATTTCTCTGCTTGTTCTAAATTACATTACCCATTGTGTAAGGTAATTGAATCACATGCAGAGGGGAGGAATTTGTGTGGGAGTGTCTGAGTGTATTGTATGTGTTTATTGGTTGTGTTCCAAAACCCTGTGGGTGGTACTAATGTGTAAGAATGTGTACATAAGCACAATAAACCCACAGCTCTGTCTGTTCAATGCTTGACCCTCAACACGGAGCTTTGTCTCATCTTTGGGGGGATTTACTGAATGCTGATAGAGACTGATTGCTAGGAGTGTAAGCCGCTTGGATGCTTTTCCTATTCTTCTGCTCGCAGCGATTCGTATGGTTCCTGTTCGTGTGTTTGGAGTGCTATATTGGATGCCGTTCGGGAGTTTGGAGCATTCACTTATTGGCGGTTCGTGTGTTTGGTGTTCTACAATAGCTGTGCCTGCATCTATGAAAAGGGGGACGATCGCCTAAACGGTTTTTACCCCTTGTGTGCAAAACGGTCCGTTACAATTATTTAATATGAAAGATTTACATATACATTATAGACGATGTATGCATTCTGTAATGCATGCCTATAAGTAAATGGATGTTTTCAGTGTATCTCCAGGCTTACCATTGCTCTGTGAGATCAGTAATCCTTGATTGACAGAGGCACTTTTTATCAGACCAAAACCCATGCTGGTAATAAAGAGCTAGGGTACACAAATATTGCAGTCCTGCACAAGCAAAGGTCATCTAAAAAATGCACTCTCTGGAGCAGGGAGCATTGGTGTAGGAAGTAAGAGGAAAGGGATGACGAATCCCTCCAGGTATATGCAATGGGGAGGATCAGAGAAGGAAGATTGCTCCCTGCCCAGTCATGATGATGTAGATGTTGAGGTCAGGTAGGTTAAATAGGTTTATATGCCATTATATTAAATTCTAGTACCAGTCGTCCCACTGATGTGTATCATGTTCCTAAAGAAAACAGTATGGCTTAGCATAATGAGAGAGATCTCTCATCTTTCCCCCACAACCACACTCCCTCAGCTGTCCTATGCTCATTTGCACCTGCTACAGCAGAAGAGGTTTCTTCTCGGCTCCAGTCCTCCAGCCCCACCACCCGTTCCCTCCAACCTCATCCACTCTCCGTCTCCTTCTCTTGCTCTGCCTCTCACTAAAATTTTTAATCTCTATCTCTCCACTGGCATATTTCCTCTACCTTTCAAACATGCAACCATAACCCTGATTCTGAAAAAGCCCAACCTTGAGCCTCATTTTCTGTCCAACTACCACCCTATCTCACTACTGCCATTTTCCTCCAAGATCTTTGAGAGAGTTGTGTATGCGAGATTGACAGACTTCCTCGAATCCAACTTTTTGCTTGAACTGCTTCAATCTGGATTCCGCACTCGTCACTCTGTTGAAACAGCTGTGAGCAAAGTATCTAATGAACTTATCACTGCAAAATCCCGTGGTCACTATTCTATCCTAATTCTCCTTGACCTTTCTACTGCTTTTGACACTATTAATAATCAACAGCGTCTTCTCATCCTATGTAATCTCAGTCAACGAGATACTGCTCTTTCCTAGTACTCTCCCTAACTCTCCCAGCACTCTTTCAGTGTTTCTTTCTCTGGCTCTGCCTCTTCTCCCTAATCCCTCTATGTTGATCTTCCTCAAGGGTCTGTCTATACTGCCTTCCTTGATAAAACTCCGCTCCTTCGGCTTCCAGTATTATTTCTATGCGGATGACACGCAAATGTAGCTGTTCTCTCCTGATTTCTAACCACCCCCCTTGACTCATGTCTTTGACTGCCTCTTTGCTATTTCCAACTGTATTGCTTCTCATTTCCTTAAACCTAACCTGTGCAAAACAGAACTTCTGGTCTTCACTCCTTCAAGTGTTGCTACTCCTTTGTCTGTTTCCCACCAAGTCAATGGTGCTACCATAAGCTCTACCTCACAAGGTTAGATTGTCCAGTTAAACGCCAAATCCTGCTGCTTCCATCTCAAAAACATAGAGCGCCTCCGCCCCTATTTAACGCCTGATACGGCTAAGGTGCTTGCCCATGCCACTATCCTCTCTCACTTTGACTACTGTAATCCGCTTCTCAGTGGTATTACATGTTCCCAACTTGCCCTGTTACAGTCTATAATGAATGCGGAAGGTTCATCTTCCTAGCTAATCCTCCCTCTGTCAGTCCCTCTATTGGCTTTAATTTAAGATCCTGATACTTGCTTTCAATTCTCTACACAATGCTGCTCTGACCTACTAATCCTCACTAATACACAAATATGTCCCGTCTAGGCCCCTACGCTCTGCCAAGGGACCTAAGCCTAACTCTTTTTTGTACTCCTACCTCTGATGCTCGCTTTAAAGACTTCTCTAGGGCTGCATCATTCCCATGGAATGCCCTTCCCCTCTCTGTTAGACTTTCACACAGTCTCCACTCCTTCAAAAAATCTTTGAAAACTTCAGGAAAGCATATCAATTAAACTGTAAACCACTTTCTCTCCACGCACCCTGATTCCTATCCTTGAACTGTTATCAAAACAAAACACTAAGCCCTCAGTGAATACTATCATAGCATCCTACTGTTCTACCCTACCCTTACCTTTTGTGTCACTATACCCCACTCCCTCTAGCATGTAAGCTTATTGAGCAGGGCCCTCAACCCCTCTGTTCCTGTGTGTCCAACTTGTCTGGTTACAATCAGTCAGGTCCATAAATATTGGGACATCGATACAATTCTAATCTTTTTGGCTCTTTACACCAACACAATGGGTTTGAAATGAAATGAACAAGATGTGCTTTAACTGCAGACTTTCAGCTTTAATTTGAGGGTATTTACATCCAAATCAGGTGAACGGTGTAGGAATTACAACAATTTGTATATGTGCCTCCCACTTTTTAAGGGACCAAAAGTAATGGGACAGATTAACAGTCATAAATCAAACTTTCACTTTTTAATACATGGTTGCAAATCCTTTGCAGTCAATTACAGCCTGAAGTCTGGAATGCATAGACCTCACCAGACACTGTGTTTCATCCCTGGTGATGCTCTGCCATGCCTCTACTGCAACTGTCTTCAGTTCCTGCTTGTTCTTGGGGCATTTTCCCTTCAGTTTTGTCTTCAGCAAGTGAAATGCATGCTCAATCAGATTCAGGTCAGGTGATTGACTTGGCCATTGCATAACATTCCACTTCTTTTCCTTAAAAAACTCTTTGGTTGCTTTTGCAGTATGCTTCGGGTCATTGTCCATCTGCACTGTGAAGCGCCGTCCAATGAGTTCTGAAGCATTTGGCTGAATATGGTCAGATAATATTGCCCGAAACACTTCAGAATTCATCCTGCTGCTTTTGTCAGCAGTCACATCATCAATAAATACAAGAGAACCAGTTCCATTTGCAGCCATACATGCCCACGCCATGACACTACCACCACCATGCTTCACTGATGAGGTGGTATGCTTTGGATCATGAGCAGTTCCTTTCCTTCTCCATACTCTTTGTGGCGGAACCAACCTCGCCACTGGCCTCTGGAGGAGCCTGGTTGCTCGCCTGCTCCCTTTAGACTATGGCCCCATGTTTAACACTGTTCTTTTTCCCTGCAGAAAGGCTGGTTCGTGCCTTTCTGCGGACTGTTAAAGTCACGAACACCGCTAAGCCGCCGACCTCCCTTCTGCTACCTGCAGTCAATTATCCGAACACCGGTCCATTCGGTACTTTACTGTTTAAACCATGCTACCCCAGATAGCTATGCCATGGAGCCCAGCCATATACTGAAAGACTGTATGAAAGACTTTGGCTCCATGGCCATTGAACTGTATGTATGTGATCTGAACGCCATCCGGTAATAATGTGCGCTCAGATCTAAGCTATCTGGGGATAGGTAAAATGTGTATGTTCTGTGTGATGAATGTAACAGTATGTAATTTTATGTCTTTTATTGTCCTTTGTCTGCCATGTGGTTAATGGAGTTTTGCCTCTGTCCTTGGAGATAATTGGATTACTTCCCAATTATCTCCAGGACAGAGAGGAGGGATTGTAATGCATTATGGGATTGTAAGCTTGTGACTGGTCAATGTCCAATTTGTTTCCCAGTCTTCCATCTGGTCCCCTAGGGGAGTGTTCACCAGATGGGAGACCTGCATAAAAGCCAGGCAGGTAGCCCCAGTAAATCAGTTCTGCTTGACCCTCAAATGAAGTGTCGTCTAGTTCTTGGGGGGAATTTTATTGTATGCTGTTACAGTGCGACTGCCAGGAGTGTTTAATTGTTCGCATGGTTTTTCCTGTTCAGCTGTTTACAGCATTCGCGTGTTTCCTGTTCGGGAGTTTGGAGCATTCTCCTGGTTCCAGTTCGGGAGATTGGTGAATTCATGTGTTTGCAGTTCGGGAGGTTGGTGATTGCAGTAGCTGTCTGTGCATCTGAAAAGGGGAATATCGCCTAAATGGTTTTTAACCTCTTGTGTGCAAAACGGTCTGTTACACTCTTCTCTTCCCATCACTCTGGTACAAGTTGATCTTGGTCTCATCTGTCCATAGGATGTTGTTCCAGAACTGTGAAGGCTTTTTTAGATGTTGTTTGGCAACTCTAATCTGGCCTACCTCTTTTTGAGGCTCCCCAATGGTTTACATCTTGTGGTGAACCCTCTATATTCACTCTGGTGAAGTCTTCTCTTGATTGTTGACTTTGACACACATACACCTACCTCCTGGAGAGTGTTCTTGAGCTGGCCATCTGTTGTGATGGTGTTTTCTCCACCAGGGAAAAAATTCTTCGGTCATCCACCACAGTTGTTTTCCGTGGTCTTCCGCGTCTTTTGGTGTTGCTGAGCTCACCGGTGCGTTCTTTCTTTTTAAGGATGTTCCAATCAGTTGATTTGGCCACACCTAATGTTTTTGCTATCTCTCTGATGGGTTTGTTTTGTTTTTTCAGCCTAATGATGGCTTGCTTCACTGATAGGGACAGCTCTTTGGATCTCATATTGAGAGTTGACAGCAACAGATTCCAAATGCAAATAACACACTTGAAATTAACTCTGGACCTTTTATCTGTTCCTTGTAAATAGGATAATGAGGGAATAACACACACCTGGCCATGGAACAGCTGAGTAGCCAATTGTCCCATTACTTTTGGTCCCTTGAAAAGTTGGAGGCACATATACAAACTGTTGTAATTCCTACACCGTTCACCTGATTTGGATGTAAAAACCCTCAAATTAAAGCTGAAAGTCTGCTGTTAAAGCACATCTTGTTCATTTATTTCAAACCCATTGTGTTGGTGTAAAGAGCCAAAAAGATTAGAATTGTGTCGCTGTCCCAATATTTATGGGCCTGACTGTATGTGTCTGTTAGTCCACCCATTGTACAGCACTGCGAAATTTGTTGGCACTTTATAAATACTAATAATAAATAATAACATGCGCCCTAAGGATTACATATTTGTTTTCACAGGATATCCCCTCAGATTTTCTTTGATTCCTGTTCCAGTGTCAAACCTTCATATTGTGCATGGCCATATCTGGCCAAAGAGGACTAAAGATGGTTGACACAAAAATGCACAAAAAGAGGTATTTATATCATAAACAAAGTAAAGATAAAGTCTAGTTTAAGAAATGCACATTTGTAATGTACTTGAATAAAACAGGCAAAACAAGAGATTTATTTATTTTGCAAAATTATTTTATTAAATTCCTAAAATTCTACCTGTTCTGCAAATTCTGCTGCTAGTCTGAGCCACTAATTAATTTCTCCTTTACTGACTTCCTTGTACGTGCTGGGCAGTGTCCAATCAAATAACATTTCATAAAGACCTATTGGACACAGTGAGTACATTTGTAAACTATTAAAACACAATAGATATTGGTAAGTTCTATTTATGACATGTTATGTTTTGCATAGATTATTTATTACTTTTATTTTCCATCATTGTTAACAAGTTATATCTCTATCACTAATTTCTCATGTCATTTAGACTTATTTTTACATTATATTCATATATATTTATACTAATACACAAGATCCAGCACACTCACTATGCACTAAACAGCAATTTTTTCAGTTTTCATATGTTTTAAGGCCATAGGCCTGTATTTGTGGGAGGAGTTTGAATCTATCTTTATCCTATAAAACCCCTAATAACCCACTTACATGGGCCGTTCTCATTCAGGTCATACGTTACCTTGATCACCACTTGGACTTCCAGTTCGGCTCTTCAAGTCAATTTTTTTTCCTGTACTTACCTTCCTCCACGAGATCAGACCACTCTCCATACCGACAGCTGCCTCCATCTGCTTTGGAGCCTCGCTGCCAGTCACTTCCTGGATTCTGTCTCAAGGTTCTCTCGGGCGCCCACTTCTGGGAATTTCCCCATTTCCTATTCTTACGTACGGTGTTCAGCTCATATAGGACCACTCGTGCCTTACGGGCATTTCGCTGGTCTCAGGTTTTCGTATAATTTTTTTAGTTTTCCCATACTTTCTTATGGTTCTAATTGTTCAGCACTTTGCATTCGTATACTTAAGCCCTCACATCTGCATTTGCATGAATTATGCTTAGTTATGTTTCGTGCTTGGTTATTTGCCTTTCATTATTTCTCCTTGGCATTTGAGTTTTGAGGAGCGCTTAAGTTATCCAGTTATTTAGGCTACTATGCAGTATACTAAAATGTGTTTTCTGGCTGGTTTAAAATTGTACTTCAATCAGCTTGTTACGCTCATTATTATTAATATTATTATTATTATTAATCCCTGTATGTTAATCACTTGTTGGTAAACTCTAGCTGGTCATTTAAATGCCTTTCCTTTATTCCTTTCTTACAAACTATTCGCTGTGTTATATTATTGTCCACTTGTTAATCATGATGGGCATAAGTTTTTTTTATTTTTGTTTTATCCACTTATACGTGTATGTCTGGCATGGTAGTTGGAAATTGTAAAGTATACGTATAGTTGTATTTATCTGCAATACTCTCTTATAGGCTTCATAGGCAAGGCTCTCGGTGGCCTTCCCGACATTGTCTCAAGCTATTCACTATTTCCATACTGTTTGTGTTAAGGTATTTATTATTACGTTTAATTCAATGTACACCTTTTTCCATACTGGAAACATCACTCTGCCTTATTTCAAATTTCAGGTTACAAATTTATCCTAGCATTTTAGCGACTTTTAAGCCCATCATTCCTTGGGGTTTGGCGTGGGGCTTCCCTTTTTAAGCTTCACCCACGATACGCATATGTTAACAGTCAGACATTTATAATTTACGGCTTCAATTCTATACATTTCTTTTTATGGCATTTCAATGTAGGGTTAAAATGTCTCTTTCCTGGCTGAAAGAAAACGGTAGGAGTGGATTTGTGTGTTGGTTGCTATGTGAGAGGTGGTCAAAGGGGACAAAGGGGTGGGGAGGGTTGTGGCAAGATGTCACTTAATATATTATCTATTAACGCAAGGGGTTTAAACTCAGGACAGAAAAGAGGTTATTTATACAAACTATTAATTGATAGTAAAACTGATATTGGCTTCGTTCAGGAAACACACTGGATAAACTCTATATCTAAGCTATGGAAATATAAAAAATTTCCAGCTCTAATTTAATTGGAAAAAACAAGAAAAGAGGGGTAGCAATTATTTTTTCAAGTAGATTGAGGAGATGGATTCTGGGGGCAGGTTTTTAATAGTCATAGCTTGAATTAACGACATATTGTAGAAACATAGAAACATAGAATGTGACGGCAGATAAGAACCATTAGGCCCATCTAGTCTGCCTAATTTTCTAAATACCTTATCTTATAGTTAGGATAGCCTTATGCCTATCCCACGCATGCTTAAACTCCTTTACTGTGTTAACCTCTACCACTTCAGCTGGAAGGCTATTCCATGCATCCACTACCCTCTCAGTAAAGTAATACTTCCGGATATTATTTTTAAACCTTTGTCCCTCTAATTTAAGACTATGTCCACTTGTTGTGGTAGTTTTTCTTCTTTTAAATATAGTCCCCTCCTTTACTGTGTTGATTCCCTTTATATATTTAAATGTTTCTATAATATCCCCCCTGTCTCGTCTTTCCTCCAAGCTATACATGTTAAGATCCTTTAACCTTTCCTGGTAAGTTTTATCCCGCAACATAAAAAAACAGAAAGCAAGAGAGCTGAATGAGCTTAATATAGATTTGGCAAAATTGGAGCGACTCCATAAGATCACTTTAGACTATATGGTTTTGGAGGATATTGAGGAGATTAGAAAAAAAATCTTGGTAAGAACTCAAGAGAAAATAAACAAAGCAATGTTAATATTAAAGCAGGGATGGTATTATGGAAACAATAAAACAGGGAAAAATCTTTCAAATAAATTTAAAAACCAAGAATAAATTTCAATCTGTAAAAAATATCATCAAAAAACTTTTTTCACTAACTCAAATAGCCACAGCATTCAAAGAATATTATAAATGTTTGTACAATCTAACAGTTAAGGAGCCTTCTAACTGGGAAATACAGTAGTTTTTGGATAAACTAAAATTGCCAAAAATACCCATTGAAAAATTAATTCAGCTAAGTAGTCTTTTCTCTATACAGGAGATAAGTAATAACATTACAGGGAGTGCAGAATTATTAGGCAAGTTGTATTTTTGAGGATTAATTTTATTATTGAACAACAACCATGTTCTCAATGAACCCAAAAAACTCATTAATATCAAAGCTGAATATTTTTGGAAGTAGTTTTTAGTTTGTTTTTAGTTATAGCTATGTTAGGGGGATATCTGTGTGTGCAGGTGACTATTACTGTGCATAATTATTAGGCAACTTAACAAAAACAAATATATACCCATTTCAATTATTTATTATTACCAGTGAAACCAATATAACATCTCAACATTCACAAATATACATTTCTGACATTCAAAAACAAAACAAAAACAAATCAGTGACCAATATAGCCACCTTTCTTTGCAAGGACACTCAAAAGCCTGCCATCCATGGATTCTGTCAGTGTTTTGATCTGTTCACCATCAACATTGCGTGCAGCAGCAACCACAGCCTCCCAGACACTGTTCAGAGAGGTGTACTGTTTTCCCTCCTTGTAAATCTCACATTTGATGATGGACCACAGGTTCTCAATGGGGTTCAGATCAGGTGAACAAGGAGGCCATGTCATTAGATTTTCTTCTTTTATACCCTTTCTTGCCAGCCACGCTGTGGAGTACTTGGACGCGTGTGATGGAGCATTGTCCTGCATGAAAATCATGTTTTTCTTGAAGGATGCAGACTTCTTCCTGTACCACTGCTTGAAGAAGGTGTCTTCCAGGAACTGGCAGTAGGACTGGGAGTTGAGCTTGACTCCATCCTCAACCCAAAAAGGCCCCACAAGCTCATCTTTGATGATACCAGCCCAAACCAGTACTCCACCTCCACCTTGCTGGCGTCTGAGTCGGACTGGAGCTCTCTGCCCTTTACCAATCCAGCCACGGGCCCATCAAGACTCACTCTCATTTCATCAGTCCATAAAACCTTAGAAAAATCAGTCTTGAGATATTTCTTGGCCCAGTCTTGACGTTTCAGCTTGTGTGTCTTGTTCAGTGGTGGTCGTCTTTCAGCCTTTCTTACCTTGGCCATGTCTCTGAGTATTGCACACCTTGTGCTTTTGGGCACTCCAGTGATGTTGCAGCTCAGAAATATGGCCAAACTGGTGGCAAGTGGCATCGTGGCAGCTGCACGCTTGACTTTTCTCAGTTCATGGGCAGTTATTTTGCACCTTGGTTTTTCCACACGCTTCTTGCGACCCTGTTGACTATTTTGAATGAAACGCTTGATTGTTCGATGATCACGCTTCAGAAGCTTTGCAATTTTAAGAGTGCTGCATCCCTCTGCAAGATATTTCACTATTTTTGACTTTTCTGAGCCTGTCAAGTCCTTCTTTTGACCCATTTTGCCAAAGGAAAGGAAGTTGCCTAATAATTATGCACACCTGATATAGGGTGTTGATGTCATTAGACCACACCCCTTCTCATTACAGAGATGCACATCACCTAATATGCTCAATTGGTAGTAGGCTTTCGAGCCTATACAGCTTGGAGTAAGACAACATGCATAAAGAGGATGATGTGGTCAAAATACTCATTTGCCTAATAATTCTGCACTCCCTGTAAAGCACTAAAAGTGGGCAAAGCCCCAGGTCCAGATGGTTTTTCATCGATTATTTTTTTTCTTTTCTTTTTCTTTTTTTTTTTATAAGAAATTAAATGGTATAATTTCTCCATATATGTTGAGGACATTTAATTAATTTGCCACTCATAAAGGAATTCCATCAGAAATACTTCAGGCCTCCATAATGCCAATCCCAAAACCAGATAAGGATCTGGCATATACTTTAAATTATAGGCCAATTTCTCTGATTAACTTAGACATTAAATTGTATTCTAGAATTTTGGCCGATAGACTTAAAGGAATCATACCAGATATCGTGCATTTAGATCAGAGCGGGTTTGTGGAGGGTAGGGGCACACCCGACAATATTAGGAAATTAATGTTTTATATCACGCGGGTCAAAGCCCGTCCCCTTTTGCCTTGGTCACCCTCGATGCCGAGAAGGCTTTTGACCGTGTTAGCTGGAAATATCTGGAAGAGGTTCTGAGTGCCTTTGGCATAGGGGGTGTTTTTTTTTTTTTTTATTCTTTATTTTTGGTCTGACGAAGAGGTCGATGTAGAGATATGCAGGCATATGTATGCAAGTGACAGCGCAGTGTCATACAGTTTTTTACAGAATGAAAGTTGCAGTGGTTAGGTTAAACATGTTACAGGCATTGTACTCTCTGTAGGTGTCTTCGTCCGATATTTTCTGTTATGTTGGCAAGCACAGGTAACTATATACAATGGTAGTAGTGTTGAGGAGTAGGCTTAGGGAGTAGAGTCGCAGTCCCTAACCCCTTGGGGCATATGACTGTTCCCCCGCCTTCCCTGTTGTCTGCGGATCAGAGACGTATTTTAGCCTGACTCCCCTTTCGCCGGCTTGTGAGTCTAGAGTGCTTGCATTCAATAGATAGGTAGAAGAGAGAGATAGGAAAGTAGAGACAAGTAGATGCATAGAGGTGTCGTCTTGAGATGGTTTCCCGAGGGACCAGCGACAGAGGTCATCAGGTTCCCCGGGCAGCGCTCCGTGTGTTAGTTTTGACCGTGCCCCTGTCCTGTAGTGGCGCCGCTACCACTAGTCCAGGTGCTGGTGTGATATTTAGCGTTGGGTTTATCCCAGTTATTACCACTTTTGCGGAACGCGTGGATGCCGCCCCACGCCCCGAGTCATGATTCTAAGTGTCGTATTGCTCCCACAGATCCCAGACCCTCTGGAACTTAGTCATAGTGTTTTGCACCTGTGCGGTTAATTTATCCATTATGTAGTTGTCTCGCATTTTTGTCTTGACCAGGGCTATCTGTGGGAGGTCTGGGCACGACCACTGTTGCGCTAGGGCCCTTCGGGCCCCTAGATAGAGCATGTTGAGAAGCCTTTGTTCGTGTCTGGGGAGGCCCTCTGTGGGTCTTGATAGTAGGCACGCCCATGGGTCTAGCGTCAGTCGTTTTTGTATAATTTGTGAGCTGAGCTCTACTATGTTGCGCCAGTATGCCGTGACCCCAGGGCACTCCCACCACATGTGGATATATGTGCCCCGTCCCCCACACCCATGCCAACAGTCGTCTGTGGGGCTCAGTCCCATGTGTTTCTGTTTTACTGGGGTCATATACCATCGGAATAGCGTTTTATAGGATTGTTCTTGGGGAATTACACACATTGTGGTTTTGGTTCATGCCTCCCAAATGTCTTGCCACTCCGTTCCCTCAAGTACCTCCCCCAGGTCGGCTTCCCATTGGTCAGTGTAGCGTAGTGTGCCCTCCCCACCCGGAGCCCCATTAAGGTGGTTGTATATTAGTGTGATAAGTTTAGTTTGTGTAGTTTCATTGTAACAAAGTTTTTCGAAAAAGGTTAGTGGCGTCAGGGCCGCCTTCTGCACTTCGGGCTTTTGCGCGAAGTCTCGAATTTGTAAGTACCTGAAATAGTCTCTTGTTTGTAAGGTGGCTTTGGTGCATAGGTGTTCGTACGTGACTACATTTTGGTTCACAAAAAGATGGACATATCGTTGGAGCCCTGTGGCCTCCATTCCCTTGTAGTTTCTCGCCCTCATTCCCAGGGGAAAAGCTCTGTTTCTGAGGACCGGCACCATGGGGGACAAGTAGGGGCTGAAGGCGTATTTTGTTTTGGTTTGGTCCCATATCTGTATGGAATTGAGTATGGCCGGGTTTGCGGTTCGTAGTATGGCTCTTTGAGTTCTAGGTGCCCATATGAAAAACTGTGGAAGGTCCTGCCCTGTCATCAGCGACTCCAGATCTACCCATCGTCTCCTGTCTGGGGGTGCATGCCATTGTATGACCTGAGTCAGCTGCGCTGCTAGGTAGTAAGCGTATATATTAGGCAGTCCCAGTCCCCCTCTGGGTTTCGGTCTGTACATGAGGGCGCGAGCTATTCTTGGGTGTTTGTTGTGCCAGATGAAGGAATCTATCGCCTTTTGTATGCCTGTCAGGTCCCCCCGGGTAACTCGTACCGGGAGTGCCTGGAAGAGGAACAGGAGCCTCGGTAGCACATTCATTTTTATTGAGTTTACTCGCCCCAGCCAGGAAATGGGCCTGTCTGTCCACTGCTCTAGTTCTGTGTGGAGGGTCCGGAGCAGCGGCGTGTAGTTCTGTGCGAAGAGGGAGGATATATTGGCTGTTAGGCGGACCCCCAAGTACATGACTTCGTCTGTGGCAATCTTTAGGTGATATTTGCTGTGTATGTGGGCTCCAGGTGGAAGGGCATTGCCACTGATTTAGAGTAGTTGATTTTGTACCCTGCTATATTCCCGAATCGCTCTAGGACATGTGTTAAGTGGTGGAGTGAGGATATAGGTTCCCTTAGTGTTAGCAGGATATCGTCGGCATACACCGAGACCGTGAATGGTGTGCCCCCAATTTCAATGCCTTTAATGTGTGGGTGTTGTCGAATAGCTTGTAGCAGGGGCTCTAAAGTTAGGGCGAATAGTAAGGGGGACAGGGGGCAGCCCTGTCTGGTGCCGTTTCTCAGGGTAAAGGGTGTCTTGTGTGCCCCCGTGATGAGTATTTGTGCTCTCAGGTCAGTGTATAATGCTTGTATTGCTGCTACAAAAGTCGTTGGGAACCCCTGGAGATGGAGTAGTTCGAACAGGTAAGGCCACAGCACCCTGTAAAATGCCTTCTCCGCGTCCAGTGAGAACGCCAGAGAGGGCACCCTGGATTCCCCCATGTGCCATATTGTGCTAACCCCTCGTCGCGTGTTTTCATATAGTTGGCGTCCGGGCATAAAGCCCACCTGGTCCAGGTGGATCAGGCGCGGGAGAAGGGGATTGAGTCTGGATGCTAATATTTTAGCAAATATCTTGAGGTCGGTGTTGATGAGTGATATTGGCCTGTAACTGGGGGCTAATGTGTCATCTTTCCCGGGTTTTGGCAATAGTACTACATTTGCCGTTGCCATATCTCTGTCGGGCTTCCCACCCTGCATAAAGTGGTTACTGAGAACTGTGAGTGGGGGGGCTAACACTTCTTTAAATTGTTTATAATAACTGACGTCATATCAGTCAGGTCCTAGTGCCTTATTGCCTTTCAGGGATGCTATGGCTGCCTCCACCTTAAGTCGGGTCTCAGCCTCTGCGCTGCTCACTTTTTGGATGGCAAGTTCGGTGAGAAATTGGTGAATGCTCGTCATGTAGGTCGCGTTAGTGGCCTGGAGGTGGGGGGAGTGATTGTAGAGGTCCGAGAAATATGATGTAAACACTTCATTAATAGTGTCGGGCGTCTTTGCTAGTGTGTTTGCTGTTGTGCGTATTTTCGTTATGGTTTTGCCTTGCGGCCTCGGGCGTAGTACCCTAGCCATCTGTCTTGTTCGCCTTTTCATAGAATAGGCGTCTCGACCACAGTATGGAACGCGATACCGCCTCCAGCGTGATATCCCTGATAGAGTGTCTGAGTGCGTTTAGTTCCCTAAGGTTCGAGTCAGTCGGATTGGTTTTGTGTTGTTGCTCCTTTTTGCGTAGGGCTGACTGTAGGTCGAGCAGCTGTTTCGTTTTAGCTCGCTTTTTCTGGGTGGCTAGGTTTATAAAGTGGCCGCGTAGGACTGCTTTGTGTGCTGCTCAGACCGCGGTGGGGCTAGCTTCGGGAGTAGCGTTGGTCTCAAAGTATTCTGTGATAGCCTGTTGGGTCTTTGCTTGTGTTTTATCATCCCTCAAGAGGCTAGTGTTGAGCCTCCACGACCAGTTGGATTTATAGCATAAGTTGCCTAGCGTGAGTGTTATGTCCGCGTGATCTGACCATGTGATGCTGTTAATGTCCAAGTGGAGGACTTTGGCCATCCCTGCCCCATTAAGAAACATGTTGTCTATTCTGGAGTAGGTATTGTGTGGCGCGGAGTAGAATGTGTAGTCAGATGTGGTCGGGTGCTGCAGCCGCCAAGCATCTAGTAGGCCTGTGTGTGTCAAGAACGTGTGCAATAGCTTGTCTTGGCTCCCTCTGCTCTGTGATCTCACGGTTTGCTGTTTTGATCTTCTATCCGCTGCCGGACTAGGCACCGCATTGAAGTTGCCTCCAACGAGGAGGACCCCCCCCCAGCCCCCGCCACCAACATCTCCAGGTTTGTCCAGAACAGATGGTCTGGTTCGTTGGGTCATATACGTTAATGATATGCACTTTTGTGGTGTAGAGGGTGCCCCCTATGTACAGGAATCTCCCCTCTGGGTCAGCTTGAATGGTGGTGATGTGTAGTGGGCAGTTTTTATGCAGGAGGATCGCCACTCCTGCTCGCTTACGTTGTGAGCGTGCTTCGTGTACTGTCGTGTAGGTTCTGTCAGTTAGTCTGGTGGGCGCCGACCTGGGGAGGTGCATCTCCTGTATCAGTGCAATGTCTATTTTTTGGTCTTTAGGTCCCTTACCAGGAATCTGCGCTTGTTGGGGGAGTTGAGACCCTTGACATTAAAGGATAGTACCTTAAGTGCCATGAGGAGGCGCGAGCAGTGCCATTACTGTTGCGGGATTCCCGGTCCTCTTGGAACCGCGGAGCGCAGTGTGCGTGTGGTCAATTGTGAGGGCCCCCCTCGGTGGCGCGGGCGGCATCCTGGCAGATAGAGTGGGTTGTAGATCAATACTTGTCTTAAGAGATAGTGTAAGAAGAAGAGAGAGAAGTTGAGTGTCAAGGAACATTTTCAACATACATGCATATGAACAAATAAAATAAACACATGAGAACAATCTGGTCTTAACCTGTGCCAGATTAAGGTGGGGGTGTTCACCCCTTCCAAGTGGCGTGCAGAAAGTCACCTCTCGGAGTTGATGATCCCCCCGCGCCTATCCACTATAGTATGGTGGGCAACCAGCGTTGTGTTACGGCCCGCAGTCTAGGGTATTTCAGTGGGGCGATAAGCATCTTTATTTGCTCCTCCGTGCCCAGGTTTTGCGCCCTTGCCGCTTTACCGCGGCGTCCGCCCCAGGTTCCTGTTATCCTGTGGGTCACTGGGTTTTAATGCTGGGGTGAACCCCGGTCTTATTTGGGTTGAGGGTGCCTCAGGAGGGTTTTTTTTTTTTTTTGGGGGGGGAGTTATGGGTGGTCCCTACTGTGGTGTCAGCGGGTACGTTGGGCCCCGGCTAATGCCCCTCGTCTATGGTGCATAGATGCCTTCGTTGCTTTTACGGCCCAGCCAGGGGCTACCTGTCTTGCAGGTAGTAGGGGTTGGGGTGTGTCCAGGTGGTCCTCGCGGGTTTAGCCCCCCCGGGGCCTAGCGTGCTGCTGTGTTTCTGCTTCAGCAAATTTCTTATGCGTTATGCATTATGCCTATCTGCTCTACCCCCCACCCCCACCCCCCCTGGTGGTACATCCCCAAAGCTAGTGACCAGGCCATTAGAAGTGAGGCTTCTAAAAATAAGATAAAAATAAAATAAGGGCGCAATAGAGTAAAGTAATATAATATAAGGGGCAGTTTTGTTTAGTATAGTGTCCCCTTCTGGAAACTTAGCTGTCCTGTGTGCGGACAATGCCGCTGTGAGTCCTGAGAATGCAGACCTGCTTTAGGCTTCAGTTCTCCCGGTCTGCTTGTGCCGTGACCGTATACCAGTCTCTTGGGAGAGGTGTGAGGGCTTGTCGAGCGGGTCCTGGTAAAGCAAAGTGGTGGTGGTGTGACGTCCAGGTCCCGGAGGAATTTTCGTGGGTCTCCTCCTGGTAAGTAGGTGATTGGTCTCCCAGCTTTAAGGGCCACGATTTTAAATGGGTGACCCCAGGTGAAGCGGATTTCGTGTTGCCGCAAGAGGTCTGTCAACGGCTTCCAATCCCGCCGTCCCTGCAGTGTGCTCGGGGCCATATCTTGGTATAGGGAGATGGATTTGCCCTTGTATGTGAATTCGTGATTTCTATTGTGCCTCAGGAGTGCCTCCTTAGTGGTGTAGTGGTGGAAGCATATTATGATGTCTCTTGGCACATCTGTGTTCGAGCGCCGGGCACGCAGTGCCCTGTGTGCCTGGTCCATCGCCCATTGGACTTTCGGTATGTCTGGTAGTATGCTGCTGAAGTACGCCTCCATAATGGGCGCGAGGGGGCCTTCTTGTGTTGCCTCTGGCCATCCCCTGACGCGGAGATTATTCCGCCTTGTGCGGTTTGAAAGATCCTCCACTTGCATTTCCAGCTCGCTGAGTTGGTGATTCAGGGATGTGGAGTGCTGCACCATCGAGTTATGGCTTTGTACTATAGCTTCCATGCGCTGCTCCAGCTCTGAAGTGCGGGCGCCTAGGGCCTGGATTTCGGCCTTAATATCTAGCGTGCTGCGCGTGATTTCGCCCGCCAGGAACATTTTAACTTCTGCTAGTTGTTGCAGAATTTGTGCGGTGTTGTCGCCGTGTTGTCCAGGCTGTCCCCTGTCTGTTTCTGCGGAAGGGGATTGCGAGCCTCGTGTGCCCGTCCGGCGGCCATCTTGTGCGGCCTGTGTGTTCCTCGAGGCCGTGAACATGTCGGCCACTGTCGGGGCTGAATCGTGTGGTTCCCCTCTTTTTTTCCTGCGTGGGGTGACTCCAGGGCCTGTGTGGGACATGTAGGTAGCTGTTTGTGGTTGCGATGCTTGTTGCCGGTGCTTGATTAGACGTGGATGCGCGGGAGCTCCCTTGCTAAGCTGCCATCTTCGTCGGCTGCCAAGCCACGCCCCCCATAGGGGGTGTTTTTAATGGCATTATATAAGGATCCCCAAGCTAGGGTCTCTGGATTTATGTTTCAATCAGAATGGTTCCCAATTAGAAATGGGACGCGACAAGGTTGCCCCTTGGCTCCTCTGTTATATATCCTTTCTATAGAGCCTTTGGCAGCAGCCATTAGACAGAGTGAGGATATTAGTGGGTTAAAGGTGAATACTTTGGAGAACAAAATTACACTCTATGCAGACGATGTCCTCCTGTCTCTCACGGACCCCATTAGATCTATTCCTGCAGCATTCCGTCTGATTAAGGAATACGGTAAACTTTCTGGTTATAAAGTAAATATTAAAAAAACACAAATTCTGATAAAGGGCCTAACTGGGCCTAGGGAAAAAATGCTTAAGGAGGAATTTAAGTGTGACTGGGAGGCTAGGAGTATAAAATACCTAGGGGTGATCTTATGTTTGGATTATAGTGAAATCGGTAAACTTAATTATCTAGAAATAGCTACTTAATTTAGGAGAATTTTTAAAACATAGAGGGGAGTAGAACTGTCATGGATGGGAAGAATTGAGGCAGTTAATTCCTATTTACTTCCCAAATTTACATTTTTATTTAGGAATCTCCTGCTGATGGTGGATTCTCAGACGATACGCGGTCTTCAAAAACAGATTTCAGATTATACCTGACAGGATAGGCGACCTAGAGTTTCACTGGAAATCCTACAGAGAGATTGGAGTGAGGGGTGGAGTTTCCTTCCCGGATGTCCAAAAATGATATATGATTAACATGACCGTACATCTAGTTATGTGTGATAATTTTACAACCTCAAGACCAACTTGGCTAGATATTGAAAGAGCTGATCTTAGCAATATCACACCCGTATATCTTATTTGGTGTGACAATAAGTTTGTGAAAAGCATAAAATCTAACAATCCGATTAATGAATAATACAATGATTTATGTAGTAAAATATTTAAAGAAAAAATATGGTATCAAATACATTTCAAGAAGTGCCCCACTAGTATGTTTAAAATTTTATATAAAAGACATAAATAATCAAGAATGGTAAAAGTGCGGAATTGTACATTTTGCGGAGTTATTAGAGGGAAATCAAATCTTACCATTTCCAATGTTACAGCTCAAATTTAATCTCCCTTCCAAAGAGCTATTTAACTATTTAAGAATAAAATCTTTTATCTTAAGTAAAGAATTTTTGGAAAATACCCCAATTGATCAATTGATAGCATTGCATTATAGGAAAAAAATTGCTTCCAGATTTAACTGTTTTATAAAAAATCAAAGGCAAATAGATAAAGCGTCTGCATTGATTAAATGGGAGCAAGAATTTCAAACCTCTTTTTCGCTCGAAGAGTGATTATTGGGCCTATACTAAGTGAAAAGACATATACATGGGGTAAATATACAGGAAGTGTACTTTAAACTTGTTTACCGATGGTACGTAGTGCCCACTCGTCTTCATTGGGCTCATTTCCCTACATATGGTGGGACTGTGATGAGCTGAATCCTATGAATTTAATTCCATTCGAGCTAGTAAATTTTATTCTTAAAGCACAAACTGATATAACTGCCCAATTGTTTTTGTTTCATTTAGATATGCCAACGGTTAATACATCGTACAACTTCTGTCCAGGGGGTCTCTGGCAAGGAAACATGGTGACTCACTCAAAATTAGATCTTGGCCCCAAGCAAGTACACAAACACCCTTCAGGATCATTAGATATATACCCTGTGGTTTATCAAGTCTTGCCCAGGGGTGAAATTAAGGAGTACCTACAGAAATAATAACTGACCACCTCCTTTGTTCCAGACCACTGTCAATCCAAATGGAAACATTTGACTCTATCTTCTTTTTTGTACCTGCCACAGAAATAATAATTGCATCTACAAATTTGTTATTATTTTCCCATTCCATAGACATGTTGCACGTCCCACCCACGATCCAATAGGACGGGACACATCACAATTCCTTTCCCTAGGGTCAAGTTAGGCCACTCATGTTTGGACTTGGTTAGAAGATGGCGCTTGTCACATTCCAAATATAACAAAAATGAGGCGTTATTATTATTCTGTGGGGGTAAATATGAATGTTTTTGTCCTTCCTTTGGATATGATACTAGAACAAAGCTAATGGCATTTACATATCAAAGAGATTTACTCATCACTTACAAGGTACATGCCAAATGGATGAAGAGACATTCAGACTTTTTCCAAGTGTAGAACCTCACACCTTGCAGAGCTTTTATTACTTCACATCCATATAGTAAAATCCTTTTCACATTCCTATGCCATTCACACTACCCCTTCTGTCATCTGACCTCTGTGGGGGTCCCAGCTTCAAAAGATGTAACCCCTGTTGACCTCAGCAATAGCATCTCTGTAATTTGTGCCATTTACTACAAGAAATCACATTAAAAGATGATATTCCATAGTGTAATAATAAATTATACACCCTTGCCGTGGCACCGGGTACCTCTACTGTTGTGGACGTCCCTCATCATACCCTATAAGAGGGTATTGTACCACTTATAGGATATGCTAGAGCTGGCTAGAGCTCTTTTACATTTAAGTGTAATATCGCTACTGTGACTATATCTAGTTATTGAGTTTTGACATATTGCACTTTCAGTTCTTCCTGTTTTTATCTCCTTTCACATAAAAGATTGAACTACCACATCCCCCAAGCACAAAGAATTTATGCTTACCTAGCATCTACAGCTGCACTTACCTCTAAATTAGAGGCATCCTTTTTATAAGAGGACTATTATTGTTGGGACTATCCATTTTTTACTAGACATCTGCAATTCGGTTCAGTCCGAATGGAAATTCAGACGAATTTCGGACATGCGGATGCTTCCGAATGGCAGAATTGCCGAATATTGGAAGTGCCGAACCGAAGTGCCAATGTGCCAAATTTTGGAAGTGCCAAAGTGCTTCAGACTTCTGAAAAGTGGCAAAACGGTAGGGGTAGGATTGGGGTTGGGGTAGGTATAGGGGTTGGGGTAGAGTTAGGAGTTTGGTTAGGGGTAGGGTTGGGTGGTAGGGGTAGGGTTAGGAGTAGGGTTGGGGTTAGGCTAGGAGTAGGGTTAGAGTTAGGGTAGGGTTAGGAGTAGGGTTAGGGGTAGGGTTTGGGTTAGGGATGGGTAAGGAGTAGGTTGGGGTAGGGTTTGGATTAGGATTGGCTAAGGAGTGGGTTAGGAGTAGGGTTAGGAGTAGGGTTAGGGTTAGAGTTAGGAGTATGGTTAGGGTACCTCTACCCCTAATCCTAACCTAACCCTACTCCTAAACCTAATCCTACACCTAACCCTACTCCAAACCCTACTCCTAATCCCAACCCAACCCTAACCCTACTCGAAACCTAACCCTAACCCTACTCCTAATCTAACCCTAACCCTACTCCTAATCCAACCCTAACCCTACCCCTAACCTTACACTTACCTGAATTGTCAAAGTCCCGAATTTCAGAAGTACTGAACTGAATTGCCGAAGTTTGAATTGCCGAAGTGCCGAAACGAACTGAATTGCCAAATTGCCAAAGTGTCAAATTTCGGAATTCTGAACCAAACTGAATTTGTTTGCCCATGCATATCCCTATTTTTTACTTTGTTTCATACCTGTTATCCGAATTGCCGTGTGTTATTGTGATGTTATGTGGCGCAGCGCTTTTTCCTTTACTTGATTGTACTTCCAATGTTTGTCTGTCAGCATAATTTTGGCCATATAATATATCACTTGGGACAATATCGGCCAATACCCAAAAGGTCTTTTATAAACCAAGTAATTTGGTATAGCTTTATCTGTAAACAATCTTATTCAATGCACCACACAGAAACCTATTTCATGTAGAAGCATCTTAAAATGTCTTAAATCTGACACAGTAAATAACAATGTTATGCTACAAAGATGCTGATGCAGCAGGATTCAGAGTTACGTATAGACAAGACACCTGTTCCCTTGTTTATCATAACATGAAGAATTTAACATGTTTTTTGCATTGCATTATGTCACTGTGCGTATATCTTCGGTGCTGGAACCCAGCTGACTGTCCTTGGTAAGTGCCTTGGAATAAAACTTTTTGTTCATATATTTTTAAATCTATCTTTCTGTGTCTTTAGGTTCAACCAGGTAAGATACTTTTGTTGTTACACTTGCAAACATGTTTACTTCATGGCAAGCAAATCTGGCTGTGTCTTCTCTTACCTGATGTTAGCATGTTTTCATTTTTTAAATAATTCTAGATTTCGTCTTGCTTTGACAACCTAATATTATATTGTTTAAATAGCTCATCTAAACCATATGTAATTGAATTGAATATGTGTGAATATTAGCAATGTGAAGGCTTCATGAGAAATATAATTCATACAACCATACCTTTTAAAAGTGTGTTAGAAACACAATGAATTATTAAATAATTAATATGACCACATTCTTTTTACATTGCAAGTGCTTTTCTAGACATTTAGCCAAAATGTGTTACATGTAGCATCTGTGTATAACTTCCCCTATTATGATATCCCCTAGAGTGGAACAACGCAGGTATTTTATGTTAGCCGCTTTGTGATATGTTCATATCTCTCCTTATTCTTTGAGATTTGTGTTTCTCATTATCTGTACTGTTAAAGAATGTATATGTGTGTGGAGCTTTGCTCCTAAAACCAGTCATTCTTAGTTAGATTATACTTTCTTTTAAAATAACAGTTATTACTTAAATGCAACATCATTTCAAATAATGATAATGATAAATAATTATACAATGATGAGCATTAGTTTCGTGATACATTTGATAGCAATAACTACATTAATTACATTAATTGGTAACCTGATCCACATCTTATTAGTGTAAATATAAAGGTAAAGGTAACACTGCATAAAATATGAAAACAAACTGTACATTTACTATATATTTAGTATTTTGTAAAATTTTACTGCATAAATAAAATGTATACTTTAGATGTCATTGGGTAATCGAAGTTACCCTATACTACTTTCTATGACCATACTTAATACATGCATGATATAATATATACCTTACAGTAGATCTTGCATATAAATCAATGTTTGTCTGCACAAAAGAGAAAGATAAAACATGCAGAAGACAGTTTTTTTCAAAGAAGGAAAGTTTAAAAAAAAAATGTTGTGGGGTGTTTGCTAAAGTTAAAAAAATATAATTGAATTGATTAGTTTAAAGATTAACAAGGTTTTGTTAAATGACAAAAAAAGGCTAATAGTTAATGTTTCCTCTTAATTGATCTTAATGAAACTTTATTAACTCATTTATGAAAAATACATTACACTGGGTATAAATTGATGAGTTCATGAAATGGAGGAAATTGATGTCCATGCCACATAAAAAGCAATAAGGTACTGGTTTTCATATAGTGTTAATGAGCTAATTATTTGTGTGACAGTTCAGATTGGAGGGAAGTGCTACCTATTAGTAATTTAATAATGAGTTTAACATATGTTATTAAAGTCACGATGACACCTTAAAGTAATGTTGGAAACATGAGATATTTTAGAACAATAGTGTGTGCTCATGGACAAAGTTAATTGGTACCACCAACTGTCAGATCATCTTGGTAGCACTCCTCGATGGTTTTTATACTCAAATAGTCAGATATTTCTTACGAAAACTACTATATTTGATTTACTTTTTCTGAACCATATAGTGTGCACTTTTGATATGACACAGTTAATTGTGTACTTTGTAAATTGCTTTAGTATATGTGTTTAAAAGGTTAAGTCTTCGTATACAATTGTAAAAATATGAAAATGTAAATTTATTTGATTTTCTCCATTTTATATCCTATCAGGAGGTGAGGTGAAAGCACCCATGGTATCAATCTTCCCTCCCTCTGAGGAGGAAATAGCCACCAACAAGGCCACTACTGTCTGCACCATGACTGGTTTCACCCCTAGGACAGTGTCTGTGAAGTGGTTGCTAGATGGCATTGAGAAGGACGGAGACACCTCATTGGTCAGCAAGCAGAATGATAACACGTTTATGGGAAGCAGTTACTTCAGCATGCCGTCTTCAGATTGGGAAAAACTGCAAAATATTGCATGTAAAGTGACACATCAGGGAAAGGACATCATCCAAACTCTGAAGAGATCTGAGTGTATTAATTCCTGAATGTAATATTCCTCTTATTTTTACCCATTGTTACAGGGACGAGAATACATTCACTTCATTAATGTCATATTATGGAGTTAGTGCTTGATCTACATCCAGTTCCTGTATTCATGTTTCAATACTCATCTTTCTTGTCCTTTGTTCATGGCTTCTCTCTTACCTCCTCCATGATGTGTTATTGACACTTCAAAATAATGTTTCCTTCTTTCTATTTTTTTCTCCCCCATTTAACACTTCTCTTCTATAGTTGTCCTTCTTTGAGTTGTGCAGGAGCTGCATAATGATTTTTTCCTGATATTACTTTGTCTGTATAGATCATCCTATTAAATGCAATAAACAAATTTTATCATTATTACATCTCAGCCATTTTTTCCAAAGTCTGTTTGATACTTAAAAAGGTGCCCTTCAAATGAAGGCCAGTTCCTCATGATAAGTCTAAGAGTGAGAGTGTCTTCGTATTAATCAAACAGACTACAGATAAAAATGATAATAGAAAGCAAATCTAGTCAATTAGAAGTGGCAGTGATGTATCAAACCGCTGCAATTTACCATAATACAGATACAGGGGCTTGCTGAGCTTACCTTATAAATTTTCTTCAACAAACCGCAAATAAAATCACCTAATATAAAAAGAAAATCACCATTCTGCAAAAGAAAAGAAATAAAATAATGTATAAAACTGAACATTATTAAACTTATCTTACAAATGATGATGTAGGAATGGATCACAGTATACTTTAAGTCAACCTAAACAGTGATACAGTAAATTAATTGGCAGTGAGTTTTGGGTCATGCACATTACCAACCGGAGAATCAGACAGGTATATATCACTCTGCCATACAACCAGCCTCACAGTCCTTTGCCACATGAGTAATTATTAGCTAGATCCCAATAAATGAAACAAAGTATTGGACAATGTGCAGAAAGACCATGTGGACATGACATATATATGAAATAACGCATCATTTTCAGAGGATGTATTTAAGAACCATAGATGTGTCTTTATGTCTCTTTATAAAAAGTATTTGTGTGAAAATACATTTTTTATGTCATTCCTACACACGCATGCACACACACACACACACAATGTCTGTGATAAGTACAAGTGACATTTAGCTTGTAGCTCAGTGATGTTGAAGAAGTCTAGAGATCAATCCTGGTTGGTTCTAGCATCAGCAATCCCTGAGCTCAGCATTCAACAAAATATGGTACAGGACACAGAAGCAAAGCTGACTGATAACATTAAAGAAAGTTTAGGATTGGGGATCAGAAAAATGAAATAACTTCACACTTCTTCACCTATAATTGATGGAGAGATGAGATGCCACTACGCTTTTAGAAAATATCCCAAAACAACCCATGTTTTCTCACTTACTGGTTTATTTTCACTTCTGGACTTTCAGCTTTATGTAACAATATTGTGTAACTGCAACTTCAAGGAAAGCAATCTCCAAGTATCTAAGCTTCTGGTGCACACAAGCTTCTCCAAGAACAATACATATGATTGACAATTTAGTAAAGTGAAGATTGTTTGAATACCGTCCTATCAAACACATTGATACTCCAATCAAGAAACGGGAAAGCATCACATTAAGCGTGATGGTCGAATAGAATTAATCAATAAGACAATAACAAAAGGCAAATGTTATAAGGATCCTCAGAATATTGTGACTACAACAGAATATGGTAACTACAGCTATGTGTTATGGTTGTTGTTTCCAGGCCAGAAGACCCAGTAGTTTTTGTACAGTTCTGTATCACTGTGGTGGATTTTCGGTGCAGGCACCAATCTCAACGTCCTCTGTAAGTAACCTCTTTTAAGACATATACATTTTTGTTGTAGATAATATATTCTCTCATTTGGAATTATGCTCCTTATCATATGAATTTTAATATTAATTTTTGTTTACCAAATTATTTTTATTACTATAATTTACTACTCTACACTAGACCAGATTTGTATCCCTAATGTATTGTACTGATCTGCCTAATATAATAATTCTAGTATTTTTAATGTTATCACATTATACATCAGTGATTACTTATGCTCTTGTAAGAATTTAGTTTATGATACTTTTTCAATGAACCCTTTGCGCTTAATTATGATTGTGCAAGTCCAGTTTTAAAAAATTATTGTAATCTCACCATTCTATAGTGTTTATATTTATTGGAAGCTATTTCAAATTTACTGTCATCCAAGGTAAAGAAATATAGAACAAAGTTTATTGTCACAGTCACAACTGATAAAGAATTACCTTTTCTACTTTTTATAAATTGCAGAAATATCTTTCACATAAATTTGCAGAATATATACAAAATAAATATGCACACAAAGACATTATCTAAGCATGCAGCTACTTATGTTTTTCCACTTAGACATCCTTCATGTGTCTCTAACTAGGAATCACCTTATCAGGAGCACCCAGTTCTTCATGCAGGGAAAAAAATTATTTTAGTCTCACACTATGTAGATTTTTGCCGAGATCCAAAGGTAAAAAAGTATTCAAGTGTAGGCACTCATTTTATGAATAATAAGTATTTAAGTCATCCTGCAGTCAATAGATTTAGCAGCAAAATATTCAAAGTGCATAAAAGTGTTACTTTGTCTAAACATGTCACTGTAAGTAATTGCCATGCAAAATGATAGTGATACATGTTTATTATGAGGATTATCAATTATTTTAAAAATAGATCCAATCTGACGTATATACTACATAAGGATTGTTTTGGCAGGAAAGCCAGATAATGAAAATACCCAGATTAATTCTTATAAAATAAATGAATAAATAAAAATACAAAAGTCTGAGGTTTCTCGTGCTCTAGTTTAATAAAATATAATTGTATGTCTGCAGTAGTTTGACTACCTGTCTGCAAACCAGCTGTGCATGTCTATATCTGTGTATTTGTGTTAGAAAGAATACATTTAGCCTATCTTTGGTGTTGATGAATATTATTCTTAAATTTCTTCTTTTATATAGTGAAGACTTTTTTATATAATTATATATTTTGTAACTGTTTATTTATATCTTTATATATTTTTACATGCAGTTTAATAAATGTCTCTGGAGAACTCAAGCACCAAATATTTTACATTTGCTATGTGTTAAGATCATTTTATTACATACAATCCTAATTCATAGTATGTGTATGAAACAGAAAGTCATGAAATCAATGTAAAATTAATACTTGTTCTATTTTTCTCCTTTTATATCCTATCAGGAGGTGAGGTGAAAGCACCCGTGGTATCAATCTTCCCTCCCTCTGAGGAGGAAATAGCCACCAACAAGGCCACTACTGTCTGCACCATGACTGGTTTCACCCCTAGGACAGTGTCTGTGAAGTGGTTGCTAGATGGCATTGAGAAGGACGGAGACACCTCATTGGCCAGCAAACAGAATGATAACACGTATATGGGAAGCAGTTACTTCAGCATGCCGTCTTCAGATTGGGAAAAACTGCAAAATATTGCATGTAAAGTGACACATCAAGGAAAGGACATCATCCAAACCCTGAAGAGATCTGAGTGTATTAATTCCTGAATGTAATATTCCTCTCAGTGGTTTTAATTCCCTTTTTTACCCATTGTTACAGGAACGAGAATACATTCACTTTCTTAATGTCATGTTACGGGGTTAGTGCTTATTCTACATCCAGTTCCTGTGTTTATGTTTCTATACTTATCTTTCTTGTCCTTTTTTAATTTTTTTCTGATATTACTTTGTCTGTATAGATCATCCTATTAAATGCAATAAACAAATGTTATCATTATGACATCTCAGTCATTTTTTCCAAAGTCTGTTTGATACTTTAAAAGGTGCCCTTCAAATGAAGGCCAGTTCCTCATGGTAAGTCTAAGAGTGGCTTCCTATTAGTCAAACAGACTATAGATAAAATTGATAATAGAAAGAAAATCTAGCCAATTAGAAGTGGTAGTGATGTATCAAACTGCTGCAATCTACCATAACACAGACACAGGGGCTCGCTGGGTTTACCTAATACATATTCTTTATTAAACAGCAAATAAAATCGCCTAATATATAATATAAATAACCTTTCTACATGTAAAAGAAATAGAATAGTGTATAACACTGAACATTATTAAACTTGTCTTACACATGATGATGTAGGAATGAACAAGAAATACTGTAAGTTAACCTATGTGCACATAAACATTAAGTTTGGAAGAAGCAATGGTTTCTATTCCTAAAGGCACTGTATTTTCCCAAAATAAGAGTTGGATAATTCTGAAATAATGGCAACCCTGCATGGTATTTTTTTTCCCATTAGAGTAAACATGGATACAGTAAGTTAATCGTTGGCAGTGAGTTGTAGGCCATGCACATTAGCAAATGGATAATCAGACAGGTATACCCCATGCTGCATTACAACCAGCATCAAAGTCCTCTTCTACTCAAGTGATTAATAGCTAGATCCCAAATTTACAAAACAAAGTATTGGACAATGAGCCGAAAGACCATGCGGACATGACATATATATGAAAATAATAATCTTCTTCATAGTATGTATTAAAGAACCCTAGATTTATCTTTGGGTCTCTTCACAAAAAGTATCTGTGTGAAAATAGGTTCATTGTATGCCATTCCTACACACTCACAATGACTGTGGTAAGTACTAGTGACATTTAATATGTAACTCACTGATGTTGAAGAAGTCTGGAGATGAATCCTGGTTGTTTTTTTATATCCCCAAGCCCCGAGCCTAGCATCCAACACAATATGGCACAGGACACAGAAGAAAAGTTGGCTGATAACTTTAAAGTTAAAGAATGAAATAACCGCACTTCATCACCTATAAGTGATGGAGAGATGAGAGGCCATTATGTTTTTAGGAAATATCCAAAAACAGCCGCTGTTTGCTCCCATACTGGTTTTGGGTCAGTGCTGGACTTTTAGCTTTCTGTAACTATATTGTACATCATTAACAATGTGCAAACGCCACTTCAAGGAAAGTACTTTCCAGCTATCTAAGCTTTTGGTACACACAAGCTTTTTCCAGAATACATCAGACTGACAATTAAGTAAAGTGAAGATTTTTTGAATGTTGTCCTATCAAAAACATTGATACGCCAATCAAAAAAATGGAAATCATCACAATAAGCTACATACATGGTCGAATATAATTATTCAATAAGATACAATAAGAAAAGGCAGATGTTATAAGGATCCCCAGAATAAGATGAATACAACATAATATGGTAACAACTATGTCTTATTGTTGTTATATCCAGGCCAGAAGACCCAGTAGTTTTTGTACAGCTCTGTATCACTGTGGTTTATTTTCAGTGGAGGCACCCAACTTATTCCTGATATTACTTTGTCTGTATAGATCATCTTATTAAATGCAATAAACAAATTGTATCATTATTACATCTCAGTCATTTTCCCTTAATCCATTTCATACTTTAAAAGGTCCCCTTCAAATGAAGGTCAGTTCCTTGTGATAATTCTTAGAGTGAATGTGTCTTCCTATTAGTCAAAGGGACTATAGATTTCAAAAATTATAGAAAACAAAACTGCACAGTTAGAATTGATAGTGGTGTATCAAACCTTTTACCATAACACAGACATAGGAGCTCGCTGAGCTTAACTTATACATATTCTTCAATAAAGCACAAAGGGTGGGGTGGAGGAAGAGAGGGAGGGGGCCCATGGATCAGTTTCACACCGTGGCCCCATGAATTGTGTGTACACCACTGCTTGGAAGGTTTATATTTAATTTAAAAAGAAAGGTAAATCCTATACATTAACTCTGTACATGTGTGCACATACATTTTTCTCAAAGGTTTGCTATCTAAATGATGAAGATGAACTCAATAATGTTGAAAATTGACATTACATGTAATAGGATTCTGAAGGTGCAGGGATGTGTTCTAAAGTTTTTATCTCAGTTACTGGGTTCTGCAAGTGTTTCCATTTATATTCATGGCTCCTGTTTGTCACCAAAAGGGTTACGGGTATTCAGTTCTTAACACTCACACCTGTGTCGATTACTAGTAGCAGTTTGCTTGAGGTTCAGTGCAACCAAGAGTCTGAAGATGCAATATGGCCCTTAGAGCCAGCAATGTGTTATGTAGAAGACAACTCATGACATATAAGAGGATGGCTGCACTAGACCAATACATTAAGGTAACACCTAAATATTCTATACATAGAATTCTCATGGTTATCAATATTACATGGTGGCCATTAGGATAACCATCATTTTTTAACAAAGAGACGAGCTGTAATGAGTTTATCTTTCTAAACTCTTAATTAAGGTTAAACCATTTTTGCAATTATACTTTTTAGCATTATTTAGCTGGAAAAAAAGGGGAGGGGGGGGGGGGACCAGTAAAGCAAAACAGCTGAAATCCAAAGATTGAACAGATATACAGATCCCATTCTTAATTGAAATACATTCTATAGTAATAATAATGTAATCTAAATGACTTGAGACTTTAAATGAAAATGGTGTTCATATAATTGATTCACAGTTTGTATTTATGTGCTAATCTTTTCCATCGCAAGTTCATTGTATTAGTGGGTCATGTCGACTATATATGGTAATGTCATTGGGAGATAAGCTATGATGTGAAATAAATATTTTCTGCCATGTTCCATTAGTTCTATCCCAATTCTGGTGAATATAGTAAATACATATGTTCAAATACTAAAGAATAATAAAAGTATTTTATTATACAAAATATCACTGCTAGTCCAAGAGAAATATTGTCATATAGACTACCATAAGAAACATTTCCCCCCTCCCAATTTTTTTTTTTTTTTTAGTTAATGTAAGTTGGTGTCAATCATTAATTCAGGTTAGATGATTTGGTATTTTTTGTACAGCTCTAAATCACTGTGGTAATATCATAGAAGAGGAAGACAAGACTTCATCTATCTTAGAACCTTAGAATCCCTTGATGCTCTGTTATCCATCTCCATTGTGTTTTATATATTAAAGTTTTTCCCTATAATATTATTTAATACAATAATTTAAGATGTAACATTTCTAAGTGCCCAGGCATTCTCAAGCCTGCAGTGCTAATTCTATCAGTTAAATGTGATACGTATTTGATTTGATTACAACAGGCAAACAATATTTGGAAAAGTATTTACATCTGATCTATATAAATTGTAAATTATTCTCCAACTAATCTTCCTTTTATTCTGTAATGTCAGTATTTTACCATCATAATTACTGATTTCATCAGTGGTGGTTTTAAATGTCTACTGAAAATTAACACACATTGTTGCATTATATTCACAATAAACACTACATACAGAACATACATTGTAATCTGAGTTTTGGACTCTTCACATTAATCAGTTACACAGCTATTAATGACTACTGTATATGAATAATTGCATCGAGACATTATTTTTACTTCCAAGCTGTCTTACATAGTTTTTTTTATTACAGTAATACAACCATTCACTCGTCTGTTTGTGTTGTTGATCCGAACTAAGCTAAGAAATCCAATTTGAAGTTATGTTGGGAAAGTTAATGATAATTTTATAAATATTTTATTTTTAAATAAAATAAAGTTGGTTCAGAAAGTCATATGTTTATTCCATAATATGATAGTCCCTCTCTTTGCATTGGCTTGTGGATTCTAACGTGTTGTGTTTTAATTGTTTCTATCTGTTAGAACATTCTTATTATTGATAAAAACTTGGATTTCTATGGAAATAAGAGTCACCTGATACATTTACTCTTCCTGTTGGTTCCCACCTTTTCTGAAAATCATGTCCGTTTGTCTTTTTTTCTCCATGGTATTCCTCGAAAACCACACCTTTAATAAATAGGTTTCTCTTTTTTGTATCATAGCTGAAAATGCTGCTTAAACACCAGTGTACAATCACTTGCAAAGTTACAATAGATTGGATACTGTTTATTTTGATTTTATTAAGTCTTTTATTCATTGCCTCTTACATATTATATAATCGTACACTTCTAGGGATTATTACCACTCTATTTTGTTTGCCTCTGTTTTAAAGGATAGAACATGCAATAAGTGAAATCTGCTGACTCCTGTTTGATAGCTGAAACATGACTGGTTTAGTAAAAAAACGTTATGATATATATATATTCCGTTTTTTCCCAAGGAGGATGACATCTTCATCCCCATATCTTTCACTTTGAGTTTTATCTCAGATGCGTCTCACAGAATGTAACACATCTGGCTAAGAACATTGTGCAGGTATCAACAATATTTCTTTATTTAATCCATGAATCCGTGGTGAGCAGAAAAATCATTTATGGATTTATCATCTAAACTATGCCAATTTAGTATTCTGTCCTTCTGAATGTAGATGGTATCATTAGGAAGATGCAAAGTTCTTCCCTTGCACCTTATGATCCCACAAGATCTCCATAAAAGTAGATACAGTATATATCACGTGTAGATAACCTTTTGCACTCGAAATGTTGTGGACTACATCTCCTATAATGATCTTACAGCCATAAAGCTGGCAAAGCACCAGGAGAGTTGTTGTCCACAACATCTGGAGTGCCAAATGTTAAAACAGAGGACATGAACGCAAGAAACAGAACATAGTGATTATTAGTTACATGTTGAACTCAATTCAACATTTAGAGATGGTGGTAAAACAATCTAGTTAAAAACACAGAGGTGCACAGGATATGGCAATGTTTGATATCTACAGAACATAGTTAATGTTTACGTCATGTTCTGCTCCATGCTTTAAAGCACTGGCTCTACCCAACGATAACTTGTAAACCACACGTACTGTTATGCAGGGTTACTGATCTGAACATCTGAACAGCTGTTGGGGCACAGCATGGATGATTTTGCAGAGATGAACTGTTAGGCTGTTTGAAACTACTACATATTAACATAATGTGGAAGCAAGGGCAACATTATTGGAAATATAGAAAAAGCTAATCAGTGACAAGTTATGTTATACTTCTGAATTTCTGGCAAATTTAGTCGTTAGAATCTGTGGAAATTGAGTTGATTGCTCCATTAAATATATGGTATCTCTCCAAAACAAACCAATGATTATTCATTAACCAATCATTTATATTGAACTGAAAACCGAATTCTGAAATTTAGGCAATATTAGCTAATTTGTAAAAAAGTGCCACCTTGGCTATATTTATACATTTGTATTTTTAATCTACTAATGCCCTTGGCTGTAACTGTTTTTAAACTCAGACAAATATTGCATATAATGCCTCAATAAAAGAAGGTCAATACAAAGTGGGTACGTATAGGGTTGCCTTAAATTTAAAATCTCAAAGCAACAGTACTGATCTGCAAAGGGTTGGGCAGTCAGTGCAGGCACTGATCCCAGCAAACCCCCAGTGGACTTTTAAAAGTAAGAAAAGGGAGGCTGTGCAGACTTCAGTGTAAAAAAAATAAAAAAAATAAAAATATATATATATATATATATATATAGAGAGAGAGAGAGAGAGAGAGAGAGAGAGAGCTGGGTGCCAAAGTACATTGACGCCCATGGTGCCATGTAACCTAGGTATGCCTCTGATGCCCGGCTACAATTATTACTAGTTCCATTTTACAGTTACAGCTTATCCTAGGAAAAATGATTTGTTAAAGATGCAGCATAAGCTGTTGTTCTAACTTACAGCTGGCTGAAATGTGTGGCCAAACAATACACACTAGTTTCCAACCTCCAGGCCATATTTTCCTGTATATTGCTAATAATGCTCACCTCCTAAAGAGAGCATTCATGTCTTAGCATTCACCTATGATTAACTCAAACATAAGCAACTAACCTACGCATGCGCACTTCACTCGCTATTGACTGAGTATGCTGATCACAGGAAAGTCATAGTCTTTGTATTCATATACCTGACCAAATGTTTGTTCAAGTGATAGTTTGTACATATGTCTTATTTATTAATACCGTGTTTCTCATATCATTTAATAAATGGTTAATATGTGTGTGTTAATATATGTACCATACATGCCTATGTATTGCCCTTGACTTTTTACACATATTTGATGATGATGGCATGTATTTCTAAATATATACAGTATGTATGTATGTATACACTGCTTTGATGTGCTTTGATGCTTTAATATGAAATAAATGTATTTTTCGTACAAAATGCATATAGAGTTTGAGCTTGTTAACATGTCTATTTCTCTTTAAAGCTAGCTCAGGCATACGTACCATCTCAGGTGGTAAGATCTGCAGAGCTATTCACTAATGTGGGAATTGTTGGGAATTCAAAGTGATTTCGAAGTGAATTTCAAATTTAAGGCCAACTTTGCTGCATAACATGAAACATGACTTTAATTGCCTATTATAAGATCATAAATAAGTCGAATAGAATTGGCCCCAGTACAGAATCATGAGGAACATCACTTACCAATAATGTCAACTCTTTGGACTCTATCTTTATGTCAATGTTCTAAAATAATCTTCATGTCTATGATTTATGCTGCTACATATTAAAAGGTTTAGAGATGAACTATTGCAGTTCAGACACTTAAAGTACAGAATAGAAGTGTATTATTATAGTTATTCAATTGTTGAGAATTCATAGTGAATTCAAAGTGAAATCCTAAATATAGGGCCAAAATAGCCAAACTAGAAGAAAAAACGACTTTAGGAATTTTTCCAGTAAGGGTTTTGTTGTTTTTTAAAATTTGCAATAAGCTTTGAATTCACTTACAAAATTCCCTACAATTTTCACATAAGTGAATAAACTTGTCAGTTTTAAATTCAAGAGTGTGGTTCAAATGGAAGTTCTGGACATAGGAAGAAATTGGCAAGTATACATGGACTTGTCAGTTTATATTAACCATTCTTAATTCTATCAATATTCAACAATATCTTGAAGCAGTGAATGGGTTTATTCTATAAAACATACATGGCACAGTGTGAGCAATGATGGGTGCCCAAGAGAAACTGTGCGTAATGCTAAACTGATGTAAATGTGCAGGTGCGATGTATCTATCATCATGCAGGTGCGAGCTCTGAGTTTCATTGCTGTGACGTGGCGGTCTCTTCGCTGTCCTGCTTCAACAGAATTTCTCAGTTTAGCTATACATGGAAATTCCGTTTGTTTCGTTACTGAAAACGCCCTTTTTACCCCTGATTCTTCGCACTGAAACGCAGATGGAGTAGCTAGGATTATTCAGACAGTGCAAATTGTCATGATGGCTGATTGAATTTAACCCTTACTGTTTCAACTGATCTAGCATTCTGAGTTTTGTTTTACATCATTTTATCTACCTAGTGAGACTGTTACTCAAGTGTCACCATCAAAATTATTTGCTAGACTGTAATGGCATTCATTATATCATAAATTGTCTTTTCCACAGTCTAACCTTTTGCAGAATTACCACTTTAAAAATAAGTCTAACAAACTTTTTTGTGACACAAGATTCTAAGGCGCAAACATCATGCTGGAACTGTTTTATAAAGTGAACAAAACTATAGGTTTAAATACAGAGGTCATCTTATTAATTTCTCATTGCTAACTTTAATTTTCTTTAAAATTAAAATGCACCCATAACTATTAACAACATTTTAATGTAGGCCTGATAAAAAGAAAAAAGTTATCACGTACAAAAACAATTCTGCTGAAACTTCTAGCTACCAATCATCTTTTTGATGGTTTATTCAATTAATTTGAACCTCAAAAAATTATCTGCCAATCAACTTCCAATCTTTTTCTTGTCAAGAGACATGAAGCAATAATTTAACTATATGGAATTTAGGAACACAAAACATTAGTTGAAATGTAGTTTGCAGTTTACAATTATAAAATATATGACATGCTTTAAATTGCCCACGTATTCTATCACCTGGGTGTATATTAGACTTGTGCACAAATCTGTTTCAGCTGGTACAAATGCCTCAAATTCTTTTTAATCTACACCCAAATTTATCAATCTGTCTGGGATTGAATACAACTCCACAAGTAAATTGCATACGGATCGATTCCTTCCGATGTAAATGAAAATAAAAATGACTCATTCACACCAGCTGAAATGCATTTTTGCACAAGTCTAGCGCAAATAATATTGATCTATGAGATCTGTGGTTCTCATTAAGATGCTTATAATATGCTTCCTGGACTTGTATCCCTGGTGAAATTGTGCAATTGAGTTTATACGGCCTATGGTGCCTTTTGGTGCCATGTCATAATCGACCTTGAAACGTTCGTGGTTATTCACTGAAGTGAGAATTCAAGAGAATTTTAAATTAATTTAACATTTATGGCCAGAATAGCCAATGGACATAACAAAACTTCAATATCATCCAATTTATGTTAAAAGAGGTGCTCAATTTAGTGATAAATCCTGATTTGTGTGTGCGTGTCCACAAATCATTCTCAGTACAAATGTTTGTAAATGCAGATTGCATGGCTAAGTGCTTGATTTTATACACCTGTGATAATGGGTCCAATTCAAACACCTTAATTCTAAATTTAAGAGGTGTATCCCAATACATTTGCCCATATAGCATACATGTAATTTTGTAACAATCTTATAGCATTGTTTGTAATCTCTTGATAATGCTGAAAATCTAATTACAAACTTCCTGAATAAACATTGTAATAGCTTTAAAAGCCAAATAGAAACTTGCACACTATCCCAAATCCCTGTGCACATTTAAATAACTATCGTTTTTTTCTATCAGTCCAATGGCCATTCACGTGTAAGCTCACTTGCCACACCAAGGCAAAACCTCTTAGGTCCGTCCTATGCTAACAATTCACCTGGCTGCTTTCAGCTAAAAGGTACAATCTCTAATTAGATAGAGAGGGGTATTTTTTATAAACCCCTACATAAGTATTAACCCTCAATAGGGAACACATAGAGTGGGTGGCAGCACTGTGACATAGCTGTGTGATAAAAAAATAAACTAACAAACACACAAACACACACAATTGTGTTTGTTTTTATTTTAATCACTTTGTCCATCTACAATGAATCAGCACACTAGCAGTAACCAAGATTAACCATAAGGTGACTTTAGGTAGTTGTCTAGGGCCAAAGAGTTAGACTGGGGCCACGGAACCACGAATTAACTTGTCCTAAAGCGAATGTAGGTAATGTCAGTAAAACATAACATTTATTAAATACATGCTAAAAAGAATAACTAAATACTAAATAAACCAAAATATACCAAAGAAAGGGGAAAGAAAATTATAAAGTTAAAAGAGGTCGCTCAAACAGTATAATGCCAAACATGGAGGTATAAAGAGTATATAAATAGTGACAATATTATCACAATCATATACATATTATGAAAGACCAGTAGATATAATAGATAAAACCTGTCTAGGGAGCCATATAATGTAGCAACAGTGTATCCCAAAGTTCACATACGCCCTTTTGGAGAGTGTGTAGCTGGTAAATCAGTAGTGCAGACACAGTTGCAACAATCACTTCACTAAGCCAGAGCAAGAAGCATAAAGACTGAAAGGAAAAACAAGGGAGATATTACCTAAACATGCACATTTGGTCATGTGATAAAATTATACATATAATGTCTATATTTAAACCCCAATTGATATACAAGTCTGAACGGAATGCCTGGGATGACAGAAATATGAAAACCAACATATATCATCTTAAATTACTACATAAAAATCCTGGACGCAATTTTCCAACTTCACTAGCTATCCTGAACCTTTAGGAGCAATATTTTGATATGCAAGACTTTTTGGTCCATCTTGTAAGTGCAATATAAATAAAAGGTGTTCAGCCTGACACTATTGGATGCCCCCGAGGAAGTCCTGTTTAAGGACGAAACGCGTAGGGCCTGGAGACCCATACAGTGACTTTATTACTGCACTTTATTTTACTTTGATTTTGATTTATTGTGTTTATTACTTTTGAGGGTTTTAATTTTATTTTATACCATTGGATCATCTGCTGTCTTAATATTGTTCCTGTCCTGGAAGCAATTTTCCAACATAACCAGCTTTTCTGAACCTGAAGGAGCAATATTTTGATATGCAAGACATTTTGGTTCATCTTGTAAGTGCAATATAAATAAAATGTGATTTACTTCTTACTGTGGTACACTATGTATGTGTCTCTTCCTATCTTTTCCATGTTCTAAGAGGATAAGGGAGAAGGACAGAAGGCTTCATCTTTTAAAGATACCTTTACGTGCCTGCAATCAGTTTTAACTTTGTGAGTACAATATTATCACCAGCATTATATATAGCATCTTACAGTATTATACTATTACATTTTTTCCTTTTTAGATTGTAATTTTTATATATTTATATAGATGATAAAAGGAATCTTCTTACAATCATAATATTTAATTTAAAAAAAACTAATTAAAAAGGTAAAATCTATCTTGTATTTTTTTTCCATTTTTCTGGTGTATAACATTGTTATATATATTTTTTTGTATTGCTGGAAAGTATATTGTATCCTGAATACTGAGTGAGGGTTTATTTATTAAATATCACATTGTAGTGAATTCATCGCAATTCAGCATTTGTTAATAAATCCTCGGATGCATTTGTGTTTCTATTCATACATATATAATATTTAGGCTCAATTATTTATTTTGTAATTATAGCAATTAATTATGCATTTTTTTGTATGGACACATTTACAAAGTAGTAAATAGTAAATTCTATTATGACTGTTACGAAAATAAATGTAATAATTTTTATGGTATAGGATTAAAAGTAATCACAAAATGGAAATGCATAATACTTTTACAGCTTTAAAAGTATTTTTTTTTTTTTACCGAATCTACAGATGTTTCAATTCTGGTAAACCCCCAGATGCTAAAATTATCACCAAAGTTCTAACAAGCCAATCAAAAGCATCTAGAACCTGTAAAAACATTTTCAGAAAAGAGAACTGAAACTTAGTTCTAAGAAAAGAGATCGAGAATCTCGAGAAAGACACACCTGGTGTTAGTAACATTCAAATGAGTTTCAGAATAAATCACCCCTGGGAGTAATCAGCTGCAAGCTCTTTAATTAATTC